GAGAAGTCACCACACACCCGCAGGTAGAAGAAAGGGAACACCACCACAGGGCCACGGAAATACTGGACTCAAGGTGGCAAGGGCGCCGGGTGGAGTATTTGGTAGCGTGGGAAGGGGAACCCAGGTCCGAAAACACGTGGGTCCCCACGGAAGCCTTCGAGGACAGGTATCTGGTGGAGGTATTCCACCGCCGGTTCCCGGACAAACCCAAACCCCTGGAGAGATTCTGGGAGGAGCAATTTGGAACCACAGATGAGGAAGAGGTTTTTGAGGGATTTTCTGACTCCGAGGAGGAGGGAGGAGAGGTTTCGGAGGAAGAAGAATCAGACTGGGAAGACCACCCCGTTGGCAGGTGGAAGAGCGGTTGGGAAGCGGGTTTCGAATCCACAGAAGATGGTGACAGTTCCTTCCGGGGGTTCCCCGCCTCCTCGGCCGACGAAGGGAACGAAGTTGGTCCCACAGGTCGGTCCAGGGGTGGAGGGGATTCTGGGGGGGAGGTGGATGTCAGGGAACTGACATCGGAGCGGGAGGCGAAGGGGAGGCTCCTAGATGATGCTGGAGAAGGACCCAGCAGCAGGGGGAGAAGCAGCTCAGTGGAGGGGGAAGCATTTAAGCGCAACACCAGGAACAAAAGTGGGCAGATGGGGAAATCGGAGAGAGGGCTCCCGGACTCTTCACTGGAACTCAGTGAGGAGGGGACAGGTCCTCCGCTACCTACGCCCTCCCTGCGCAGAAGGCTCCCGCGCAGTGAGAGGAGGAGGAGACTGGGTGTCAAACAACTCTTATGTTGGAAGAGATTCAAGAAACGCCCACTGACGGATTCTGCCAGTGACTGAGACAGTCATGATTAGAAAGGGCTGTGCAGTCAGAAAGGTTTAACAAGGCAAATTAGCCTAGAGAGGCACCAGTTTACGCACGAGTAACTCATACTCATCACACTTTTCTTTTTAAAAATAAGAACACCCCATTTTTATTTGTTCCAATCTATTTTTTTCTTTAGTGCTTATTTGACAGAAAGCCTCTAAGCAGTTCACAAAAACTATCTAAAATATTCATTAAAATACCAGTAAAAGCAAGCATTAAAACACATCCTTTTGAATAAAAAAATAAATAAAACAAGCAAATTTAAAACAATTATACGGCTTGAACTTACACAATAAAACTACATGCCTGGGTACGCTTGCCGAAATAAAAGTTTTTAGCAGGTGCCGAAAACAAGACAGTGAAGGAGCCATAGATTGCCTTAATCTAAAGTGGTTAGATTAGAAGGCATGAGCTCCAAACACAGCTTGTGCGCTGAATTCCAAGTGTTAAACTGAGATAATTTTGTCAGCATAAATTGATCTATGTTAATAAGCAGATACGTGTGGAATTCTCCCGTTTTCCAAGGCAGTTACTAACAAAGACTGACATTTCACTTGCGCACATCATTCATCCTTCCCTCTATCCCACAAAAGTAAAATACTTCAACTGCTACTTCAGCTGAAGGCGTAGTTCATATACACCCTTCAATTTCTGTGGGTTGTATTGAATGCTATTCCTACTCAAGGCAGACCAGTTCATGTTTATGAAAGTTAATGGACATAACTAATTTAGGATACCTGAAGAAGTGTGCATGCACACGAAAGCTCATACCAAGAACAAGCTTAGTTGGTCTCTAAGGTGCTACTAGACAATTTATTTTATTTATATATATATATATATTTCTACTGCGTCAGACCAACACGGCTACCTACCTAAATCTAATTTAGGTTTGTTGATTTCAATGAATTTGCCCTAAAGCAGAACTTAGGGCAACTTTTCATTGCTTAGATGCAACCTTTCATACAGGATTCTATTCCTCCCATATGCCGGGGCAATTTTCCCGCACACTTGCACCAACTATTTTGCGTGATCACAGCCATAAAGAAATGGCACAGGAACATGGGGGTCTAAGCGGAGCCCAAATGACCATCCTGGTGAAAGTTCCAAGTGCCTACTTTCTAGTCCCACGTCCCAAAGACAACCACCAATGTTTAAAAGCAATCAGGCGACACTACCACTCACCAAGTTGCTGCGATGGGCTGTGCAGGCTTGAAGAGCCTGTCTGAGAAGTGAACTTTATATCAGCATAAAGTATGTCCTCAGCCATCCTGGAAGCGGTGCATGAGTCCGCTAAGCTCTCCGTAACAAGGGGAAATGTCTGCAAGCAGTGGCGTGCGAACCAGCCTGACCAAGGCAATCCAAGATCAGGAAGTGTTAATCACACCTCTTTGAATGAGGGGCTGACATTTTTTTCATTTAAATTTTCAGAGGGCAACCCGAGTCTCGTGCAGCTAGAATCACCAAGAGGAACAAGCACGAGCAGGGAGGGGGTGGATCTGGATTTCCTGGCAGGGCTTTAGATAGATCTCCAAGGGATCCTGTCTCCCAACTGTTTGACGAGAACAGCAGCAAAAAAGGGATGTGTGTGTGTGTGTGTGTGTGCGTGCTTTCTAAAAATCAGACTCTGTGGTGAAAAACGTGGGAGAAAAAACAGAAATTGTTTTTGTATGTGGAAGGACTTGGAGCTTAATTCTAGTGCTGAAAGCCCATTCCTGAGTGAAGCATCTTCTTAGAGCAGGGGCCACCAGTATGGGGGTGCCCCCTTTCCCCCTGGTGGCCACAAAGCCTCAAAGCCCCACCACCACCACCAATCACTACCTTCTTGGACATAAGGTGTTGAGGGTGGCTTTTTCTTCAGCTCTCTGTGCTTTTCAAGGCTCAGATTAATTCTACTGGATTCATCTTTTACCCAGATTCCTTGGAAAAGCAAAGTAAAGTGGTACTTTGGTTCTCAAACTTAATCTGCTCCGGAAGTCTGTTCCAAAACCAAAGTGTTCCAAAACCAAGGCGCGCTTTCCCATAGAAAGTAATGCAAAATTCAGTATAAATACAGCTGATAGCTACTGTGGTCTAAAAGACTGATTAATAACCAATTGAGCCATAAAATGCTGGCTTGCCGAATAAAAATAGGGGAAATGGTTATAGTAATTAAAGTGATATTTTGCAAAAGGAAAAAAAACCAGAAGGAAATATGCAACTTACATATAGTCATTATTTACGCGATAATAACAGACTTAAGGGGACGTGGGTGGCGCTGTGGGTTAAACCACAGAGCCTAGGACTTGCCGATCAGAAGGTTGGTGGTTCGAATCCCTGCGACAGGGTGAGCTCCCGTTGCTCGGTCCCTGCTCCTGCCAACCTAGCAGTTCGAAAGCACGTCAAAGTGCAAGTAGATAAATAGGTACTGCTCCGGCAGGAAGGTAAACGGCGTTTCCGTGCGCTGCTCTAGTTCGCCAGAAGCGGCTTAGTCATGCTGGCCACATGACCCGGAAGTTGTACGCCGGCTCCCTCGGCCAGTAAAGCAAGATGAGTGCTGCAACCCCAGAGTCGTTCGTGACTGGACTTAACTGTCAGGGGTCCCTTTACATTTACCTAACAGACTTAAGAGAATTATTTATATGAGCATCTTGGCATAATTATGTTGACATTTTAGATTGTTTATTTATATACTTAATTTATATCCCATTCTTCCTCCCAAAGGAGCCAAGGAGACCTAAACTTTGTAATTTCTTGAACATTTTCTTATTTTAAAAATTCAAATAAATAAAGGGGGGGATCCTTAGCAGAAAGCTAAACATGAAATGGAAACCTGTGTGATAAACACCTTGACCACGAAATATGCAAAAGCAGTGGAGATGCTGTTTGCAGTGGAATAAATGAGTCAGAAACCTTTGGTGGACAGGCAGAAAGGCCATAGGCCGCAGTGGTTAGCACATGTTAACAGTGAAATAGACAAGCCCTGTTGTTAATACTGGAGACGGCTTCTTCTACATAATGGTCTTGTTGGGGGAGGATGTGGTTGTAGGTGGAGGAAAAAGAAGGTGTTGATTGCTTTAGATTTGCAGCAAGAACCCTGCAGGCAAGAACTTAATTCGTTCCAGAGGTCCGTTCTTAACCTGAATCTGTTCTTAACCTGAGGTACCACTTCAGCTAATGGGGCCTCCTGCTGCCACCACTCAATTTCTGTTCTCATCCCAAAGCAAAGTTCTTAACCCGAGGTACTATTTCTGGGTTAGCGGAATCTGTAACCTGAAGCGTCTGTAACCCAAGGTACCACTGTATCCCATTCTTCAGAAACTAGCAAAAAGTAGGGAAATAAAAGCTACTAAAAAGAAAAAGAAAAACGTACTTTTCCGTGTATAACACGCCCCCGTGTATAAGACGCCCCCTATTTTGGGGGACTCAAAATAAAGAAAATGCCTTGCCCCACCCTCCAGTCTCTGCTTCTCAATTTGTATTATTTTATGCCCTGTGGCTTGCCATTGTTTTATTGATTGTAGTTTTGAAATTATTTATTGTGATTGTTAAGAGTAGTTTTCTGTTTAATTTTTATATGCTGATATTTAATATTATTCTATGTTATTCTAATGATTGTTGAATGTTACTTTATTTGATGTGGGTTGCTTATTTTAAAGTTATGTTTTAGTATCACCTTTTTGTATTGCATTAGATTGTTATAAGGTGTACATTCTTTGTTTCTTCAGCCTGTAAACTGCCTTGGGTATTGTAAGATAGAAAGACAGTATACAAATTAAAAGTGATGATGATGATGATGATGATGATGATGATGAAAATGGGGGGAGATTGCCCAGAGTTGTTGAGCAAAATATTGTGGAGAAAGAGATCTTGCCAAATATCTTCCAAGCGGTTGCAGAGAGCGGGGGATTCCAAACCAAGCAACCAACTTCGCTTCCGTTCTGTTCCTGGGTTGCTTGGAAAGTGGTCCAAAGGTGTTGATATAGTTCTCTCTGTGAAGTTAAACAGGCCTCTGATTGGGCTTTACGTATTTGGGAGTCCACCCGGGTAACCCAGTGTTTTAGGGACGAAGTTAATCCAGCCACTTAATGTTGGGGATTAGTCAAGTGTCCTAAACAATCTTTTAACCTTTGCTTAATGCCAACACATAAAACCAGAGATTTTTTTTCTGTGTGGTGGTGCTGCCACCTTTTTTATTATTAAACAAAGCAACAACAACAACAACAACAACAACAAATATTCTTAGCAGAGTTCAACGAAACGTGTCAGATAGTTAAAGAAATGTAACACACTTTTGCACTTTTTAAAAACCACCGCTTGCAACTAGATGGGTTTTTAATCACTGAGGCAAGAATCAAAAGGCGGCAGTTGGTCCCTATTAACTGACATTCTTAACGGAACATAACAGAACAGACACTGAAGGGAGGGGTGTTTTTCTTACACTTATGACCCCTCTCATGAGTTATTTCATGAAGGGGTGTGTGGGAATTGCACTAATCTTTCTTACCTTAAGGCAAACGAGTTAGACCTGAGCAACATTAAGGCAAAAAATATATAAAAATATTAAACTAAAAGAATAAAAGCATTTAATCATTGTGTCCAGGAGAAAACAAAAGTTTTTGCCCAGCAACAAGTGAGACTCCTTAGGGAAGGTATTCCACAGATAGGGAGCTACTGCGGAAAATTAGTTATGTAGTGTGTGTGTATAAGAGATAAGGAATGGATGAAAATAAGAAGGAATGGCCTTGCCTACTTTTGACTTTGGTTCTGCTCACTTCTGGTTTGGAATCATTGCCAAGACTGGAAAAAACAACAACAACCCCACATTCACCTGATTCTATAAACATCTTTACACAGCAGTTTTTAACATTCATATTAGAGAGTTTTTTGGTCCCCACGTATTAATGACCTGCCCCTAATCCTTAAAGTCACAACTTGAGACAAGCACTGGCAAGTTCAAACCACAAGATGGCAACTGTTCTTTGAAGCAATGGACAAAAAAGGTAAACATCTTTCTATCACTAGCTTGGAGTAATGTTCCCTCTGCAAGAAAGTGATAAGGCCTGAACGTGCTTACTTGGAAAGTAAATAGCACTGAGATAAGGAATGTGAAACGTCAAACGGAGGTGAAGGGAATAAATAAGACCCTCTTGCATTCAGCTAGATAGATCCGGCAAGCATGTTTGGATCCTTGGCCAAGCGTCCACACAGCCTCAAATCGCTGGGTGTCCTGCTCACAGTTTATTCCTCAGACAAGATGGAGGGCAGCTTCTCAGCTGGTAATTGACTTAGGAACTGTGCCTTTCAGGCCTCAGTTCATCCATACAACAAGCTTCAGGTGCTTTGGACTACAACTCCCATAATCCCATGCCACCGGTCGTGCTGGCAGAGGCTGCTGGGAGTCCAACAGCCCATGGCTGATAAGGCAATGGTAGTCTGAGGCCATCTTGTGAGTTTATGGCATAGGTGAGGTTCAAACGCAGTGACAAGACAGCTGCCGCTATTCTTGATAAATCTCTCTTATAGGCAGATAACAAAATGGAGCATTATATCTGGAACTAGCTGCAGAAAGAGTGGTTCTACCAGTGAGACTCTAAAGAGCCAGTAGTGCTCGCCTTACACAAATGAGGATCACAAGTTTTGTTTCCTCTTGGCGCAAGCATCCGCCAGGCTGCAGACGAAGTTCTTCACCACAGCGCACTTGGTGCTGCTGACCCCAAGGTCATTTATGTAAGCGCAAAAGCCTTCTCCTCGCACTGTAAATCTGAAATAGACAACAACAAGAAGAAGCAGGTATTGTTCTTCATTAAAGCAACATCTGCAGGGCTGAAGTTAAACATGACAGCAAATATCTGTTAATTTATTCAACTTACTAGTTGCTTATCACTCAAAGGTCTCCAAGTGACACTAAAGAAAAATATATACCTGTACATTATACCACAGGGGGATGGGAGGATCATATAATATGTCAATATTTCACATAACTTACAACTTGTGGGGAGGAAACAAGACACTGGCTGCATAAACAGCAGCAGGAAATATTAGCAAAACTCTATCCAATAACCAAAGCAATACTCTCACCTACTAATTATCATTTAAACAAAACCTCATCCCCGCTCCCATGTCCACATATTCCCTATTCCTGCATGGTATTTCAGAATAAAAAGGTGTCTCCAGCTACAGCTCCACACAGTGAATTGTGGGTACTGTATATAAGCTCTGGAAACTAATGCAAAAGACAACTTTTACAATCCAAACCCAAAGCAGGCAAAGAGGGGGTGGAAATCACTCACTGGTTTCCAAACTCTGTCCCATTGGGCCATTTCCAGGGCTGTCCTGCTTCTCTTGAAAGACCAATCCAATGATGAGAGGGACGAGTAAAATCCCACAAAAAATCCTAGCAGGAAAGGAATGGCAAGCAGTGGTTTATATACCTCTACCACCTTCTAGGACTCAATACTTAAATCTCATCTTTATCAGCATCATCATATCTGGTATACCGCAAAAAGGGGACCTTCCGTTCCGTAGCAGCTTGTCTGGTACGACAGAACTACAATGTCCACTTCCCAGGATGTGTGTCCTTGCCATTTATCGAGAGGGTGAGGGCTGAGGCTGCAGGGAGGCTGGCAGGGTGCAAGGGCAGCAGCGGGGGTGCCAGACTGGCTCTGCTGGGGCAGCTACACATTGCTCTCCCCACCACCATGCCCCTCCCTCCCTCCTGTTCCTGACATCATCTCTTACTGCCATTCACCACTCCTTGCTCCCTTTCCACCTCTCCTTCTGTTGTCTTCCCCACTGCCGCAGAGATAAGATTGCAAATTCCTTGGGGCACTTTGCTTATGTTGCTCTGCGAAGTGTCATGAACCCTGTTGTAAATTTAGTATATTATTATTATTATTAAACCCAGAATATAAGTTACAGGTGGAGCTGTACTTGTTTGCTTCCGGCGATGAGCCCACAAGTGAGGATACATACTTGTTCCTTACCAGATCCGGCTTGGTATCAATCACAGCCAAAGAGGCACCAAGGAAGGAACATCTAGATTCACTGTCGCTCCAGTTCCTTTTGTCTTCTGATTTATAATAGCATTTCCCTAGGTACCCAACCCAGCGATCTGGGCAGGCAGCATCGACAGGGGGAGGACACAGCGGACAGGGCTGTGGCTTTTTAACTGGAAATGAAACAATCTGCCTAAGTGTAAGAGCTCACAATGATTCTGTAACACTGAGGACAGATGCTGGGAAACATTTGGGAATTGTAGCATGGGTAGCAGTGAACTATAATTCCCAGGGTTCTTTTGGAAAAGCCATCTTTTTTTCTTTTTTTTAAACAACCACTACTATGTATGTATATGGTGCAGGTAGATTTCGTGCCCATGCTAAAAGATTATGTATTTGTACTGCTGTGGTTCACATTGCTTAGTGCAAATACAAATTTACGAGTGGAAAAATAGGATAAAAATATCACAGGAAGCTGCCTGGCACCAAGTCAGACCATCTAGCTCAGTACAGTGGTACCTCGGGTTAAATACTTAATTCGTTCCGGAGGTCCGTTCTTAACCTGAAACTGTTATTAACCTGAAGCACCACTTTAGCTAATGGGGCTTCCTGCTGCCGCCACGCCGCCGGAGCACGATTTCTGTTCTCATCCTGAAGCAAAGTTCTTAACCCAAAGTAATATGTCTGGGTTAGCGGAGTCTGTAACCTGAAGCGTATGTAACCCGAGGTACCACTGTATTCTCAGTTAATATTTAATCTTTCAAGTGTGTAGCATGTCTTGCTGTTAACAGTTCTCAAAATGGCTCTGGGAAAGGCAGCCAGTCTCGCAGCTCAGCAGACCCCTCATTTATAACTTTAATTTTAACTGATTTTTAATCAATTTGTTTTAAACTAATCTTTGCTATGTTGTGGAGAGCAGAGCTCGAGAGAATGCAGAGTTCATCTGTTGCCTGTTTTAAAGAATTTCATGGAGCAGGATGTTTCAGTGTTTTGGAGACAGCACATAAATCTCAAAGAACATCGAATCAGATATCATTAGGGAGCCATTTTCCTCTCCTTTATTTCCTCGACTTTGCAAGAGGGGGGTTAGTGTTTTTCATCAAAATTTCCAGAACGCAGCTGAGTACCCTGTTCAGGGCTGCATTTAGGATTGATGAGGCCCTAAGCTACTGAAGGTAATGGAGCCCTTTATATGTCCAGCTATCCTTTGTCAACAACAAATTGTCACTGTTTTTTGTGTTGAATATATGCTGTATGGTAATTTATGGACCTCATAGGTCCATACACAACACAAAACACTGTTGCTGTATGTAGGTTTTATTTTATTTGTTTTTTATCTTATATTTTGGAAATGTACATCCAGTCCCCCCCCCCCCTTTAAATTCTTTTTGGGTCCCCAAGAGAGTGGGCCCCTAAGCTATAGCTTGTTTAGCTTATACGTAAAATCCAGCACTGACCCTGTTAGAAGAGTTTTTAAAATAAATAAATAGCTGCACATAAGGGCTGGGAAATCCATTCTCACGATGGTGCTTACTGAAGTGCAGACACGAAAAGCCTACCTCAATTCAACGGCAGCCTGAGAATGTACTCTAAAGCAGAAATCTATACAGTGGTACCTTGGTTACGAACTTAATTTGTTCCGGAGGTCCATTCTTAACCTGAGGTACCAATTTAGCTAATGGGGCCTCCCGCTGCCGCCACACGATTTCTGTTTTCATTCTGAGGTAAAGTTCTTAACCAGAGGTACTACTTCTGGGTTAGCTGAGTCTGTAACCTGAAGTGTTTGTAACCCGAGGTACCACTGTATTGGATCATTATGAGGCAGGAAATGCAGTTCGGTGAGGGAATGAATCTACAAGTCAAAGGCAGAAAGAAGCAATAAATCATAAATAATTATGTCAGGGTTAAAGCACAAAGTTTTCTCTACTCACCAGCCAATGCGATTATAGTAATGACCAAAGCTGTGATGACGGCAACAACTGCTAATGTATATTTTTTGTCTTTAATGCACTTTGGGATGAAAACTGAAAAACAGAAGGGAAAGGGTCTGAGGCAGTGTTTCTCAACCTTGGGTCCCCAGATGTTGTTGGACTACAACTCCCATCATCCCTGAGCTCTGGCCTTGCTGGCTAGGGATGATGGGAGTTGTAGTTCAACAACATTTGGGGACCCAAGTGAATGATGATCACGAAAGCAAACAAATTTGCTGTTTGTTGCTACAGTTCTGCGAGAATTTGACATTCAAGACAAGGCACTGCAAATTCATTCCAAACCACGACTTTAGGGTATGCCTGCCTTAGCTGCCTGCTTTCCATGAGATGTATTCTAAGGCAGCCATTCCAAAACATCATGTGCTCTGGTGGTTGTTGGACTTCAAATCCCATCAGACCACATGGCCAAAGGTCAGGGATGATGGGATTTGTAGTCCAAGAACATTACTGTCCTAGAACATTGGACTACAAATGAGACTGCTTAAAAAAAAAGAGTAAAGTATAAGTACTTTATGGATGCACTGAGATACAACAAAATCCCCTAACGTTGGGCAACCCAGAGAGAGTATCTTTTATGTATAAAGGGAGAAAACAAAGGTGTCAGGATCCACAGAATCAGATAAATTCTGGAGAAAATATGGGAAAGAGCTAGCAGGAGAAAGGGCATTTGGACTGGAACAGTACAGGAAGAGGTAGACTCAACAGAGGTCAAAGTGAAAGAAAAATAAATAAAAACAAGATGGCATTAAAAATCTTAACTTCGAATGTAAATGGACTTAATAACTAAACAAAAAGATGTAAGATTGAGCATGTAGTGAAGAAGTTAAATTTGGATGAAATCTGCTTCCAAGAAACACATATTGCTAAGAAACATAGAAGGATTTTGATTAATAAAAGGCTGGGGGAGGACTCTGTAACCTCCGACGTAAGAAGAAGAAGAAAAAAGGAGTTGTAATGTATTTAAAACCAGAGTTGGACCCCAAATAACTATCTACCAGCATTTCCTGCTTCCCTTGCAGCAGGTATCTCAGGAGTCATCAGTTCACTGTTGACAGTGGCTCTATCTGTAAAAGTAAGCATAAGTGGTCAAGAACCACTGTTATCTTCTCAACTGTGGCACCACATATGAAATCCCCCTAACCTTTTGTAATTGAATTAGGACAAAACTCCAGGTGACAACTGGGATGGAAGCATTTCTAGAACGGGACCAAAATTCAGTATACTGTGGTAGGTTTGGGGCCAGTTCAGAAAATGACCTGGTGCCTAAGAACAGCAAAGACTCCCAGATTTTATGACTTGACTCAGGGTTTTTACTACCTGTGTTGAGAAGTTTCAGGAGGTCTGAATGGGTCTCAGATGGTCATAGGTTCTTGGGAAATGGCTCAATTAAGTTCTCAAAGCAATCTTGGGGAGTTTCTATACAATATACAGTCGTACCTTGGAAGTCGAACGGAATCCGTTCCGGAAGTCCGTTCAACTTCCAAAATATTCAGAAACCAAAGCATGTCTTCTGATTGGCTGCAGGAAGCTCCTACAGCCAACCGGAAGCCGCAGAACCCATGCCAGACATTCAGCTTCCAAAAATTGTTCAAAAACTTGAACACTCACTTCCAGTTTTCAATCATTCGGTAGCTGAAACGTACGAGTTCCAAGGCGTTCGACAACCAAGGTATGACTGTAAATAAATTGTAACAGAGAGATATTGGGGTATCAAATGTAACTGAAAGGAAGTATCTTTTTCACCACACCCAGAATTAATCCTCTCTCCAATAAAACATTCTGGGATAGAAAGAGTTTCATCCCTGGAGTCAGTGAGAGAGGTTTGTCCTCAATATTTTGCCCTACCACCTCTAGTTCTCCACTGTATGAAACAAACAAGATTATTATGCCTCACCTGTGATATTTTCTGCCATCTTGGGATCTTTCCATTCTGAGTACAACAGCTCTCAACCTTCAGGGAAGACAAAGAGGTCCCTGTTACCAGCAATGTTAATCGATCAACTTGGGTTGTGGTTTTTTTAACCAGACATCTTTATTGAAAGCTGAAAAGTACATAATTATATGTGCACTAAACATGGGATGTGGCTGGTGCTGTGGTGTAAACCACTGAGCCTAGGGCTTGCCAGTCAGAAGGTCAGCAGTTCGAATCCCCGCAACAGGGTGAGCTCCCATTGCTCAGTCCCTGCTCCTCCAACCTAGCAGTTTGAAAGCACGTCAAAGTGCAAGTAGATCAACAGGTACCGCTCCGGCGGGAACGTAAACGGCGTTTCCATGCACTGCTCTGGTTCACCAGAAGCGGCTTAGTCCTGCTGGCCACATGACCCAGAAAAACTGTCTGCAGACAAACATCAGCTCCCTCGGCCTGTAAAGCGAGATGAGCGCCGCAACCCCAGAGTTGTTCATGACTGGATTTAACTGTCAGGGGTCCTTTATCTTTTTAAACATGGTGATAGGTAAATAAAAGAGAGAAAAAGAAAAAGAGAAACAGAACCCGTGAAGAAGGGAAAGTAAAGGGGGGTGGGGGGGACGACCCAAAACTGTATACTTTACAAAGTTGGTATCGTACTTCACCAGATCTTAACCTATTACAGTATTTGTAAGAATGGATTCCAAATATCATGGAATTTGTCCATGGCAAGTCTGCATTTATATGCAGGATGTTCACATGTTGCGAGTTTGTATAGGTCTTCAATCGTAGAAGGGAGCCGCATTTTTATTTTTCCAATTCATCAGTATCAGACTTTTTGCTGTGCTAATGGCACGGAGAATCCACTCGTATTGTCCTTTTGTAAGGTACCATGCGCTGGGCATATAATTCAAAAGGATATTTTGCTCTGTAAATGTAAGGTTGGTTCCATACAGTTCTGTTGATCGTTTCAGTTACCTTCTACCAAAATCTTTCAATATAGGACAATGAAAAAAAAGGTGTTTTAGAGAAGCATTATCCCTATTGCATCCCCAACAGTTAGATACCTTAGATAGCCCTTTTTTAAACAAACGTAATGGGGTCCAGTATATTCTAAATATTATTTTTTGTTTTATGAGCCTCAATTTAAGGTCCAGAGACACCCTTGTTGTTTAGGCACTTGTTGTTAAAGTGACTTTAGAGACTTAAGGTGAATGAAGTTATTTAACTAGACTCCTCAGGCAAATCCTGTATTTTGAATAACCTCCCTCATGTTTCCAGTGTTGCAACACAGCTTTTTAAGATATGCTGCCATTTTCAGCATCCTGGCACAACCCACCTGCCAGTTTGGGTTTCTCTTAGTTTCTCACTTTTCTACTCTTCAGTTCTCCATGTCAGTTTGTGATTTAAAAAAAAAAAAGTCTGCATGAAAAATACCTGTATTTTATTGCTGATTTCTCCTAATATACGACAAAATATGCAATGTTGCCTAATGTGCATTTTTGCTAAGCAATTTTTCCTAGTATAAAACATTATAAGTTATATTCATTAATATATGCATTTTTATGCACACTTTACCTTTTATATATATAAAAGGAAGGACAAAGAGGAGGACAAAAAGAGAGAGGGAAAGGGGTGCTTGCCCCAACAGATGACCACTGGCAGAATGTGGCCACAGAGACAGATTTGAAAAGTTGCCGATCTTTGCCTTTAACTGTAGAAGACTGTATGTTGCCTTTGGTCCTTGCACTCCAGTTCTGCAGGATCTGACTGGCAGCAGCTCACCGAGGTAGCGCATGAAGGTCTTTCCCAGCACTGCCATAAGTCTTTTTAACTGGAGACGGCATGGTTTGAACTAGGTTCATCGTGCATACAAATGCTACAATGAAAGAACGAAATGAAAACACTGAAAACGGTCTTGAAAACACCGAAGAACAATTGAAAGCATCTAAAAACATTTAACATAGACTTTCCACCCTCTTTGGAAATAGGTTGGAAAGGAATAAATCAATCATTTTGTATGTCTAGAATCCAAAATGGTTGAGCAGAGGGGGAGGGGAGGGTACAAAAACACTCCCTAAATCAGGCATAGGCAAACTCAGCCCTCCAGATGTTTTGGAACTAGAGTTCCCATCATCCCTGACCACTGGTCCTGTTAGCTAGGGATCATGGGAGTTGTAAAAACATCTGGAGGGCCAAGTTTGCCTATGCCTGCCCTACATGAAAAAGTTACTGGTGAGGGGGGAGTTCAAAGGCCCTGAGATGTGGGCAGAAATCCTTGCATGCTTACAGGTTTTTATTGTTTTCTTAAGGCTCTCGGCCATTGTGCATGAAGAAATATCCTTTCTAGAATACTTTCCATTCCATTCCCTCCTCCACTTTACTTTCTGGCGCTGAAGTCATTATGTTTTATCAACAGTGCTTTTCTCTGTTGAGTATAAACAGTCTCCTTTTGTGTGGTCACAGAAAACAATATGTTGCCAATAATAAAACTGAAGTATCTTCTCCAAAGGCTTTTGTAGTGACAGCAGCTGTTGAGTGTAGGCCTAGGAGTTGGCTCCTAGGCCCGCATGTAATAAATGCATTCCAACTCCCTCCAGGCTGTCAGTATGTTGAAGGACGGGTTCAAGTTAGACTTGAGCACTTAAAAGTGAATTAAAGCCTTCTGTCGGGCTAGCAGAACAAATCCACTTTTTAAAAATGGACTTTTTGCAGTTAGGAAAGTGACAGTGAACTGAACTGAAACGTATTCGGTGAACAAAGTGTGAGAAGACAATTAAACACTCCACAAGAGAAATCCACAGGACAAATCCATGAGGAATCCTTCCGCCGGTGTAACCACCCAATGAGCAAATCAGAACAAATAGTCAGTAAAGACCAGATGTAATCTAACTACCTCTTGAAGTTCTGTGGAAGCAGGTCAGGATGAATGCTCATTAAACAAGTTGTTTGGGGGAACCCTCAACGACTGATTCCTGAACTGCAACCCTTGGTAAAGGTCAAGGTAAAGGGACCCCTGACCATTAGGTCCAGTCATGACCAACTCTGGGATTGCGGCGCCCATGTCGCTTTATTGGCCGAGGGAGCCGGCGTACAGCTTCTGGGTCATGTGGCCAGCATGACTAAGCCGCTTCTGGCGAACCAGAGCAGCGCACAGAAACGCCGTTTACCTTCCCGCCGGAGCGGTACCTATTTATCTACTTGCACTTTGATGTGCTTTTGAACTGCTAGGTTGGCAGGAGCAGGGACCGAGCAACGGGAGCTCACCCTGTCGTGTGGATTTGAACCGCCGACCTTCTGATCGGCAAGTCCTAGGCTCTGTGGCTTAACCCACAGTGCCACCCGCGTCCCTTGCAACCCTTGGTAGTCTATACTATATTTGCCCCTGTCCTTGCACAGAATCCAGGATTAGGCCGTCAGATTTTATTTTCCTAAAGGGAATCTCTAGCCTTCATGGGTGTGGCAAAAGGCAAAGAGCTTTTCCAGAGTATGCGCTAGCAGTTTCTGGCAAAAGCAAATGTCCAGATCACATGGTATGCCTAAATGCAATTCTAAAAAAAATAAATGAGCGGGGGCAGAGAGCAGCTATTGCCAGTTGCCACCAGTCTTGGGCAGCTGAGCAGCACCCAGTACCACACACACACACCCCTGTCATCCAGGAAAGGGCAGGTGACAGCTATTGCTCCTGTCTGCCACTGCTGCCAATTGAAGGCAGGACAGAGGCAATGGGACAGCTGCAGAACAGGTAAACATTGACCCTCGCTTCTTGCTCTCTCAGCAAGGTGAGGAGAGCCACCAGATCATCCCTGGAGAAAGTCTTAATCCCCACCCACACCCACCCCACATAGATTTGCAGCAGTGGGCCTTGTTGTGGGGTGGGGGGTGGGGATTAAGACTTTTGGGTGGGAGCATCATTTTGTTTTAATGTTTAGGTACAGTGGTACCTCAGGTTAAGTACTTAATTTGTTCCAGAGGTCCGTTCTTAACCTGAAACTGTTCTTAACCTGAAGCACCACTTTAGCTAATGGGGCCTCCTCCTGCTGCCGCTGCATGATTTCTGTTCTCATCCTGAAGCAAAGTTCTTAACCTGAAGCACTATTTCTGGGTTAGCGGAGTCTGTAACCTGAAGCGTATGTAACCTGAAGCGTATGTAACCCGAGGTACCGCTGTATCACTGTTACTGGGGGCGGAGCACTGATACTGTATGGAATGTTAACGTTTAACATCATTTTTCTCATTTTGTTTCCCCCCGTGGTTTAATTATATATATATATGTAGATGTTCTTCGATGTGAGTTGCTTACAGAGCTTTTAGGGAACAAGAGACTAATAAGGTGCCTAGGTAATAATAAATCATGGTCTCTGAGCACACCAGCTGGAATCAACACCCACGCAGGACTAGAGCTGCTATTTCTTGCAGGATGGATGGACCAGATGGCATCAAACTTCCCTCTGCCCTTTCCCCTTGTTCCCCCCTCTTATCAGCTGGTGTCCCGTGGCAGGATACAGAAGAAATGTTAACCTCTGGTGTGCACTCTCCCCTCACTGCTGCCTGCAATTCCTGCCAACGAATTTCCTTTTTTCTTCCCTGAATCTCCAAACATTTGTCTTCATTGGGTTGCTCCAATTTCTAGCCTTATGAGTGAGCGGGGGGGGGGGGGGGACGACAACACCTTTCTCTGGGCAGTGTTTTCACATAGTTCATTATCTTAGTCACTTCTCTCAGGTTTTCGCCTTAACTTTGTTTCCCAAACTAAAAAAGCTCCAAACATCATAACTTCTCCTCAGAAAAGGAACTTGGCTTCAGCCCCTTGATCATTTTTTGTTCCTGTCTCTGAACGTTTCCATCTCCACAATATCCTTTGTGAGATGGGGCAAGCAGAACTGGGCAGTATTCCAAGTGTGGCCACACCAAAGAGTTGAATAAAGGAGTTATGATATGGGCAATTTTATTTTCAATTCCTATCCTAATGATCCCCCCCAGCTGTTGCACACTGGGTCCACATTTGCACGGAATTGCCCACTGCAAGCCCAAGGTCTCATTCCTGGTGAGTCACCACCAGACCCCATTCATGTATATGTGAAAAAGGGATATATATATATTGTGCCTACATGCATTGCTTATACTCTTGCTCACATACAATTGCATTTGCCATTTTACCGCCTGTTTCATTCACCCAGTTTAGATATGCCCTTCTGGAGTGCCCAGCAATCCCCTTTTCCTTCTCACCACCCTATGAGACAGATGGATGCCAGCAACATCTTCCAACAACAGCAGCAATCTTGAGCAAGCAAGCATGTCTATCTCAACCACTTCTCACCCCCAATTCTAGATCATGTATGAACAAGTTAAAAAGCACAGGCTCCAACACTAAACATCAGAAAAAAGCTTTCTGACAGTAAGAGCTGTTCATCAGTAGAACGGTGTCCCTTGGAAGGTGGTGGACTCTCCTTCCTTGGTGGTTTTTAAGCAGAGGTAGGATGGCCGTCTGTCAGGGATGCTTTAGTTGAGATTTCTGCAATGCAGGGGGTTGGGCTAGATGACCCTTAGGGTCCCTTCCAACTCCACAATTCTATGATTCTATTATTCTATACTGATCCTTGGGGGATTTGTCTTCCACCAGCTCATATTCAGCATGACTGGGTAATAATACTAATTTGTTGTTTAGTCATGTCCGACTCTTTGTGACCCCATGGACCAGAGCACGCCAGGCACTCCTGTCTTCCACTGCCTCCCACAGTTTGATCAAACTCATGTTGGTAGCTTCGAGAACACTATCCAACCATCTCGTCCTCTGTCGTCCCCTTCTCCTTGTGCCCTCCATCTTTCCCAGCATCAGGGTCTTTTCCAGGGAGTCTTCTCTTCTCATGAGGTGGCCAAAGTATTGGAGCTTCAGCTTCAGGATCTGTCCTTCCAGCCCAGAGATGGAAAGAAGACAGAGTCCCAACCAGAGAGGAACGGCAAACCAAGTTGTTGGACTATGTGGAAATGGCAAAGCAGACTGGAAAACTCAGGAACCAAGAGGACAAAAACTTTATAAAAGAATGGGAATTTTTTTAAAGTTATTTAGGAGACCACGGTAAGCAGATGGAAATACTGGCAGGATTTTGATTCCACTTGTGTTGTAACAATTACCATGGACAATATGGACTGATATAAAAGTTATAGTTTGGAAGTATATGCAGTTGTAAAGGTTCAAAATGGAACCCCATGGAGGGGGGGGGGAAGTCGCGAGATTCAGAGGAATCTCTGCATATGGATATATATTCGGATTATTATAATTTTGTATTTGTAAAATAAATAAAAAATATATCAAAATAATGAATAAAATACTAATAGTGTGGCAGGGGGCCCAACCTATATACACCATTCCAAAGAAGGAAAGTCATTGTGGTGGAAAACTCCTTCCCTGACCAACACCTACATTTCAAGAGAGCCCCTGCATAGGCAGATGTAGGATGTGGCGCTGTGTCTGAACCACTGAGCCTCTTGGGTTAGCCAATCAGAAGGTTGGCGGTTCGAATCCCCCAATGGAGTGAGCTCCCGTTGCTCGGTCCCAGCTCCTGCCAACCCAGCAGTTCGAAATCATGCCAGTGCAAGCAGATAAATAGGTACCACTTTGGCGGGAAGGTAAATGGCATTTCCGTGTGCTCTGGTTTCTGGCATGGTGTCACGTTGCACCAGAAGCTGTTTAGTCCTGCTGGCCACAAGACCTAGAAAAGCTGTCTATGGACAAACACCATCTCCCTCGGCCTGGAAGCAAGATGAGCGCCACAACCCCATAGTCGCCTTTGACTGGACTTAACCGTCCAGGGGTCCTTTACCTTTTACCTTTACTCCTCCCCACTCAGAGAATCATAGAATTGTAGAGCTGGAAGGTACCCCAAGGATCTAGACACCACGCTCTAACCAACTGAGCTATCCAGCCTCATTACTGGAAGCCTCAGTCACATCTCTATATGGTTTAGCTATAATCCATAACTGGGGCCTGTTTTAGGCATCTTTCCAAAAGTCAAACTCCATTCTAAAAGCTGAACAATACAAACTGAGCAACTCACAGTAATGTTTTTTTAAAAAGAAGAACCTGCCCTAACTACCTAATAAGGCTGCGAATGTGTGACTGGTATTGTGGTTGAAGAGAAGAGCTGCTCCGGAAAGAGATCTTTGGCCATCAACTCAGGCTATAGCAGCAAACCTCCAGTGCTCCTTCGACAGCCCTGCAGCCCTGAGAGGCTTCTCTGCAGCCTTTGCTTGCCAATGGAGGGGAAGATGGTTATACTGCTTTGAACTTCCAGTCTAGGAGGGCTGCATCAGGAACTGCCGCTGGGGCTCAGAAACAAGGTACTCCGTTCAGACCCCTTCGTATCTTCCAGTTTTTGTCTGATTCCACTGTAATGTATCAGTTGACAGACGGACATGATTTTCCTTTTCCTTTAGATTTATCCTATTTGTAGAAAATTCGTTTGTACCCTTATAAGCAGTATTTTTGTTTGAATAACGAGACGGAAATACAGAAGGGTGCATGGCACCTAGGGATGGGGAAGAATTTCCATTTTGTTTGCATTTTCATGAGAAACTACCCAAATTGCACTATTCGAAACAAAACAAAACTGTCTTTCAAAATTCGCACTTGTGTTTGAATTTTGCAATGCAGTTCCTCAGCCACAAAATATGCACAAATATGCATATACTGGTGTCTATAAAAGTGCAGACACTCATTTAAATAATATACAAAAATTCAGAGGAAATTGCTTGCAAAAATGTGTATACATGAAAACTGCATATAAAAATGTGGGAGAAATCTGAAGTAAATGCGGATGAATTTTCATTAAAAATAAATAAATGGTTGGAAGCAACCCACAAAGTTAAAGCTGACTTTTTAAATGATCAGTGCTACACAAGTGTGAAGGGTCTCTGAATAAGTAAAGGGAGAGGGAATTGTCATTTGAAGTTCACATACAAATGAAATCAAGATCTGGCTGCATGTTTTTAAACATGATGCGAGTAGAAATCTTTCAATATTCAATTTATTCCTTGTAAAGAAACCTGGAGTTATTTCTGATCATCAACAAGTGCATATATGTACCCAGTAATACCTCTATGATTCTCAGCACAATTTCCTTCCATGTGGTATTTGTTGTTTTGTATCCCCCCCAAAATAACAAAAAAATCAGAAACAGGACCAAGGATGTCATTTGTTCTTTTATAACAAGTTTGTTGTCTTGATTTCTTATATTACGGTGAGTTTTGCCATTTCTGTATAGTCCATTAATTTCTGTAGCCAGTCTTCTCTCTTCTGAACTTCTTTTCATTTGAGGGCAAATAACATTCTGGCAGCTGTAGTTGCATACATAAATAAATTTCTATACTGTTTAGGTAGTTCTAATCCTATAATTCCCAAAAGAAAAGCTTCTGGTTTTTTTTTACAAATCTGTTATCTTAAAGATTTTTAGAAAGGAATGGAAATGGTTCAGTGAATATTTACAAATAAATTGTAAACAGACATTATGACATGGGCAAGATTATTGTAAATCCCTGCAGTTGTTGTTGTTGTTGTTGTTGTTTTAAACATATATGAGATATATATGAGCATAAAAGAATAAGTGAAGATAATTCGGAGTATGCAGGAAATGATGAAAATAAATGTAAAGAACCGCAGAAAAAGAGGGAAGGAAGCCGAGGTTTGATATGCTAGAATTATTGTTGAACTATTGTAACGTATATAAATGAAAATTATAAATAAGTTTTTTTTTTATAAGGATGCAGAATTGAGGACAATGCAAATAAAATTAGGCATGCTAGTTAGCTTGGAAAATAAGAAGTTATAATATGCTTTTATTCAAATTCAAAGTATGCATGTAGCATGAAGCGTGCGCATAGATGGGTCTTTGCTTGCTGCTGCTTCTGCAACATTTCACACTCCTTCCCCCAGCCTAGTGAAGAAAAAACGCTTCTGTAGATGCTGCACCCAATGTCCTGGCCAAGGCACAGTTTGAAGGTGTGAGCCTGTTGCCTGACCACCCGCTCCACCCACATCCTTTTCCTATGCACCTACTGAGCCACGGAGGCGACTCATGGTGAAAACTACAGCGCCTGCCTGTCCTCTTCTCTGCTAACACCTGTTCCCCACTGAGCCTGCCCAACAAAGGTTGGTGACTCATTTCTTTCACTGCAACCCAGGACACGTTTTCAAATGCAATGGCCAAAGGTTTTGCTACAGAACTTCTTTCCACCTCAGGTCCACTTCCTGATTAAAGAGAATGCTTCGTATTTTAGCATCTGGTGCTCCATTTCTTTTTGTCAGGTTAATGAGCAATATTGGTAGTCAACTAAATAATTGGACGGGCAGAGTAACTTCCATTTGGACCATGTCTGTCTTACCAGGCACATCTCATGCCTGTAGGAAGGGATTTGCACTGGCTGCCCATTAGATATCAAGCCAGATTTTTAAGGTCTTCTTACTTATGTATAAAGCCCTAAACAGCTCTGGACCAGATTTCCTAAAAGAACAACTTCCCTTTCGTTGGCAGGTAAGGGTATTAAAAGTACAAATGAAGCCCAATTAGTCTTGCCACAGCTTCCTGATTCTTAGCTTGTGGGAGGTGGGCTCCTTTCACCGATAGCACTAGCGATATGGAGGGCACTCCATGATGAAATACAAGTATATTCATCTCTATTGGCATTCTGCGGGCTTTTGAAGGTGCCCCTGTTTACACAGATTTCTCAGCATAAATCTCATGTTTTAATTACTGCCATGTTTTAAAGGAATTTTTATGTCTTGATGCAATTGTTTTATTGTGCGTTTTAATGGCGATAATATCAAATGAAAGCTAAAAACATGTCAATTTACAAAATGAAAAAAGGAGGTGGTTTTATCAGGCAAATAGATTACAGTATTGGAATGAAATTTCCATAGCTATTGGCTGCAAGACTTCTGAAATTAGACCATTTAGGGAATGTATATAAATATTCCTAAGCTCACCAGCTGTCAGATACATCTGTAAATAGCCCTGATTTTTTTCAACCACTTTGGATGGTACACTTCCTATGAATATATAGCCCAGTTGATTAGAACATGGTGCATATACTGCCTAGGTTGCTGGTTTGGTTCCTGTAAGCTAGAACTGCATAGATTGGACTAGATCTTCCTCAGGGTCCCTCCAATGCTACAATTCTATGTTTCTTCTACACAAAAATCAATGTCACACATCCACTTTTTTCTCTAAATAAAAATAGCAAAGTATTTCAACCTGCTTCCTATTAGTGGATGAATGTTTTCTGAAGATTTTTAAAATTCAAACTAATACAAAACATCAGAAATAACAGACGGTTTATTTCCTTCGCTCTATTTCTCTTCCCTCCTTTTGACAAAGCATGCTGCTGACAGCTGACACACACACAACAGACACCAGAAAGCTCCAATATATATTCAATCAGGCCATATAGCAAGAGGAGCACAAAATCAATGACAGCGAGCTGAGCATAGTCAAGGGGTTACGAACAATGATGAAATTTTCAGGGTGCAAAGTTTATCAGTACATTGGTATCAGAGACTGCTCATTTCTTTTTCTTTCTTTCTTTCTTTTGTATTTTTGTTTAGATTTTCCATAATACAATTTAATTTAAAAAAAAGAGAAATAATACATGTCAGGGAACTGACATCGGAGCTAGAGGCGGAGGGAAGGCTCTCAAATGATGCTGGAGAAGGGCCCAGCAGGGAGAGAGGCAGCTCAGCAGATGGGGAAGCAAATCAGCGCAACACCAGGGATAAAGGGGGGCAGATGGGGGAATCGGCGAGAGGGCTCCAGGACTCTTCACCGGACACCAGCGGGGAGAGCACAGGTCCTCCGCTACCCACGCCCTCCCTGCGCAGAAGACTTCCGCGCAGGGAGAGTAGGAGGAGACTTGGCGTCAAACAACTTTTATGTTGGAAAAGGTTTAAGAAACACCCACTGACGGATTCTGCTAGCGACTGAGGCAGCCACGAAGTGAAGGGCTGTCCAGACAGAAAGGTTTAACAAGGCAACATAGCCAGGAGAGGCGGCAACTTACGCACAAGCAACCCATACTCATTACAATACATAACAGAAAAGAAACATTAAATCATTATACAATATCCAAAAAAGAAAAGAAAAAACATAAACAAAATAAAAGAAACCCACCACCCTGTTTAACTTCCCTCCACCGCTACTCGTCTTCTCTAGAATCAATTTTACCTTTATCGTTGCATTCTGATTGTTTTTATTTTCTCTACATACATACATATGTCATTGATAATTTATTGTTTTGATGCATTTACATTCTTAATTGAAGCATATTAGCATGTCTTTTTTTCTAAAGGGAATTCATTAATGCATGAAACATTATTTAAAAACAATGAAATATTACTATCTAAAATATATAACCTTTTGCTAGATTTGGACAGGATTGACAAGGAAGTGAAAAAGACAATGATTAAATGGGTGCAAAATTCGGCCACACAATATATTTAGAGCAATGGGAGAAACTTTGGCAGGAAGATATAAGGTTTACCGCCTGTAGTACAATAAAAGAAAATTTCATCAAAATGTTCTACAGGTGGTATTTAACCCCAGTCAAATTAGCAAAAATCTATCAACTGAAATCCAACCTTTGTTGGAAATGCAACAAGGAAGCTGGTACAACAATGCCTGTGTGGTGGAGTTGCACCCCGATTAAGTACTTCTGGGGAGAAATACATGAGGAGTTGAAAAAAATGATTAAAATCCCATTAACGAAAAAACCAGAGGCTTACCTACTGGGCCTTTTAGAAAAATAAATACCAAAATGGAAAAAAGAATTTTCTTATATGCGACCACTGCAGCTAGGATAGTAATAGCATCTAAATGGAAAGCTAAAGAACTACCTACCGAGGAGGAATGGATTCTCAAATTAAATGAATATTTTAAATTGGCTAAATTAACAGCATCCATACGACAGAAGTCAAATCAAAAACTAAATGAATGGCAATGCTTTGATGATTATATGTGTGCTGGTCCTGGGGGGTTACCGTGCGGCATGGTCCGAGTCCATTCCGAGGTCGAGGGTGTGGTATGGGGGCTGTCCGTCAAAGCTGTAGCTGGGTCCAAGGCAAGGAGTCGGGCGAGGTCAGGAACTCTGGCAGAAGAGCAGGACAGGGTGCCAGCAGGAACAGCTTACCAACAATGTTGCTCCCGCAACCTGGGTCTGGGCTGGCTGGCTTTTATCTCCACTGAGGCATAGGGTGGCCCCGGTCCACAGGTGACTCGCCTCTCCTGGCCTGGAGGCGAGCACTCCTCCTGCGGGAACTTAGTTCCCTCTGCCTCTCTGCCCTGAGCCTCTGCAACTCAGGAGAGGCTGGAGGGTTACTGGACCCAGAGGCAACCTCACCTTCCCCTGACGGGGCTGAGAGTGGAGCACCTGCAGGCAATGGGTCCTCAATCACCTGCAGAGACAGAGCAGATTCAGCTGGGGAATCCGGCACAAGTGAGGATCCGGCACAAGTGATTGCCCTTCAGGTTCAAGCCCCAGTCCCGGCTCAGCTGGTCCTGGAGACGGGGACTTCTGTGCAGGCTGGGATTCCTCAGGTTCAGCCTCTGAATCCGATTCCCAGGCCATCACAATATGACAAAATATTGCTCCAACAGAGACTGCTCATTGTTAGGATATTTCCGTTCCACCTTAGAAGGGAGCAGGCTTTGTGAGTCACAGAGTCTGCGCATTTCCTGTTCACAGGAAGTTTATGTTTTCTATTGCTTTCGTTTCTCTCTCTGTGTCAGAGACACTGAAGCAGGCAGTCATGTTTTTCTTTGTTCTGATCAATGCTGAATAAAACTTGTAAATAATGCTCTCCTGAGTGTGACTTCTGCTGTGCATTATCTGCTGATAGAGAGCGTGCATCGGCTCTAGAATGTGGCAGGCTATTTCTGGAGCTCATGTCGCTAATTAGGAGCAAAAAGCCTTTTCTTGTGTGTGTGTGTTTCTTTGTGGCTGATTAGCTGCTCTCCCTGTGCAAAGGTCAGAGGGGGCAGGGTTTCTGTTGAGGCAGGTGATTAGCTGTGGGAGGAGCTTATCAGAGCTTGCAGGGCAGCGGCGCGCGCAGTTTGATCCATCTTTTAGATTTAGGGGAGCTAGTCTCAGACGTTTGTTGGGGGAGACCTAGGTTTTTGGGGGGGGGGAGTTATTTGTCCTGTCTTCACGCTTTTTATGATGGAGGACCGCTGTAGCCACCCCCAACGACACGTTCTCAAGATGGAGGGGCGGGAACAGCTGCAGTCGCCTGCGGTTCCTGCGCAATGTTTGCCATCTTGCCAAAGGTTGCAGGCAGCTTTACCTGCAGCAATTGCATGTTGATTGCCCTCTTAAAAGACAAAGTCCAGCAACTGGAGGAACGTGTAGCTACGCTCCAAAGAATTAGAGAGCTGGAGCTCTTCTTGGAAGCAACAGAGCACACCGTCTCCACCAAGGAGGAGACAGGGGACTCCCTGAGAAGGAGGCTAGTTCACCAACACAGGAGCCAGATATATGGAGAAACGTGACTCAAAGAAGTAGGAGGCCCAGGGTTCGCTCTGATTGTTTAGAAATACACAATCGCTTTGAGGTCCTCTCCCTAGCATGGAAGACGAAGAGCAGACTCCATTTGAGGATCTCTCCTCATTACAGTCGATCAGGTATATGAAGACGAGCAGCAAAGTCAGTCCTCAGGGAATGTGCAGGCGACCTTGGAACGGACAGCTCACGGAAGAACCCTGACCAAACCTAAGAGGAGGCGTGTAGTGGTGATAGGGGATTCCCTACTGAGGGGAACAGAAGCAGTGATCTGTGGGCCTGACAAGATGTCTCGGGAAGTGTGCTGTCTCCCCGGGCTAAGATCCAAGATGTAACTGAACGACTGCAAGGAATCATAAAACCCACTGACAAATACCCCTTCCTCTTGGTTCATGTGGGAACCAATGACACTGCAAGCAATAGCCTGCAGAAGATCAAAAGAGACTACGAGGCTCTGGGCAGGAAACTGAAGCAATTAAATGCACAAATTGTCATCTCATCTGTCCTCCCAGTTGAACGACGTGGCCCAGGGAGAGAGGAAAAATAGTGGAAGTGAACAGCTGGCTTCGCAAATGGTGTAAACAGGAACGGTTTGGATTCTTAGATCACGGACTGCAGTTTCTTGAAGATGGACTTCTGGCAAGCGATGGGCTGCACCTCACAACGGTTGGGAGGAATGTTTTTGCCAAAAATCTCAGAAACCTCATGAGGAGGGCTTTAAACTGCCTAACGAGGGGGAGGGAGACAGTGCTCCTGAAGGTAGGAGTCTATCAATTGATGAAGATGATCATCCAAATGTCATAGACCAAATGGAGCAAACAGCACGCAGACCTAGTGGTGGGAGGATAAAATCCTTAAATAAGAGACACGGGGGAATGATTAATGGACTTCAATGTCTGTACACTAATGCGCAAAGCATGGGAAATAAACAAGATGAGCTTGAGCTCTTGGTATAGCAAACTAAATATGACATAATAGGCATCACTGAAACCTGGTGGGATAGGTCCCACGATTGGAATGTAATAATGGGAGGATACGATCTATTTCAGAGAAACAGACCAGACAAGAAAGGAGGAGGAGTGGCGTTATATGTCAGGGATGTGTATACCTGTGAAGAGATCCAAGATTTAGAACCTCAAAGCCAAAGTGAGAGCATTTGGGTCAAAATTAAGGGAGAGAAGAATAACAGTGACCTCATTGTGGGAGTTTACTATAGATCCCCAAGCCAAATGGAGGACATAGATGATGCCTTCCTGGAACAGATGGCCAAGCATGCAAAAGGAAGGGAGATAGTAGTAATGGAGGACTTCAATTACCCGGATATTTGTTGGATGTCAAACTCAGCCAAGAGCATAAGTTCAAACAGATTCCTCACTGGCCTTGCAGACCACTTCATTGTCCAGAAAGTGGGAGAAGCAACAAGAGGAACAGCCATTTTAGATCTGGTCCTAACCAATGTTGATGACCTGGTTAGTGGGGTAGAAGTGGAAGGATCATTAGGCGCGAGTGATCATGCTCTTCTGAAGTTTACTATACAGAGGAAAGGAGCAGCCAAGCATACTAGGACTCAATTTCTTGACTTTTAGAAAGCCGACTTCATAAAATATAGGGAAGTGCTGGGTGAGATCCCATGGACAGTAATACTAAAAGGAAAGGGAGTTCATGATGGCTGGGAGTTTGTTAAGAGGGAGATACTAAAAGCACAACGTCAGGCAATACCAATGAGACGGAAACATGGAAGGTGCCTAAAGAAGCCAGGGTGGCTATCTAAAGAACTTTTAACTGAGTTAAGATTTAAAAGGATGTGTACAAAAATGGAAAAGGGGGGAAACCACCAAAGAGGAATTCAAACAAATAGCCAGCACATGTAGACACAAAGTCAGAAAAGCTAAAGCACAGAATGAACTCAGGCTTGCTAGAGAGGTTAAAAGCAACAAAAAAGGCTTTTATGGGTATGTTCGTAGCAAAAGGAAGAACAAAGAAACAGTGGGGTCACTCAGAGGAGAAGATGGTGAAATGCAAACAGGGGACACAGAAAGGGCTGAACTCCTCAATGCCTTCTTTGCCTCAGTCTTCTCCGATAAAGAAAACAATGCCCGACCTGAAGAATTTGAAGCAAATGATTCAGCAAAGGAAACACAGCCCAGAATAACTAAGGAGATAGTACAAGAATACTTGGCTAGTTTAGATGTATTCAAGTCTCCAGGGCCAGATGAACTGCATCCAAGAGTATTAAAAGAACTGGCAGATGTGATCTCAGAGCCACTGGCAGTCATCTTTGAGAATTCCTGGAGAACAGGCGAAGTCCCGGCAGACTGGAGGAGGGCAAATGTTGTCCCTATTTTCAAAAAGGGGAAAAGAGAGGACCCAAATAATTATCGCCCAGTCAGTCTGACATCAATACCAGGGAAGATTCTGGAGCAGATCATTAAGCAAACAGTCTGTGAGCACCTAGAAAGGAATGCTGTGATCACCAATAGTCAGCATGGATTTCTGAAAAATAAGTCATGTCAGACTAACCTGATCTCGTTTTTGACAGAATTACAAGCCTGGTAGATGAAGGGAACGCAGTGGATGTAGCCTACCTTGATTTCAGCAAGGCATTCGACAAGGTGCCCCATGATATTCTTGTAAAGAATCTGGTAAAATGCGGTCTTGACTATGCTACCACTCAGTGGATTTGTAACTGGCTGACTGACCGAACCCAAAGGGTGCTCATCAATGGTTCCTCTTCATCCTGGAGAAGAGTGACTAGTGGGGTGCCACAGGGTTCTGTCTTGGGCCCGGTCTTATTCAACATCTTTATCAACGACTTGGATGATGGACTCAAGGGCATCCTGATCAAATTTGCAGATGACACCAAACTGGGAGGGGTGGCTAACACCCCAGAGGACAGGATCACACTTCAAAACGACCTTGACAGATTAGAGAACTGGGCAAAAACAAACAAGATGAATTTTAACAGGGAGAAATGTAAAGTATTACACTTGGGCAAAAAAAATGAGAGGCACAAATACAAGATGGGTGACACCTGGCTTGAGAGCAGTACATGTGAAAAGGATCTAGGAGTCTTGGTTGACCACAAACTTGACATGAGCCAGCAGTGTGACGTGGCAGCTAAAAAAGCCAATGCAATTCTGGGCTGCATCAATAGGAGTATATCATCTAGATCAAGGGAAGTAATAGTGCCACTGTATTCTGCTCTGGTCAGACCTCACCTGGAGTACTGTGTCCAGTTCTGGGCACCACAGTTCAAGAAGGACACTGACAAACTGCAACGTGTCCAGAGGAGGGCAACCAAAATGGTCAAAGGCCTGGAAACGATGCCTTATGAGGAACGGCTAAGGGAGCTGGGCATGTTTAGCCTGGAGAAGAGGAGGTTAAGGGGTGATATGATAGCCATGTTCAAATATATAAAAGGATGTCATATAGAGGAGGGAGAAAGGTTGTTTTCTGCTGCTCCAGAGAAGCGGACACGGAGCAATGGATCCAAACTACAAGAAAGAAGATTCCACCTAAACATTAGGAAGAACTTCCTGACAGTAAGAGCTGTTTGACAGTGGAATTTGCTGCCAAGGAGTGTGGTGGAGTCTCCTTCTTTGGAGGTCTTTAAGCAGAGGCTTGACAACCATATATCAGGAGTGCTCTGATGGTGTTTCCTGCTTGGCAGGGGGTTGGACTCAATGGCCCTTGTGGTCTCTTCCAACTCTAGGATTCCATGATTCTATAATTGCTGATACTGCGTGCCTACGGGAGATCGATGGACGTCCGACAGCCGGTTTGGGGGCCATGATGGACTTTGTCTCCCTGGCAGTATCCCAACACTCATTTCTTGCATGTGGAATTGGAGATCAGCTTTTCTCCTTATCGTGCCAGCTCCATCAAATCTCACTCTTATTTTTGTCTTTTGTGAACTTCTTCACAAGCCCTTCTAAATTATACAAGTTTAGCCTGGCAGATCTCCACATTCCTACACCACTTCCACACACCCCTTTAAATGCCTCCTGACAATTCAATGTTTTAGTGCATTTCTCCTAATGTGCACATTTTTTGTTTGCAATTTTGCCTAGCACACTGTTTTTTTTTGAGCCATCCCCTAATACAGTGCATTTTGGTATGTTGGCAGTTTACTAAACATATACCATTTGCCTGTTGCCTCCTGAAGGGATTTTTTTTTGGGCCTTCGCCCTGTGATGTTTGTTAGCCTGCAATTTGTTGTTGTTTAGTCATTTAGTCATGTCTGACTCTTCGTGACCCCATGGACCAGAGCACGCCAGGCACTCCTGTCTTCCACTGCCTCCCGCAGTTTGGTCAAGCTTATGCTGGTAGCTTCGAGAACAATGAGTTACAGGAAATTCTATTCGAGGCACTGCTGACTCACATCATTCAAGTTTTCCCTCTCCTCACAGATGCTTCTGGGCTTCCCTGTTGGTACCGGATCACCCTGTGGGCAGGTGGCTTTGTGATCATCATCCTGGGGGTGGCTGTGACAGTCTTGGGTGAGTATTATTTATTATTTCATTTATGAATTGCTGTCCATGTGGCATCCTGAAGTGGTTTACCATACAATAAAAGCATATACAGAATGATTGTCTAAATAAAAACAGTTAGCACATCTTCCATTAGCTCCAGCCCATTTGGTCTGGCCCCCTCTCCAGAGCCCTCCTTCTCCCCCCACCCCAGTGGTTTCAGTTGGCTGGGTTGGTGTGTATGGAGCACCCTTTACAAGTCTGGTGCATGGCCATGTTCTGCGTACTCCCATGAGCTTTCACCAGGGCCATACCCCTTCCACAAAATCAGGTGTTGAAAGTTCTTCGCATTGTGGAGTCTAGAATTTGTTCTACTTCATACTCCCCCTCTCCTTCTACCATGACGGGAGGCGGAGGTGCTTGTCTAGGTGCCTAGTAAGGGTGTGCAGGCACGACAGGCAACAAAACTGATCTGCGGAAGATGGGGTGAATCTTCATGGATACGGGCAATCAAAGCCAGAAAGTCACAGGGTTGATCTGATCTACAACTTTAAACGGGCCCATCCTCTGTGGCTCCAATTTCTTGCACCTGCCTTTCTGTGGCAAATCATGTGTCAACAGCCATACCTGATCTCCCACCTTAATCTCAGTGCCAGGTATTCTGTCTGCATCAGCCAATCTCTTACAGGTTTCCTTAGCACAATCCAAAACTCTCTTTTAGCAAACTCTGTATTCCTGTCAGTTCTTCTATGGAGTCTTCTGCTGCCGGCACTGACAGGGAGTCGGTCGGGGATGGGAAGGTGCGAGGATGGTATCCATAACTGGCAAAGAAGGGGGCCTGCTGTGATGAAGCATGAAGAGTGCAATTGTATGCAAACTCAGCCAAGGAGAGATTGGATACCCAATCGTCTTCCTGGTAGTTCACATATTCTGATTAGCTGTCAATTGGGAGTAGATTGACAGCTGAGGAGAAGTAATGTCAGTTGGGAAAGTCAGGGAGGGAGGGAGGTGTGAGGCAAACAACTCCCAAAGCTGAGGTGAAAACGGGTATCTGAGGCCTGAATAATAAGCTGTTCTTCCCCGTTACGGTAATAATAGTTTGCTGGTGAATATCAGAAGAAGGGAGCTGGTGGCTGTGTTAGACCAAGTTGCTGCCCCAGATAAAGATTGTAACAGGAATAAAATGGCAGAAGTGTGTCACCATTGTCTTATCATATCCATCTTCTTCTCTCATTCCTTGGCCTCTAAATTTTGAATTTGTGCCTTAACATTACGCCTACTCATTTAACTGGCTTTCTTTGTTTTGCAGGGACAGCTTTGCAGTTGGAAGCTGACAAGGGAAAAATTCTACTGAACAATGGTGGATGCAATGCCTCAACAGTCAAGTTTCTGGCTTCCCTAAGACACAGCATCTGCAATCAAAATCAGTATAATTCCTCAGGTAGAACTGATATATTGTACTGCTGTCTCTTTCAAGCATAGTAATTGTATGTAAGTTCTTGCTTTCAGTTCACATTTATGTTGTTTTGTAATAATTTTATTAAGGTTTTAAACAAAGAAAAAAAGAAAAACAACACACACAAAAAACAATACAAAACTTAACAATAAAAACAAAACATAACAATTAAAAACAAACTCTCTTTTCCATTTCCAATTTTAGATTACTTATTTTCTGGACTTCCTCATACCTCCTTTTTTTGTATTCCAATCCACATTATTTGTCCAGCAGTTTCTTTTCCACTTTTTAATCCCAATCTTTAATTTAATAAAATGTTAAAATATATAACTTCAACTTTTTTTAAACCTAATCCTTACTCTTAATATCATATAGCTTTAAATTTTTCCCTTTTATTATCAAATTTCCATTTCTTTAAACATCTTTAATCTTAATCTTTAATCTTAATCTATCCTTAACTTTAACCTGTACAGCTGGAAACCACTTATTTTCAATCCAACATCACTCTAACATTCCTTAATTTTGCAGTGTTTCTGAAGATAGTCTTTGAATTTCTTCCAGTCTTCCTCCATCGACTCTTCTCCCTGGTCACGGATTCTGCCAGTCATTTCCGCCAATTCCATATAGTCCATAAGTTTCATCTGCCATTCCTCCAGCGTGGGAAGTTCTTGTGTCTTCCAATACTTTGCGATGAGTATTCTTGCTGCTGTTGTTGCATACATAAAGAAAGTTCTATCCTTTTTAACACCATTTGGCCCACTATGCCCAGGAGAAAGGCCTCTGGTTTCTTGGGAAAGGTATACTTAAATACCTTTTTAATTCATTATATATCATTTCCCAGAAAGCCTTAATCTTTGGGCACGTCCACCAAAGGTGAAAAAATGTACCTTCAGTTTCTTTACATTTCCAACATTTGTTATCGGGCAAGTGATAGATTTTCGCAAGCTTGACTGGGGTTATGTACCACCTGTATATCATTTTCATAATATTCTCTCTTAAGGCATTACATGCCGTAAATTTCATACCTGTGGTCCATAACTGTTCCCAGTCAGCAAACATAATGTTATGTCCAACGTCCTGTGCCCATTTAATCATGGCCGATTTTACCGTTTCATCCTGAGTATTCCATTTCAGCAGCAAGTTATACATTCTTGACAAATTCTTAGTTTTGGGTTCTAACAATTCTGTTTCTAATTTGGATCTTTCCACCTGGAAGCCAATTTTCCTGTCCAATTTAAATGCCTCCATTATCTGATAATAATGAAGCCAGTCTCGCACTTTTTTAGTTTTTCAAAACTCTGCAATTTCAGTCTATCTCCATCTTGTTCCAAAATTTCCCAATATTTCGGCCATTTGACCTCCATATTGACCTTTTTCAAGGCTTTCGCTTCCATTGGTGACAGCCACCTTGGGGTTTTATTTTCTAACAAATCCTTATATCTTAACCAAACATTAAATAGCGCTTTCCTGACAATGTGGTTTTTAAATGCTTTATGTGCTTTGACCTTATCATACCATAAATATGCATGCCATCCAAATACATTATTGAAACCTTCCAAGTCCAAAATGTCAGTGTTTTCAAGAAGTAGCCATTCTTTCAACCAGCAAAAGGCTGCTGATTCATAATAAAGTTTAAGGTCTGGCAGGGCAAATCCACCTCTTTCCTTTGCATCTGTTAGTATTTTAAATTTTATTCTAGGCTTCTTGCCCTGCCAGACAAATTTAGAGATATCTTTCTGCCACCTCTTGAAACAATCCATTTTGTCCACGATCTGCAAAGTTTGAAACAAAAACAACATTCTAGGCAATACATTCATTTTTATCGCAGCAATACGGCCTAGCAGTGAAAGCTTCAAATTTGACCAAATTTCTAAATCTTTTTCACTTCTGACCAACATTTTTCATAATTATCTTTAAATAAATTCCCATTTTTTGCTGTCATGTTAATCCCCAGGTATTTAACTTTCTTAACCACTGTTAAACCTGTCTCATTCTGAAACCTCTCTTTTTCAAACGGTGTTAAATTTTTGTCTAGAACCTTGGTTTTTGACTTATTCAATTTAAATCCTGCCACTTGACCAAATTCTTGAATCAGTTCTAAAACCCTTTTTGTACTAGATTCTGGCTCCTGTAACGTCAATACTAAGTCATCTGCAAATGCTCTCAATTTATAATGTTTAATTCCGACCTGTATACCTTTAACCGTCTGGTCCCTTCTAATCATATTCAGCAGAACCTCCAGGACCGAAATAAAAAGAAGTGGGGAAATTGGGCAACCTTGTCGTGTCCCTTTTTCAATTTTAAGTTCTTCCGTCACAACATTATTTACAATTAGTTTAGCCTTTTGTTCTGAATAAATTGCACTTATACCATTCTCAAAACCTTGGCCTACCCCCATACCCTGAAGATTCTTCTTCATAAAATTCCAAGAAATATTGTCAAAGGCTTTCTCCGCGTCTACAAATATCAACACTGCTTTAGTGTTTATATTCACTTCTAATTTTTCCAAAATATCAGTTATATTCCTCAAATTATCAGACATATGTCTTCCTGGGAGAAAGCCCGCTTGGTCTTTATGAATCTCTTCCAACAACACTTTTTTAAATCTCTTCGCCAAAATATCTGCAAAAATTTTGTAATCCACATTAAGTAATGATATAGGGCGGTAGTTCTTAAGTTGTGTCTTTTCAGTCTCTGTTTTTGGTACAAGTGTAATATATGCTTCTTTCCACGACTCTGGTGCCCTCTTCCCCTCCATAATTTCGTTACAGACCTCTTTCAATGGTTGAATTAACCATTCTTTTAAAGATCTGTAGTATCTAGAGGTCAAGCCGTCTGGTCCTGGAGATTTACCCAGTTGCATATTTTGAATGGCACCTTCTATTTCCTGTTCAGTTATTCTGTCATTCAAAATTAGTCTCTTTTCTTGAGATATTTTTGTAGTCCATTTGTTTTCAAAAATTGGTCTAAATCTGTTTCTTTCACTGGCCCTTGAGTATATAGTCTTTTAAAATACTTCTGGAAACAACTTCTAATCTCTGCAGGGTTCTGTATATTCCTTCCTTCCACTTCTAAATTCGTAATCGTATTTAGTTTTTGTCTCTTTTTCATTTGCCATGCCAACAATTTACCACATTTATTGGCCGATTCAAAAGTCTTTTGTCTCATTTGTTTAATCTTCCATTCTATTTCCTGATTCATTATTTTCATATATTGTACTTGATGTAACTTTAACTCTCTCAGAATCTCTTGAGATTTGGGATTTACTCGCAGTCTTTTTCACATTCATTCATTTTGTTCATAATTTTATCCTTCTTTTCATTTTGAGTTTTTTTCTTTATCGCATTCTGTTGTATTAAGAACCCTCTCATAACAGCTTTACTTGCGTCCCAGATTACTCTTTTCTCCACGTTGGAACTAAGATTTATCTCAAAGTAATCTCTTAAAGTTCTTTGGGCCTTCTTAAGAAATTCTTCATCTCTAAATAAGGTGTCATTCATCTTCCATCTGAAGGAGCCAGTTGGTGTTAGTCTCATTTCCATCTTAACAGCATTATGGTCGGAGCAAATTTTCGGGCAGATTTCCACCTTTCTTGTCTTTGGTGCCATTCCTCTAGTTATCCAAATTTGGTCAATTCTTGTCCAAGTCATTTTGGCTTCAGAAAAGAAAGTTCCCTCTTTGCCAAGGGGTTTCTAATTCTCCAAATATCCACTAAGTCCAAGTTGTCTGTCATGTCAAAAAAGGTTTTCGGTAGTCTACCATCTTTGGTGACTACCTGTCTTTGTGCCTTGTCCATATAAGTAGATACCACTCCATTCATATCTCCCATCAAAATCATGTTGTAATCCATATGGTCCATCAAGGTCTCATGCAACTTCTTAAAGAAATCAGATTTCCCATCATTTGGTGCGTAAACTCCTACAATCAAAAATTTTTCTCCTTGTGTTTGAATTTCAATTGCCACAAATCTTCCTTGGTCGTCCTTAAAAACAAATTTTGGTGATAAATTGTCTTTTGCGTAAATCACAACCCCTCTCTTTTTAACTTTATCTGACGAAATAAATTCCTGACCAAGTCTTTTATTTATCAACAATTTCCTGTGTAATCTTGTTATGTGTGTTTCTTGTAAACAAATTAGGTGCAATTGTTACTTTTTAATATATGAAATACTGACTTCCTCTTCTGAGGGAATTCAGACCCCGACAGTTCCATGTTAAAAGTTGCAGGGCCATGATGTTATTGTTTTAGTTCTCCTCCTACTGCACCTAGTGCCTGTTCCTCATCCGTCGGTGGTATCCCTTCTTTCGAAAGGTCTTTTGGTTCCGGAGATAGTTCTTTTTGTAGGTCTTCTCCGTGGTCTCTACAAAATTTGTCTTTGTCGTCTTCCGATCTTATTTTCCTCTTCTTTCCTTTGTAGCTAAAAGACAGGCCTTGAGGAAGTTCCCACCTGAAATTGATATTGTTCCTTCTCAGCAGGATAACCAAGTCTTTATATTTTGATCTGAGATCCAGAAGATATTTCGGAATATCTTTGAATATTTCCACCCTTGTCCGATGGATTTCCAGTGTCTTCTTAAAATGTAGGCCCAAAATCTTATCTCTCTCTTCTTTTGTTTGAAAAGTAATCAGACAGTCTCTCACCTTCTTCTCTCCTCTTCTCCCGAGTCTAAAGGCATTTACTATTCTGAAGCTGTCTTTTACCGATTCTGGATCCCAAAAGTCCAAAAATTCCTGCGTGAGAAATTCAGCTAGATTGTCCTTTTCCACCTCAGGTACCGATCTGACCCGAAGGTTCACTTGCTTCTCCTTCAAATCTATCATAGACAGGGTTAGTTTGTGGTCTTCCAATTGTTTATGCAGTGTTGGTAATTCCTCTTGAACCTCTTTAACTTCCGTAGCAGAAGTTGTAGCAATTTCTTTAGCCTCTTCAGCAATCTGGCGAATTGAGGCCGATTCCTCTAATAATTTCTGAATAGTCTCTGTGTTAGTATTTACTTTTTGGCCCAAATTATTTATACTCACTGTATTCTGGTTAGTACTTGCTGTATTCTGGTTAATACTTGCTGTATTCTGGTTAATACTTAATGTATTTTGATCAATCTTATCAGAAGCCTCTGCTACTTGTTGACTTATTTTATTCAAAGATTCATTAACTTTGGCCAAAACATGAGCAAAGGCTTCTTCACTTGTCGTGCTTTTTACCTTTAATTGTGCCGATGAGGCTGTTGTTGAGGTTCCAGAAGGGCCTGAGGCCGAAGCTCTCCTTTGTAATCCTTCTTCTGTGCGAAGAATCTTCCCCGATCTTGTAGTCGAAGCATCCGCCTTCTCTTTCCCATCTGCCATTCCTTAGATAACGCCAAGGTCAGTCACGTATTTGAAGTTAAACAGTGGAAATTTCCTGCCAAGCAGTGTGAGAACTCCTCAAGTCTGCTACAGTTTCAGTTGTAACAAATTGTAACAGTTCCAAGTTCCACTAGGGGGACACTGTAACAGTCATAAAAGTTCTTGGATACTTTAATTTCTTTTTTAAGCCCCCCTAGTTTATTCAGGATGAAAACAGTCTATTCAGAATTTTTAACTTAAGACCAGGAGATATATATTCACATAAATTGTCCAAACTTTTATTTCTTGTGCTGGGCTAGCTGTCAAAATATATTACAAGACAGTACCTCTCTTTCTTTCCTGAAATCTGGAGATCCTTTCCCAGGGAATTGAGTGGTGGTTCAATCCCTTCTTTTCCACTCTTTATGAAGAAATCACATCCACAATTCTCCCCCTTTTCCCTCAATTTGAAAAGGGAAAAGTCCAGGTTAGATGATTGGATTAAAGTCCACTAAAAACGTACTTTCCAATTGCTTCCGCTTTCAAGTTCAATGCTTTATTTTATCTACAAATAAAGAGGCTGACTTCCTTTTTGAGCCTCTTTCCGTTTTCGGCCAGATTCCAGTTTTATACAGTTCCAATTTAAATTGTATCCTACTCACGGATCGTTGATTTTCAGGTCTGGATTTTAAGGAAGAAAGGCAGCGCTCTCCGATCAACAGCTTGCGGCTTCACACCACGAACGAGCAGACAGCCCACAGCACAGCGCTCTCCCCGCTCCGCTTCAAAGCCCGTTGCCGGGCTTCCTACCGGGTTGGGGGGGGCGCCAAATGTGCCCGCTGGGTCCCAGGCTCACAGGCTTCTCCCGCCTGTGATTTTTGAGGGTCCCCCGCTACGCCGAAAGCGGGATCCGACCCTTAATTCGCAGTGAGATTTCCTCCGGTGGAGGAAATCCGCCATTAATCGCTGGCGCCGCCTCCGGAAGTCATGACATTTATGTTGTTTTGAGGCATAAAACCTTCTGTAAAGAAACTAATTTCATTAATTGAAATTCATTCATTTTATAGACTCATAAAATTGTAGAGTTGGAAGGGACCTTGAGGGTCATCTAGTCCAACCCCCTGCAATGCAGGAATCTCAGCTAAAGCATCCATGACAGTTGGCCTTCCAGCCTCTGCTTAAAAACCTCAGGGAAGGAAAGTCCACCATCTCCCATGGAAGACTGTTCCACTGTCAAACAGCTTTTACTGTCAGAAAGTTTTTCCTGAAATTTAGTCAGAGTCTCTTTCCTTGTAACTTGAATCCATGGTTTCAGGTCCAACCCTACTGAGCAGGGAAAAAACAAGCTTGCTCCATCTCCCATGTGGCAGCACACATTCCAGCTTGTCAAAATCCTTCTTAAATTGTGGCACCTAGAACTGGACACATGACTCCAGATGGTGTTCTCATAGCTTGGTGGTAGAGTCCCAGATTCCATCCCTGGTGTCTCAAACTGCTGCTGGTCAGTGTAGACAAAACTGAGCTAGATGAACCCCGTGGTCTCCCTAAGAATAAGGCCGCTCCCTATGGTCCTGAATCATCAAGCATTGGTGGTTTCATTCTAGAGCTAACTTCACACTCAACTCTGGCCAATGCCTTTCTCACTAAGAGCCAGGTGAGGGAGGGGAGACCCACACATTTTCCCTCTGGAACAAAGCCACTTCCTTTGCTATACCAAGGACAGCATTTAAGTCTATTAACTCACCTGGCTAGTTAATATGGAATCCTCCATTATAGTTTAACCTTTTCTGGATCCAGGACCCCAGGAATTAGAAGGGACTCAGGTATAATGGAGACTGACAGCCCCCCCCACCCCCCCACCTCACCATAGTATTGTCAACACGGAGCTACCATGAAACAGACTGTGGAGACCAACTTGGACATGTAAGGCTGCAATTTGTCTTGTAAACTCCATCTTCATCTTTGTCCTCTAGAGGGCTCCAGTTTCCTCTCTCTGAACTCATTCAGATGCAAAAACTAGGCGAGTAATAAACTTGCATTTGCAAAAGGCCTAAACTAAGCATGATGTGAGAGATCTGTACTTTGATCTCTGTATCTTTTTATACTCAAAAGCATTTTGATTGTGCAGGGAGGACTGAATTGGAGCAGGACTATAAAAGAAGCTTTAAAGGGGCAAATCTGAATCAAGCTGCACGCCTGTTTCCCATAAAAATCACCTCCCCACCTGACAGCTATTGTCGCACCTCCCCCCATTCTCCTCTAAAAAGCACCTTCTGGCTCAAACAGAGGGCATGTTTCTGGGTGGGAAGCCAGCACTGAGTCCTGATAGAAATGGAGAGCATAATCTGGATCAGGGCTCTTCCTTCAAAAGAACTGTGGCAAATTTAAGTACACTTCCAAAAAAAAAAAGTTTTAAAAAAGTGAATAACATAAAAAGTTGTTGGACCCCAACTTTGAGGAGTTTCAAAGAACGCCCTGCAAACCATCAAGAAGAAGTGTGTCACTTCTGCTCATCCTGTATATTTGTAAATAAATGCAACTATTACAAAAACGCTGTAAGCCTGAAGGCACCTTCTTCCAAAGGAAGCTGAAATTAGGGAAGCAATGAACCTTTGGATCTTCTCAGTGCTTGGGGGAATACAGTGCAAAAAAGAGAAATATCTCACAGATTCCAAGAACCACAGGTTATTTTTTTGGCAGTATGCTTAAATTGCAAAGGACTCTTCCTTTTTCCTGGCATCTCTGAGGTATTTTTTTGCACCTTATTCTTGGATGCTTCCTGGTTTTGTGGTTTTGGGAGGAATAGGACAATTGCAACAATATATTCTGTTTTGAAAGCAAATAGCTTCAAAATCTTTCTGTCCTTAAAAATGCTGATAGAAATCCCATTGCCACATATTTTTGTCTAAAGAATGCAGGGGCTCCCGAATGTTTGCATAGGAGGAATTTGGGCAGGTGTGTTTACTTACATCCCTGCATGATAATATGTTTCTCCCAAATTCCCTCCTCTGCACAATGAGTAAATATACAAGTGTCCTGGTCTCTTTTGCAGCTTGCCTTCATTATCTTATCATATCAATCTTCTTCTCCCCATTCCTTGGCCTCCATAATTTGAATTTGTGCCTTAACATTATGTCCATTCATTTTAATGACTTTATTTGTTTTGTGGGGGCAGCTTTGCAGCTGGAACCTGAAAAGGGAAAAATTGTGCTGAACAATGGTGGATGCAATGCCTCAACAGACAAGTTTCAGGCTTTCCTAAGACTCAACTTCTGCAATCAAAATCAGAATAGGTCCTCAGGTAGAATTGATATATTGTACTGCTGTCTCTTTTAAGCATAGCAATTGTATGTAAGAACTTGCTTTCAGTTCACATCTATGTTGTTTTGAGGCATAAAAGCTTCTGCAAAGAAACTCATTCATTGTGGGTGAATCATAGACTTATAGAATTGTAGAGCTGGGGGGAACCCCAACAGTCTCCTTGCAATGCAGGAATCTCAGCTAAAGCATCCATGGCAGATGGCCATCCAGCCTCTGCTTAAAAACCTCCAGGGAAGGAGAGTCCACAACCTCCCAGGGGAGACCGTTCCACTGTCAAACAGTTTCTACTGTTGTTTTTCCAGATATTTAGTCAGAGTTCTCTTTCCTTGTAACTTGAATCCATGGTTTCAGGTCCAACCCTACTGAGCAGGAAAAAAACAGGCTTGCTCCATCTCCTGTGTGATTTGAGCTAGAGGAACCCAATGATCTCCCTAAGAATAGGGTCCTGAATTATCAAGCATCAGTGGTTTCATTCTAGAGCTAACTTCACACTCAACTCCGGCCATTGCCTTTCTCACTAAGAGCCAGGTGAGGGAAGGGAGACCCACACATTTTCCCTCTGGCACAAAGCCACTTCCTTTGCTATACCAAGGACAGCATTTAAGGCTATTAATATGGAATAGTTAATATGGAATCCTCCATTAGATTTTAACCTTTTCTGGATCCAGGGCACCAGGAATTATTAGGGACTCAGGTATAATGGAGACTGACAGCCCCCCCCCCAAAAAAACCCACCTCTCCACAGTATTGTCAACACGGAGCTACCATGAGACAGACTGTGGCGACCAACTTGGACATGTAAGGCTGCAATTTGTCTTGTAAACTCCATCTCCATCTTTGTCCTCTAGAGGGCTCCAGTTTCCTCTCTGTGAACTCATTCAGATGCAAAAACTACGTAAGTAATAAACTTGCATTTGCAATGGCATGATGTGAGAGATCTGTACTTTGATCTCTGTATGTTTTTATACTCAAAGGCATTTTGAGTGTGCAGGGAGGACTGAATTGGATCACGACTATAAAAGAAGCTTTAAAGGGGGCCAATCTGAATCAAGCTGCACGCCTGTTTCCCATAAAAATCACCTCCCCACCTGACAGCTATTGTCTCGCCTCCCCCCATTCTCCCCTAAAAAACCCCTTCTGGCTCAAACAGAGGGCATGTTTTTGGGTGAGAAGCCAGCCCCGAGACCTGGTGGAAATTGGGAGCGTAATCTGGATCAGGGCTCTTCCTCCTTCAAAATAAATGTGGCAAATGTAACTACACTTAAAAAGAAAAGAAAAGAAAAGAAAAAAGAAAAGAAACAAAGTGAATAACATAAAAAGTTGTTGGACCCCAACTTTGAGGAGTTTCAAAGAGCACCTTGCAAACCAACAATTTACTGGACAACTTCACTCAGCCTAGTGACACTGGGTCTTTACCATTGCAGAGCAGTTATGTTTATACAATCGAAATGGAGGCCCAGTCATAATCATTAAGTGTCTTTCCTTCCACAGATAATTCCCCTTGCAAAGTGTGCCCTTTGCAGTGGCAGCTCCACAGGGACAAGTGCTACTGGCCATCAGAAAATATTAAAAGCTGGAATGAGAGCCAACGTGACTGTTCAACAAGGGATTCTCAACTGCTGGTCATCCAAGACAAGGAGGAGCTGGTAAGGGGACAATTGCATATTTCAGGCAATGCATTCGCATGCATGTTAATTCTGAAGGAAGCCTGAGTCCAACTGAGCTTAACTCTAGCTTAGTAGCTCTGCAATGATAACATGGTTGGTGACTTGAGAAGCATGTGGAGTGTGGGGCCTTGTTTAGTGCTTCATCCCATTCCCACCCACGGCCAGGTCATCAGTGTCTAGAGAAGGCCTTGGGGAGCTTGACTAATGAGAACCAAAGTACCCGTTGCAAGCAAATCCCTGTAACTGTAGCCCAAGTCCTCTTTTTATTTAGAAAGACTCTTTAGGAAGGTGAGGTTGGTTGTGGAGCAGTGGGAGAGGAGGAGCTGGTGTTCCCCTTGTTTTCCCCCCATTCCACATGGCCTTTCAGCGGCTTTTCCCCATGGATGCTTTAAAGCGTGTTTGGAGGCTTTTTCAATGGTGTTCCCCATATACACAATTTCACTTAAATGCACAGTTCCTTGCAACGTAACCCTTGTGTAAATAGGGAGGCCTGCATTATAAATGCTTAATGCTGCTTTGATTACTGTTCTTGGTGAATGTTTCGTTATAATTAATATCAACTTTCACATTTTACTACTTTATTTTACTTTAATGTAAGCTTTATTCTGAAGTTATCAACTTGAAAATAATTTAACAATTTTTTTTATAAAAAAACACATTATCTCATGCAGGATTTCATAGAAAGCATTACTAAAAATTCAAAATACTGGATTGGACTCTCACTATTAAAATCGAAGAAGAAATGGATGTGGATTACAGGCTTCCAGCTTGATCAGAGTCTGTGAGTTGTTATTGTTTTTAATCTAAGCAAAAAATCATACAATTTTGACTTTTGAGAAATTGGGAAAGGTCTGGGATGGCAAGTTTCTATACCATGAAGTCATGCAGGTAGTTCTATTTTTATTTTTATTCACTGGCCACTTCGCTCCCCACTCATGGTCTCAATTGAAGTTCCCCCCTTTCTCCAGAACACTGGTTCTTGGGGGGAAGAAAAGATCTTTAGGGGTGTGAATGGAATATTTTCCCTATTTATAAGTGCTATATGGAACCGCAGTGGCAGGGAGTGGAGGTGTAACCCTTCCCACTTTTTTTTTAAAAAAAATGCAAAGTGAAAGAATAGTAGAAAATCCTCATGCTCCTTGCCATAACCAGTGATAACACCCTTCTCCATGGAATTCTTAAAAAAACTTCACCCTGTTTCTATTTCCAAGGCTTTCTTTCACTCCTAACACACACAAATGGTCAAAAAGAACTGGCCAAAAATATTAGCCTGACCTAAGAGGAAAATCAGAGAAGAGAGAAGAAAGGGAAAACTGGCAAGTTATTGGCAGTTAATGATGGGTGCCCCCCCACCATCCCATTTATTTTGGGGTTGCCAACAGACCGGTTTGAGTTTAATGTAGTTGGGAATGTGCTGAGGTCCAAATATGGATAAGCAAGCCAACTCCTGCTCTCAAGTTCCTATATCTGCCCAATTGCCCCCATTTCACTAATTCTTCCTAGGTGGCAAATTGGTAGGTCATTTTCATTCAGAGGCGTAGCATGGAGGTGCCACTGCTCCGGGCACAATTTGGAGAGGGGGTGCAGACAGGCGTCCCACAGCAGGCTCCTTCATCAGAGCCTGGCTCTGCTTCAGAAGGAGCTGCTCCTTGGTTACAGCGCTTGTGCCTGGTGCCAGGGGAGGAGAGCAGGCGAGGGGGAGGCAGCGCTGCTCTGCCACTTGGTCACTTCTGACGTGGTGGTGGAGAGGAGGAGGAGAGTGGGTAGCAGCTTCCCCAACCCTCTCCTACTCTGAACTGTGGCGCAGGAGGGCACTCTCTGTGCATCACCCTTTTGGGAGCGTGCCGCGGGCATATGCTCCACCACTGTTTTGATTTCCAGATCCCTGGTGGAACATCAACCACTGCTGCAATCCTCCTTCCCAGGCCCCAAAGTCTTGGGGCAGGAAAAAGGTGGTGATGCTCCCACTATCAAGCTCAGCATGACTTTCTTCACTCTCTCCACTTTGATGCAAGTTTGGAGGATTCAAATGCATACAACCAGCTTATTGTACATTTTGGGAACACTCATGCTTTCTATTAAGAATATGAAAAAATAGTTGTAACAGACTTCAGTCCTGATATTCAGATGTACCCTTTTCTTCCACAGATTTAAAGAACCAGACTATGCTGAGAGAAACTCTTGCGCTGCAATAAGACATAAAATTATCTCTGAACGCTGCATTGCTGAACTTAGGTGGATTTGCCAGAAAGGCCCTCTCCTACTCTGATATTTTAGTTTGATAAATGTAATAATTATGTGGGTTTTGGTTATTTGCTAGGAACACACAATAAAAATGTCATTGAGTGACTGAGAAGATTATGTAAAGGTATTATTCTATTGTCATCAAAATACCTCTTTGTGAAATCCAGAGGCAGCACACCTAAAATGGAATTCTAAGTCATTTTATGTTGGCTATTAAAAGATTGGTTTTAAGTCACAATTGAGGATCAGCTGTAGAATTTGACAGTGCAAAATAAATAATAACAATAATAATAGTACCCCACCCATCTGACTGGGTTTCCCCAGCCACTCTGAGCAGCTTCCAGCACAATTAAAAACATAATAAAACATCTAACATTAAAAATGTCCTTAAACAGGGCTGCCTTCAGAAGTCTTCTGAAAATTGTATAGCTATTTATTTCCTTGACATCTGATGGGAGTGCTTCCCACTGAGGGGGGTGCCACTACCAATAAGGCCCTCTCATGCTCCGGCACCAGGGGGTGGAGAGCAGACGGGGGTGGGGCGCACCGCACGCAGGGGCGTGATGCGCATCCTGGGGGCGCAGCACGTCGTCTGCAGGGGCGTGACACCCAGCACGGGCAGGGGAGGGAAGCCGCGATGGCACCTGACCAGGATCGCGCTGCCGGGGGTAAATCATAGTACCTTTGTTTTTTATTGAATATAGCACTGTAAACCACATGCACCATTGTAATGGATTGCTTTGTTTGTTATTTCTGCCCCAGGTACAGCAATTAGCCCCCCAATTCCTCCACAACCTGTCCTTTATTTTGACCAACCAAAGGTGGCAACCCTATCCACCCATCAATCTCCTTTATTGGCATAGAAAAAGTGCATCATATACATGGATCAGTACACAGCACAGTTAACAAAACGAAGTAGGAAATATTTTAGGATCTCCTCCTTCAATAAGAGGGCCAAGTACTTATCGTATATTTTTGCATAAAATGGGCAATAAAATAAAATGTGTGTGATGCATTCGACCTGTTTAGTGGCACAAGATCAGTATCTTTCAGAGTATGGGATTTTTGAGAATCTACCTTGCAAAACTGTTATAACCTGCCCTGGGACTTTAGACTGAATGTAGGTAATAATAATAATAAAATAATAATAATAATAATAATAATAATACAAACCTTGACTACAGCTTGTAGTTAGTCTGGGAAAATAGCCAACAATTTATTTATTTTTAATCCACATTTAAAACAGTATAATTGTCACTTTTTTTAAAATAGTAAATTTTATTAGTATTTTCCACACAACAACAAAAAATGAAAAATAACAATACACAAAACACAAAAACAAGCATATAAAATAAATCTATATCTTACAAATTAATAATATAAACACTAAAAAGGAAAACAAACATTGACTTCCACCAGTCCCACAACACCTCCTTTACCTCTCATTGTATCTTCCTGTTTTCCTTATCATCTCTATCCTAGCATCTAGATATAAATCCCTCTTTCTTAACCTTTCACTTCACAAGGTTATTCCAGACTCCGCCAGATTTCTGTCCTCGAACCTTGGCTTTTAAGATATTCATTTAGGCACTCCCATTCCTTTTTCACTTCACTTTTTTATAAATGGAATAATTTGAACTTGTCTTTATGGGGTAGGCTATCCTTGATAAAAAATGTCAATTCTCCCAAAAATTCTCTTTCTTTTCCAGACGATCCCAATAATTATTGGGACAAAATGTTTTAAAGGCTGGCAAAGGGATCTTTCTAATTTTATTTGGCAGGGTAAGAAGCCAAGAGTAAGGTTCAAAGTATTGATGGAGCCCAGAGAAAGGGGCAGGTTCACGGTCCCAGACCTCAAGCTGTATTTTGAAGCCACATGCATGACGTGGCTGAAAGATTGGATGTTGGACAGATATGGAAATCCTAGACCTGGAGGGCTGGGACAAAGTTTTCGGGTGGCATGGCTACCTGGATCATGATAAAATAAAAGCACATAGAGGCTTTACTAATCATTTGGTGAGAAAGGCCCTATTCGAAGTTTGGGAAAGAAATAAAACAACTCCCTGGTGGCTATCGCCTATAGAGTCATCAGCCATGCATAGAAATAATATGAAAGACAGTTGGCTAACATATGGGGAACTCATAGAAGAGATAAAGGATTGCCCGACAGTAAAGAAGTTTGAAGAATTAAAAGAGAGGGGGGTGAATTGGTTAGAATATTTCCAATTAAAAACGATATTTGAGAAGGATAATAAACTCAAGGGGTTTGATAAAAAAATCTCGGTATGGGAGAAGGAAATCTTATAACCAACCAACAGACTCTCTCAAAAATATATAAATGGTTACAAAATGGAAAAATAGAAAAGGAGGGAAAAGGTGATGCTATTAAAAAAATGGGAACAAGATCTGGGCCACTCAATTGAATATAATGAATAGGAAAGATTATGGACAAAAAATATAAATTTTACAGCATGTTATCTAATAAGAGAGAACTATATGAAAATGCATCACAGGTGGTACCTGGCGCTAGAAAGGCTGGCAAAAATGAATAAAACATATAATAAGTGCTGGAGATATAAAAAACAAAAAGGAACCTTCTACCATATGTGGTGGACATGCCCTGAAATTGGGAAATTTTGGAGCATGATCAACGAATAAATAAAGAAAATACTAAGAATATCACATAGTAAAAGGCCAGAGGCATACCTTTTAGGAATTTTAAACGACTATATTCCAAAAGACAAAACTAAATTTTCTTATACGTGACATCTGCAGCAAGAATCCTGGTGGCTAAGTATTGGAAAGGGAATCAGTTACCCACTAGGGGAGAATAGTTATGTAAGCTTTCAGAATATTTAGAATTAGCCAAATTGACAGATATAATAAGGCAGAGTATAATTGTCAATTAAGGAAAAGAAAAACACACTTTTTCCAATCCATTATATGCCCAGTCAATCATGCAATTAAATTCCCATCCCCCTAAACAACAAAAAAGGCACGAAATGCTTCTGTATAACATATAATTAAACATATAACCTATAATTAAAACACAAAGTAACAAATATACTATATATTTCACATCTGGTGGAAAGTATTTTTTAAAAAAATAGTTTTCATTGATTGATTCACACACCTAATCACAAAAAAATTAAAAATTTGCACAAGATTTTTTCGAATCTCAAGACTCCCCTCCTCCCCTCCGTGGGTTCTTTAAGTAACTTTTATAAATTCATATTATAAGGCCTTCTTTGGCCACCTCATGAGAAGAGAACACTCCCTGGAAAAGACCCTGATGCTGGGAAAGATGGAGGACACAAGGAGAAGGGGACGAAGGAGGACGAGATGGTTGGACAGTGTTCCTGAAGCTACAAACATGAGTCTGACCAAACTGCGGGAGGCAGTGGAAGACAGGAGTGCCTGGCCTGCTCTGGTCCAGGGGTCACAAAGAGTCGGACACGACTAAACGACTAAACAACAACAACAACAATTATATCCAAAGTCTATGTATCATTGCAAGAATAATTTGAAACCTGCCAAAGAGTCCAAGTGTTTACAGTGGTCTTTCAGATATAAATTTGTCACATTCTTTATTGAAGTTTTGATCCTCCTGATTTCTGATTTTCCCGGTTAGTCTTGCCATCTCTGCGTAATCCAATAGTCCACCTGGTAAGTATCTTGTCATTTTTCCAATTCTGGGCAAGCAACATCCCTACAGTTACATCTGGTGAAAAGTAAAGTATCCTTATTTGTTGTGCGCTTCTTTTCTCCTGGGTGTTATGGGGACTGTGATTTTCGCTTCCAAATGCCATTGTCTGTCCACAATTGCCAAAATGCAGGCAACGTGCCATCAGTAAGCTACTTCTTCTTCCAGAAGGTCTTATTTTCAGATTACTGTAAAGGGCACATCAACACCATACATTTCAAGCACTGCCACTTCAGAAGTCCTGGCTTCCCCCAAAGAATCCTAGAAAATGTAGTTAGGGGTGCTTATGTAGGTAGTTAGGTCCGCTCAGTGCACATCCAGTGCCTTTTGTCATCTGAACTGGTTTGCTGCAGATCCAGGGTTCTTCACTTCGGCCGCTGGAGCTGGCAACACCTTGATGGTTTATATAAGCACATTCTCCTCCTCCCCGAATTTTAAACCTAAAATTTCAAACAGAACATATGTTGAAATAATCATAACAATAATTTTATTATTAATATGCCACCCATCTGATTGGGTTGTTCCAGCCACTCCGGCCAGCTCCCAACAAAATATTAAAAACATAATAAAACATCAAACATTAAAAACTCCCAATACTGGGCTGCCTTCAGAAGTCCTCTAAAGGTTGTACAGTTCTTCATCTCCTTGACATCTGATGGGAGGGCTTTCCACAGGGCAGGGGCCACTACCAAGAAGGTTCTCTGTAACTTCACTTCTTGCAGTGAGGGAACTGCCAGAAGGCCCTCGGAGCTGGACCTCAGTGTCCGGGCTGAACGATGGGGGTGGAGATGCTCCTTCAGGTATACAGGGCCAAAGCTATTTAGAGCTTTAAAGGTTATCATCAAAGGAGCCAACTCCTAGGTGCCGAGATCCCTTCAGTCCCCCAATAAAATATTTGAGGGGGCTGCCCCCCAAAGCTAATGGGCATTGCCACTCAAATGGTGTGCATGTGTTGCATCTTGTGATCAGTTATATGAGGCAGGTCCAAGCGGGAGATAACCAGAGCATGCAGCACTCTGGTGAGACAGTGCGCAGGCAGATGGGGTCTCAGCTGGTGTACCAGATGGAGCTGGCAGAATTGACCTGCCCCTTCATGGACAGCTGTGAGTCCAAGATGACCCCAAGGCTGTACAGCTGGTCCTTTAGGGGCCCAGTAACTCCATTCAGGACCAGGGAATACCCCAAACATGCCCGCCCGCTGTCTCCCAGAAACTGTACTTCTGTGTTGTTGCTATTCAACCTCAACCCATTAACCGCATTCCATAGAAAATATCCATAGAAATATCCCTGGGAACCAGCAGAAGACCAAGCAGAAAAAGAAACACCAGGCATAGGTGCAGGGAGGCCTGGAAGCAAATTTTCACCTGAAGAAGACAATTGCATTCATATTCATATAATACAAATATTCATATTTCTAAGCAGCTTTTCCACCAAAATATTTTCTTTAGAATCTGACCTAGAAAGAGAACATCAAACTCTTGCTGCGCTATGACTGAAAATGAACTTCTATGTGTGCTGCTGACCACAAGGTGGAGCTCTGTGTATAATAAGCGAGAAGGCTTCTGGTCAGTTCCTCAACATCCAGGCAGACTACAGTGGTACCTCGGGTTACATACGCTTCAGGTTACATACGCTTCAGGTTACAGACTCTGCTAACCCAGAAATAGTGCTTCAGGTTAAGAACGCTGCTTCAGGATGAGAACAGAAAAAGCACAGCGGCGGCACAGCAGCAGCGGGAGGCCCCATTAGCTTAAAGTGGTGCTTCAGGTTAAGAACAGTTTCAGGTTAAGAGCAGACCTCTGGAACGAATTAAGTTCTTAACCCGAGGTACCACTGTACTAGTAACAATTGTGAAACTACAAATGTGCCTTTGACAGTGGCGTGTTGTGAACTTTTTTGTAGGGGAACAGTTAGGACAAGTGGCGTGAGCTTGTGATTGGGGTGGGGTGGAGAACAAGTGAAGTTGCAACATTGCCACGTCCAACACAGGCATCATGCCTCCCGCTCTAAGCCAGGCAAAAGCTTCTTGGGCTTTGGGAAGGAGGCGCCAGGTTTTAATACGTCAATACTCTTATTTACTGGGAACATTTAGGGGGACTAGGCTAGTCCCCTAATCCATGGGTAGGCAAACTAAGGCCCGGGGGACAGATCCGGCCCAATCGCCTTCTCAATTCGGCCCACGGACGGTCCAGGAATCAGCATGTTTTTACATGAGTAGAATGTGTGCTTTTATTTAAAATGCATCTCTGGGTTATTTGTGGGGCATAGGAATTTGTTCATTTTACCCCCCAAAAAAATATAGTCCGGCCCCCCACAAGGTCTGAGGGATAGTGGACCAGCCACCTGCTAAAAAGGTTTGCTGACCCCTGTGCCTAGTTCATTGACTGCATGCCACTAGGCTAGGACCAGGAGCTTTGTAGTCCTTGAGGAATATACGTAGTGCTTTTTCAGAGGGTACTCAATGGTACTCAGTACCTGCGCCCTTTTTTCTTTTCCAAATGTTCAAAGCGTGGCACTTGCTGTAAGAACTTCATGGTGAATATTGGCACCTTATTTTCTATATTAAAAAAGCACTGCATATGTTGCTCCTCAAAGCACACCTGTTTGGGCAAGCATTGATCTTGATCTTTTCACTCAAACTATTTTAACTGTTACACTGTTTTAAGGGACTTGTTTATTACACATTTTCATTGTGGATGCTCACCAGTTATTGAAAATAGTGCCATCGATCCATCTCCAAGGCTCCTGGTCATTCATCTTTTGGAGACCAATCCAGTAGTCTGCAGGACCTTTGTACCGTCTCAAAAAGCTCTTAATAAAGAAAATAAATAAATAAATAAATAAATAAATAAATAAGAAAATACATTTCCACCCCTCATCCAAGTGTAGAATCAACTGCATTTGGGGCTGCAGACTGTGCTCTGTATCTTTCCACTCACCATCTCTTCTTGGGAGTCAATCACGACCAAAGAGGCATTGAAAGAGGCACAATAATTCTGGCTAGAAGTCCAATTTCTGTCACTGTCCGAAAAATAGTAACATTTCCTTTGGTAGCCAATCCAGCCGTCCGGACAGTACTCAGTTAGAGTGGAAGGAGAAGGTAGGGCAGGTGGCAATACTGCGCTTCTCCCTAGAAAGGTATCAGAAAGTGAGACAGATCACTATCCATAGCTTATAAATAGTCCTACCCAAAATAAAGGTCAGGCAATGTCCTCCACTCATCAACATTATATCTGTGTGCTGCCTTTCCACAAAAGGAATCCTGCTCAAAAGCAGCTTGCAACAAAGAAAATGGGAACACATATCAAGCATCATAAGAACCATCACATAAAAATATAGTAAAACAAGAAAATCTTTAATAAATAATTAAAAAATAAAAATATCGTATAACAACATAATTGCAAATACACCACACAGAAACTGTGTGCAGGAGGTCTCCGGTCAACCCCCATCATCTCCAGGTGGGGCTGGATAAGGGTGGGGAAATGAGGGTAGGAGGAGGGCAGACAGCCCAGTGCCCATATCTGTCCAAAAGCTCAGGAGCTTGCAGGACATAGAGCAGCTTCTCTTGTGGCTCAACCATAGATAGTCGACCTCAATCGACTATCCATGAAATACACAGCCAGGGTCTAGTTGACTCTCCCTGAGATAGGCTTTTGATTAGAATTGTATCGTACAATTTAAATCACTTGAAATTGTGTGTGTATTGTGTGTGTATATTGTTTGTGCATACTGGTCTATTATTACAGTACATGAAGTCTACCTTGCCTGAATGTGGGCCCCTATCCACAACTGCTTCCAGGCTACCTCAACTGAACACCGATAAAGCTATTCTAGCTGCTGAGGAGAGAAGATCTGTGAGAGCATGTGGCCTGTTGATAACCTGGCAGACGTTACAGCAAAATGGCTCTTCACTTACCTGATAAACCACTCCTGCTGCTGCTGATGATGATGATGGAAATGATCAGAATGACATTAAGCCCCAAGCTCACAATTATTACACTCTTGCACAAACCTGCAGAGGGAAATAAAGTGTTAATGTGTCCTTGGTTTCAGCAAGATGCCGGACAAGTCCTTCTAGAAACTCCAAAGTATCTGGGGATTCCAAGTCTACCCAGGCTTGGGTCGTCCACCCACATTGAAGGTGTGAGTTCAAGGTTGCATCACACCAAGATGTCATACCACTCAACAGTCCTGATTTATGTGGGACATCCTGGAATTACAGACGCCAATCCTGGCTCCTGATTGCATCCCGGAATGTCCCATTTTTGGTCTGAGTCTGACTTGTAGTGCAAGTCAGCTGGGGACCAAAAAAAGAAACGTCCCAATTTTGGTCAGTGGGATGTTTGAAGGGTATGAGATGAACCAAGTTCACCTGTGGCATCATGAAGCTCATTGGTTTGGTGCCTCCCACCACAAAGTCAGCCAACTGATAGGCCTCTGCGCATGACTGGTGAGTCACCAGTTATTTATTTTATTAAAAAGTATTCACATGCCACCATCTCCTAAACTATCAAGGTAATGCACAATAATGTTTACCGTATAGGCCTGAATATAAGCCTCTCTTTTTTTCCAAATTCTGACCGTGAAATGTTAAAGTGCAGCTTATATTCGCGACCTTACAAAAATGGGCTTGGAGCGAGCATTTTCTCTCCCCCCCTCCCCTTTAATTTTAAAGGTGTGGCTTATATTCAGGTACAGCTTATATTTGGGCCAATAAGGTATACAATAAAACAAAAAAACCCAGTAGAAATAGGGAAAAAAAGAAAAAAGAAAAATTAATATAACTGGAAAATCAACATTTTAAACAGCTGTATAGGCTTGCTGGCATACGAAGAGGTCTTCAAGAGATACCTGGAAGTCAGAGGTGAAGATGCCTGATGTGTCTCTGCTGGAAGAGCCTTTCACAGACTGAACTGGTGGCGCTAAATGCCCAACTTCTAGCTGAGGTCACTTGGGCTTCTGAGACACGGAGACAACCAGATGTGCTCCTGTGGATGATCCTAATGATGAAGCTGGGATATAAGGGCTCAGGTGGCCCTTAAGGTATCCTGGACCAAAGTTCTTCTGGTCTTGGTATATGTGGACCAGGCATAGGCAATCTCGGCCCTCCAGCTGTTTTGGGACTACAACTCCCATCATCCCTAGCTAACAGGACCAGTGGTCAGGGATGATGGGGATTGTGGTCCCAATCCAGCTGGAGGGCCACGTTTGTGCATCCGCTGCAAACATTTTAGCAGAGCTGCCATGTACTGTCAACCATCTGCCTCCATCAGAGGTCTAGGCATTCTACAAAATCTGGAGCTTCACAGCTGGGCTGGAGGGCAGCCCCACACAGAGCACTGTAGTAATCCAGTTTGTTTTTAAGAGCAAAAGTTGAAGGGACTGCAAGAACTGAATGGAATGTGATACATGCCAAATGCCACACGGACAATGCCAGAAGACAGAGGGAAACACAACCCGTCGTGTGAATCATTAACGGTTAGCCAATGTATGTACGCATGTGCAAGCAGGGAAATTTGAAATGTAACTGTTAGTATAAACTGAGCACTTGCACTTTTAGAGGGATTGTAATCCCATCCAGAACAGGTAAGCAGCCTATCTCCTGGCAATGCAGCTGTTGTAACATCTGTCCTGTTAAGCTGGACTTCCAGAAGTTATGCTTGTCAGTGTAAATTGCCTAATAGTGGCAGCCTTGTTAAATCCCCTGGCTGCCAAGATTGTTACCAGAAAACAGCGCCAGTCAAGGGAGCTGCAGTGTCATATACTGCTATATTATAACTGTGTACACAGGGCTTTGGAGCAGGGGTGAGTAACCTGCAGCCCCCCAGATGTTGCTGGACTCTAACTCCCATCAGCCCCAGTCATCATTGCCAGGGGTCACAGGTAATGGGAATTGTAGTCCAACAACATCTCGAAGGTCACAGTTACCCATCCCTTTTAGAGCATCTGAATTGCCCTCAAAACAGAAGTTGGAAGTTTTTTTTGCTGGCAGCATGGAAGTGACAGGAGATCTCTGTCCTATGTAGAAACAGAATGGGATATTGTGTTCACGCATCTCAGGCTAGTGCAGCAACCTCAAGCGAATAACCCGAAACCATTTTAATCTTGATTGTAAAACAAACCATTAAGGGGATACTGTTTGAGCTCTTGCACATTTCTGTATAACATAGGGTTGGTTCCAACACATCACGGGTAGATCCATTAATATGCAAAACAAAATGCATTAAAATGAAGTACTCAACCAAAGAACATTTTCCTGTGCTAAAAGAAGCTTTATTCATTCAATACAGGATAGTGAATTTTCAAGCTTGCCTCACCCAAATAAGTCAAAATAGCAGTTTGTAGTTCACGAACCAGGATTAGCAGATGTACTAAGGTTGCTATATTAATTATATGGCAAGGATGGCATAACTGACAGTTAAAGAAAACCAGATCCAAATGTAAGGACTAGCCAGCAAAGTGGTTCATCAGCAATATGCAGCTCTGAGTGTCTGCTTTCAGCAGATAAATTTTTTCCAGTTAATGCCATGTCACCAGCATGTAAACATGGCAATACTTGGTTCGTCAGATTGGGTTCCTGGAAGAAGGAGGAACCAATATGTTTTGAACGATAAGTTCTGAAATAGTGTTGCATAACGCAAAGTTGTGAAGCCAGGGGATTTGCACAGTATCGTTTGCTTCTCAATTTGCTGAAAATTTTATTTATTTATTTTTTAAAAAATTATAAATCACCCACTAAAATATAAATTTCAGGATGGTCTACTGTAATGTATACCATTCAACCCAATCAGATGGGCATCATACAACAACAACAACAACAACAACAACGCATTAAAGTGCCGCTGTGCTAGTCAATGCTGTGGACCATGCGCCTGCACTTGCAGATTCCTGGTCTCTTCGCTTATCTGAGACTCTCTAGGTCTGTGTGCAGCAGGAATGGGGACCTTGTGATCCTCCAGATGTTTTTGGTCTACACTGGCCATGCTGGCAGGGAGTGATGGGAGGGAGTTGGAATCCAGCAACATCTGGCGAGAGACAAGCTCTCCATTCTTGGTGTAAATGGAAGGGGAAAAGGAAGAACAGCCAGGAATCTCTCTCCTCAAGGGCAGCCTCACCCCCTTCTCCTGATGCATGCCTGCGTGAGGAAGGATAGTTCCATCTGAGAGAGGAAGTAAGAAGAGTCTGAGAAACATTCCTCAATTTTCACACGAGTGTCTATGTAGCCATCCTTTTCCAATGGCTTTTAATTGCCCGAATAAATTAGCGTCCCCATGAATTTGATTAGTTGGCCTGCATTCTGCAGCTCTCATTCCAGCAGCAAATCCATAACTTTTCTGACAAACTCATGCCTTTCTCATCAGAACTCACTTACCATATGGAAAATGGCCTGGTTTCGGAGAGAAGACTTCTTTTGCTTGTTTGGTGCTTCCATTAATTATGATTCTGGGCCATTCCCCATTCTCTGCTGCATCTGGATTCATGTGGAGCCTTTGCTCCGTCTTTTCAATTTCAGAGAAACCCATATTTTCTTTCTCCCAGGAGGATCCACAGATCTCACAGTAAATGCTCCTCAGCTCTAGTTACACAGAGTTTTGCAATTTCTTGAGATATGTTCAAAGCAGATCATGATGTGGTGAGAAAACACCCTTTTTAAATACCACTTAATTGTGTGCTTTAATCGGATACTTTGTCCAGCCAAGCTGTACTTAATAAGTTTTCCACTTCCCTGTTTTGTCTTCGTGACTCCTTTTATTCCTAATAAAACGAAAGCCTCTTCAGAGTCTGAAGCATCAGTTCTGTGCTTTTGCCAGAAAAAAATTCATCACAACATCAGTTTTCGCCATAGCATCAATGCCCCAAGATTCCTCTGTGGAGACAAAATTACAGAGCGGAGAAATAAATAATCTCGTATTGAAGTCTTTAAAAGGTGCAGTTTTGCTTCCATACTAGTATAGTCCCCCCCCCCCAAAGGTAGTCCTAAAGGTAGTCCTACGTATACTAATTTACAGAGCTGGAAAATTCATATATGAAATATTGCTTCTTTTTAGTCTAAATGATTACAGTAATGTTTTTACATTTACTTGATGAAATGAGAGCACTGAGACAAGTGAAAGGGAGCAGCCCTTGAGATAGTTGAAGATGGCTATTGTATTATATCCCCCCCCCCCCCGTCTTCTCCTACCCAGCTCCTCCTCCTCATGAAGCCTGTTTTCCAAGCCTTATGAGGAAATGTCGCTCTCCTCTGGACACGTTCCAGTTTGTCAACATGCTCCTTAAATTGCAGTGTCCAGAAATGGACACAGTTGGTTCCTCGGGGTCATCATTGTAGTCACAACAGGAAAACCTGTTTTCCACTTCCTTTGCAATCTCAACATTTCAGCTCTTCGGGATTGAGGGTCAGGAAATTCTATCCCTTCCAGAGAAGAGCTGTCAATCCTCTGCCTATCTGGTTGCCTAGCATCTATGCCCCCTTCTTGGAAACTTGCTCAAACTGTCTCAGGAAACCAATATCTTGGTAGGAAAGGGGGGGACTGGGTCTGCTTCCTCCTGCAGCCTGTCAGGTTCAGAGTCAGAGCCTATCTTTCTTCCATCTCCTTCCTCGCTTGACTCCCATACTTAAGGGGCCATTACCAAGATTTTAGCCCTTGCTGGATCTAGGAATTAGCCGGGTCTCAGGCATGCAGCCTAGCCCACCCACCCCCATCTCCTCCACTAAACTTACAACAATATCTAATTGGGAAACTACTATGCAAATATAGGACCACCCACTGGCCTGGCATTGAGAAAAAGAGAGAGACAGCAGCCCCTGAGATATTTGAAAATGGCTACCATATCTCCCCTCAGTCTCCGCTTTCCCAGGCTAGACATAGCCAGCTCCTCCGCTTCATTAACCTTGGTTTCCAAGCCTTATGAAAAAGGGTCTCCCAGTGGCGGAACGCTACCAGGGGACAGAGAGCAGGCGGGGGCGGGGCTGGCGCGCGTCCCGGGGGCAATGCACGCCACATGCATGCATCTTCCTCCGCCAGTCCTCCCTCCTCTGCACACGTTCCAGTTTGTCAACATCCTCCTTAAATGGTGGTGCCCAGAAATGGACACAGTTGGTTCCTCGGGGTCATCATTGTAGTCACAACAGGAAAACCTGTTTTCCACTTCCTTTGCAATCTCAACATTTCAGCTCTTCGGGATTGAGGGTCAGGAAATTCTATCCCTTCCAGAGAAGAGCTGTCAATCCTCTGCCTATCTGGTTGCCTAGCATCTATGCCCCCTTCTTTGAAACTTGCTCAAACTGTATCAGGAAACCAATATATTGGTAGGAAAGGGGGAGGGGCTGGGTCTGCTTCCTCCTGCAGCCTGTCAGATTCAGAGTCAGAGCCTGTCTTTCTTCCATCTCCTTCCTCGCTTGACTCCGCCATGCTCCTCACCCATACCTAAGGGGCCATTACCAAGATTTTAGCCCTTGCTGGATCTAGGAATTAGCCGGGTCTCAGGCATGCAGCCTAGCCCCCCCACCATCTCCTCCGCTAAACTTACAACAATATCTAATTGGGAAACTACTATGCAAATATAGGACCACCCACTGGCCTGGCACTGAGAAATAGAGAGTAGCAGATGGCTACTGTTAACTCCCCTCAGTCTCCTCTTTCCCAGGCTAAACATAGCCAGCTCCTGCGCCTCATTAAGCTTGGTTTCCAAGCCTTATAAAGAAATGTCGCTCTCCTCTGCACATGTTCCAGCTTGTCAACATCCTCCTTAAATGGTGGTGCCCAGAAATGGACACAGTGCTCCAGGTGAGTGTTATGTATTGAAGTTCTCACCCTGGCCACCAGGGGGTATTGTGTATATAGTTTTCACTCAGGTCCATGTCAGTTAATTTAGGCCGGAAACCCTGGGGTGTTGCTGTTACAATGTTGACAGCCGGCTGCCTATAAAAGCAGGACGGCTGAGCTGTTTGAGTTCAATTCAGTTCCGGCTTACTACTGTATAAAGAACCACTTGGAGAAATCTCTGTGTCGTCTGCTATGTCCACCCACAACTTAATAGTGAGGTCTGACCCACTTTAATAAAGGTGTCCGGCACAAAACCTCTGAAGGGATCTGCCTAAAATTTGGCAGGCTTAATCCAGAGAGGCTCATATTTCTGCAAATTTCTTCCACTTTTCTCCGAACCCTTTTTTAGGTTCACCATTATATTGAATGAGGGGGTGAGAGCTTTGGGTGGTATTCCTAGCAGTGCCAAGAGAACCTTCTGTCAGCACAAGGGAACATTCTCCCCTCCCTCCCTCACGACCCCCAGAGGGATTCTAGGAGTCTCCCCAATCAAACAAAGCCGTCCTTATATTATTGTAGAAATGTTTTTTCTTCAGCCGTCAACTCTTCCTCCTCCCCTCCTCCTTTCCCCAATCTCCCTCTCCCTTTCCTCCCCCTCCCCATATCCCCCCCTCTATACATTGTAGATTTTTTTCTATTTTGGCAGAACCACAAATTTTGGTCTGAGGATTTGTGCTTTCCCCTCTGGGTTTCCTTAAAACAATAAAAACAAAAAGCCACCTTTTGGAATAAGCCTTCTCTGTCCTGCCCTGTTACTGTATTTATTTCCCCCGATTTCAACTATAAATTGGTGCTTTTCTTGAGTCAAAATGAGAGAGAACCCCTAAATATTTTTTTTAGAAAAAGAGCACTGCTTATATTATTTTAGAAATGTTTATCTTCAGCCCCAAACCCTCTCCCCCTTCCTCCTCTCCTTCTCCTTTCCCCAGTCTCCCTCCCCATCTCCCTTTCCTGCCCCTCCCAATATTTCTCCCTCCTCCAATATATTATAGAATTCTTTTTACCTTCTGGCAGAATCAATCCACTGCCAGGTTCTGCAGTGCAGGAACAAGTATCTGCTGCCTACCAAGCCCACAAGAAGCAAGATAGAAACTGTTTTCAAAACGACTGGTTCCTGCTATTCAGCTCCTCTTCCTCCCCCCCTCTCCCGCCTCCTCGATCTCGCCGGATAAGTCCTAGTCAACAGTTTCTGTACTTTCGAAAGTCAACAGTTTCTGGCTCCAGCCCCACCCAGCCTTTAATCTCACACACACACACACACGCCAGCCTGAATCTAGAGGACGAATTCAGTTGCCCAAGGTCTTCTCCCCTGCTTCAGATAACAGTGCAACCCTGTTAGAGGCTGAAGACATTCTTGGCCACGAAGTGTATGATTTAAAATCAACCCCACAAACAAAGGGCAGAACCTCCCAGTGGGGAATGTGATCACCCTCAATGTGCAGAAGGAGAAACAGCTGCTGGCAACTTGGCGATTGCTGAGTTTTGAGACTAAGAAATGACAAGCTTGCTTGAAGCAAGGTAGGTATTATAGTAAAAGAAAATTAAAAGTGTTATAGTGGCAGGAAAATGCCTGTGGAAAGTTGAAAAGAGCATTGGTTTCCATAATTTTATGTAGCCTCTTGAGGGAGGAATGCAAAAGACAATGAGATTTTAAAAATAATGAAAGATCTTAATGTTTGGGAGGCAGCCAATGCATGGTTTCACAAAAGATGGCAAGTGTTTAGGTGCCCAAAATCTGCTCCATAAAAAATGGTTAAGTAGCAGAAAGCAGTAAAAATTCATTATTTTTTGAAAGTAACAAACCTAACCTACTCATGCACAGAAGAGTCTCTGCCTTCCCCAACCTGGGAATCATATAATTCGTATAACAATTGATTGTGAAAAACCTCAGAGCGATTTACAAAAAGATAAAAAAATAAAATTGAGAAAAAACACAACCCTAATTTAAAAGCCAACTGGGCAAGGCAAGTCAGAACTAAAAGGCGTGGAAGTTCCCTCCTCGCCTCTCCTTTCATTCTTCTCTCTCCTGCCTTCCCCTCTGGCTTGGAACAAAGACTGTAATTTTATAAACACCTCTTATGTCTATTCTTACTTGTCCTTTCTTCAAAAGAAAATAACGCTATGCAAAAAACACATAGAAATTCTTTTTGCTCTCTGGCTAGCTCTCCCTCTCGTCCTCCTTCCTGCCAGCAAGGGGAAGGAGAGTCAAAGCAGCCTCCTGTCAATGATAGCAGCAGGAGGAGCCGTTGGCCGTTGAAGCCTTGCGGTTGCTGCGTTCAGCTCCCCCCCCCCGCTCCCCCTCCTGCTTATCTGCCATCCCCTCCCCGCCCACAAAGGGAACTGACCCTACAGCAATCAGCCATCTATTTCCCTCACAGTCTGAAGGTGAGCTGATAAGACTCAACATTAACAAGAACACGGAAGGCTGTAAAAGGTCGAACAGCGGTGCATTTAGGAGATTATTGCCTTTGGACTTGAAGGTCTTAATGGGACACCTGCCCTTAAAGGCATTGTGTACTAACTACTATCTGAAGAAGTGTGCATGCGCACGAAAGCTCAGACCAATAACAAACGTAGTTGGTCTCTAAGGCAGTGGCGTAGCGTGGGTTGTCAGCACCCGGGGCAAGGCAAGTAATTTGCGCCCCCTAACCCGTGGATTTGCGCCCCCTAACCCCTGGATTTGTGCCCTCTAACCCTAACCCCCAGAAATTGCGCCCGGTGCGGCCGGGCCCCCCTGCACCCCCCACGCTACGCCACTGCTCTAAGGTGCCACTGGAAGGAATTTTTTTATTTTGTTTTAACTACGATCTTATCACTTCTGCTTCTGCTCATTCTGCTGAGTTGGATCGTTGACTTCTGCCTCAACATAGAACAAACAGCCTAAAGATCAACTTAGCCAGGAGCCTAATCTTAGCAAATATTTAACAAGTAAACATTAAGCTATCAACCCAAAATACAGTTTAAGTCAGTACAAAAGTGCTAGGGTTTTTCATGCTGGAAACTCTCCAGGACACTCATTAGCAGTGCTTTTTTTCCTGGGGGGACGCATACCCCTAAACATTTTGTGAATCTAAATTTGGCCTCATTGAGAGACAGTATTTCAATATGAGTAGGAAAGTGAGAGTACCCTTGAACATTTTTTTAGAAACACAGCATTGCTCATAAGCATACTTAAAAGGTAAAGGACCCTGACAGTTAAGTCCAGTCGCAAACGACTCTGGGGTTGCGGCGCTCATCTCGCTTTATTGGCCGAGGGAGCCGGCGTACAGCTTCCGGGTCCTGTGGCCAGCATGACTAAGCCGCTTCTGGCGAACCAGAGCAGAACACGGAAACGCCGTTTACCTTCCCGCCGGAGCGGTACCTATTTACCAGTATCTACTTGCACTTTGACGTGCTTTCAAACTGCTAGGTGGGCAGGAGCTGGGACTGAGCAATGGGAGCTCACCCCATTACAGGGATTCGAACCAAGACCTTCCGATCAGCAAGCCCTAGGCTCAGTGGTTTAGACCACAGCGCCACCCGCATACCTCATGAGCATACTTACGCAGCAGCATTTTTGCTTGAGTAGTACCTGTGTAGTTATTCTGGCTCAGCACTGCTCTGGAAAGGTGAAACACAGTGGGTAGAATTGGGTATGTGTCAAGGTGATCATTCCATCAGCACAAACATTTTCAGATGGAATTCCCCCTCCCCAGATGGAAATATCTCCCCTCTCCTCCCCCATGCACAATGTTCTAGTGTTCTCTTGACACCTCAGAAATGATTTGGAGTGGGGGGGGCATGTGGGGCATGTGGAAAGAAAATGCCTACAGCGGTACCTCGGGTTAAGAACTTAATTTGTTCTGGAGGTCCGTTCTTAACCTGAAGCTGTTCTTAACCTGAGGTACCACTTTAGCTAATGGGATTTTTGCATTCTACACGAAATGTCCAGGTTTAGAGATATACTCCCCCCCATATATATATATATATATATATATATATATATATATATATGGGTTCTTTTGAGGGGCACGCACATGCCACTGAAGAGTGGAAGAGGGCAAGCGCTTTTCAGGGCCTGCCACTCTCCACCCCCTTCACGCACGGCCTGGAAGTGCCACAACGGGGTCTGCAACACCACCACTGCCAGTGCTGCCATTTTGCCGCCAGCACCAAGGCTCCAAGCCACCAAATTGCCCGGCATGTGCCACTTCTGTCAAGCCGGTGGAGACCTTGCCGTACCACTTCTCCCGACGCTCCCAGAGGGCAGTGAAGGAGGATGACTGGAGAAAGGTAGGTTAGGTGGGGCAGGGAGGGGGCGGGGGACAGAGATGTGGGATGGGGAGGGGAGGGGGAGTGCCCCGAATGCGTCTGGGTTTTTGCAGCTCAGAAGATGGGAACCCTAACATTGGTTTCTCAACACCTGCAATCCAAGCCCAGGAAGGAAATTACGCATCATTGCATGAACAGGTTCTGAAATCATGCTTCTATTTTCATCTCTTTCCGCTGGGCTGACCAGATTATGCGCACCACCTGGAGTACATCAATGTTAGTTTTGATCTCTTTGTTCCCAGACATCTGTTTAATTTTGAGGTGGGTAGTCTTGTCAACGCTAACATCATGTGAACATAAAGCAGCTTTTACTCCGTTTGGTAATGCTTCATATGTAGACACAGGAGAGAATAAATACTCAACTAAGCCTCCCCCAACCCCATGTTGCTGGGAGAGATAATGAAGGGAAAATATTACACACCCCTCCTGACATTAACTCCTCTCCTGATTCTCATCATTGTGTGATAATGATACCATCTAGTAATACTGAGAAACCAGCCTTATAACTGATTACGATAAGTAGGACTAGTTTCTCGGCAGCCTTATGAACGCATCATGTATTTTTGAATCTATAATGTGATTATTATTTTTAATTATAAATTTTTATTAGTTTTCAGTTTTGTTGTTGTTGTTGTTGTTTAGTCGTTTAGTCATGTCCGACTCTTCGTGACCCCATGGACCAGAGCACGCCAGGCACTCCTATCTTCCACTGCCTCCCGCAGTTTGGTCAACCTCATGCTGGTAGCTTTGAGAACACTGTCCAACCATCTCGTCCTCTGTCATCCCCTTCTCCTTGTGTCGTCCATCTTTCCCAACATCAGGGTCTTTTCCAGGGAGTCTTCTCTTCTCATGAGGTGGCCAAAGTATTGGAGCCTCAGCTTCAGGATCTGTCCTTCCAGTGAGCACTCAGGGCTGATTTCCTTAAGAATGGATATGTTTGATCTTCTTGCAGTCCATGGGACTCTCAAGAGTCTCCTTCAGCACCATAATTCAAAAGCATCAATTCTTCGGCGATCAGCCTTCTTTATGGTCCAGCTCTCACTTCAATTACATTCCAATAATAGCCTCATTATAACAGTACCAATTTATAATACAATTATTAATACTAATCGTTCAAACTTGGCACAAAGACTGTAATTTTATAAACATCTCTAACGTCTATTCTTAATTGCCTTGTCTCCAAAAAAACAAAACCGCTATGTAAAAATCGCATAGAAATACTTTCTGCTCTCTGGCGTTGCATGATTATAACGCATTCAAAACATTGTTTTGACTAATGTAGCTGAGTCCTTGGTCTCTTCAAAACTCTTAGCAGTTTTGTACAGCCTAATTTCCAGCCGGTGGTGGGTGCAGGACGCCCCGGGTGTCACCACTGAGGGGAGTGACAAAATGCTGGGCAGCACTCACTGCGGGGTTAGGGCTACAGCTTGGGGCTTCACTCTCTTGGGGGCCCCCAAAAAATTTAAAGGGGAAAAAACTGGATGTACTTTGATAAAATACATATTTTGTTATGTGCAAATGGCTTTGGATACCTATTATCTATAAATTGCCATATAGCATATATTCAACACAAAAAACAGCAACAATTTGTTGCTGACAAAGGATCGCTGGACATATAAAGGGCCCCATTACCTTTAGTAGCTTAGGGCCTCATCAAACCCAAATCCAGCCCTGCTTATGGCATATATGTCTAATGCCCCATTACCTTCAGTAGCTTAGGGGCTCATCAAACCTAAATCCGGCCCTGCTTGCAGCAAGCCAAATGTTTATTCTGGAACTGCTCTTTGTTTGAAGCCAACAGGGCAAGCCAGAACAAAAGGGGTGGAATTTCGCTCATCCCCTTTCCTTCTTTTTTCTTTGTCTCACCTTCCCCTCTGGCTTGGCATGAGGGCTGCTCCTGGGAGCCAAATCCTTTTGGGCCCCCTAAATATTTTTAGGGGGTCGGGACCAGGTCCTCCAATGTCCCAAAAGTGTGGAAGCAAATCACAGAGGGGCTGAAACACTGCTTGATTATAAAAAGGGAAACCCTGAGAGCAGTTTAGAAAAAGATAAAACAATCAAAACGGGGGGGACGGGGGACGGACAGCCCTCATTTAAAACATATAAAAGTTAAAACAATAAAGCAGATGATAATTACATAACCTTTCGAACCAACTGTTTTTAGCTGGCGCCAAATTTTTGTATACAGGCTCGTTGGCAGCAGCTGCTACTAAATTTCCTGGATTTCTGGAACTTGAACTGATTTCCCAGAATTGTTACTGCAGTAGTTGATTTGAAGTCAACCAGGAAGCCAGAACCAGAAGGGGTGGGATTTCCTTCCCTGCCTCTCCTTTGTCCTGAATTCCTGTCTGGTTCACCATGAGGACTGTTTATTAAACTGAGCTTCATAAGAATATAAGAACATCCAGAATAGCCCGGCTGGGTCAGGCCATGGGCATAATGGAGTCCAGCACCCTGTTCTTACAGGGGCCACCCAGATGCCTGAGGAAAACTCACAAGAGCTCTCTGCCCGCCTGCAGTCTCCAGTGACTCAGAAGGAGGCAAAGCACAGACCTCATGGCTAGTAGCTCTCAATAGCCCTCTCCCCCCAGAAACCTTTCTCACCCTCTTTTGAAGCCATCCAAGTGGGGGATCATCACTGCCTCCTGGGCGAAAGAGCGCCATAGTTTAACCATGCGCTGGATGAAGACGAACTTTGTTTTCTCCTGAATTTTCCAATGTTCAGCTTCCATGGATGTTTCCGTGGAGTTCTGGTGTTATGAGAGAGGGAGAAAAACTTCTCTCTCTCCACTTTCTATGAGGCTCATTCTATCTTGCATAATTATTCTTTTTGCCTCCTTTTGGGATTAATCCAGCAGCCAGTTTCTGCAGTTTCTGATGCTGGCAAAGCCTTCAAGTCGACTGCTCCTTGGGAGAAAGGCGATGGCAAACCTAGACAGGATCATTAAAAGCAGAGACATCACCTTACCAACAAAGGTCTGTGTAGTTCAAGCCATGGTTTTCCCAGTAGTGATGTATGGTAGAATTATGATGCTGGAGGAGACTCTTGAGATTCCCATGGACTGCAAAAAGATCAAACGTATCCATTCTTAAGGAAATCGGCCCTGAGTGCTCACTGGAAGGACAGATCCTGAAGCTGAGGCTCCAATACTTTGGCCACCTCATGAGAAGAGAAGACTCCCTGGAAAAGACCCTGATGCTGGGAAAGATGGAGAGCACAAGGAGAAGGGGACGACAGAGGACGAGATGGTTGGACAGTGTTCTCGAAGCTACAAACATGAGTCTGACCAAACTGCGGGAGGTAGTGGAAGATAGGAGTGCCTGGCGTGCTCTGGTCCATGGGGTCACGAAGAGTCAGACACGGCTAAATGACTAAACAACAACATAACAATACCAACTTATAATACAACCAACTAATCAAGGCAAGGCAAGGCATTTGGGAAGCTCCTATTCCACGCCTAGCTTTCCTCCAGTTTCCACGCCTACTTAAATAGCCTTTTTTTGTTCTGAGGAAAGGAGCTGAAACGCGCAAAAGCTCATGTCTGCCAGAATGCCTTGTTGATTTTTGACTCCCAGAAATGCTTCGAATTCTTTGCATCTGTGGTCAGCGATTCCACTTTGTGGGAAGGCGTTGCTATTTCCTTTTTGCTATCCTTTTTTATTATTATTATATACTTTTATTTTGCTTTAAACAAATACATATAAATATATTTATATGTATTTGCTATCCTTTTTGTCTATTGAGATCGGTTGCATCTGTGGCTGAGAAATGAGTGGCACGCCAGCAGAAACCAGGTGCTTTTTTTTTCTTTTAAAAAAATGTTTAGGGGTACTGTCATTTTCCTACTCATATTGAAATACTGCCCCTCAATGAGGCCAAACTTAGATCCACAAAATGTTTAGGGGTATGCTTGCCCCTGCGTCCCCCCAGAAAAAAAGCACTGCAGAAACCCATCAGCTCATATGGCTTCAAAGGAGTTTAGACAAACTTATATGGTTGTAATTGCTACTGGACCATTTTCATGTTTTTATTTATTTATTTCGACTGCGTCAGACGAACATGGCTACCTACCTGAATCTTATATGGCTGTGTTCAGTTTCCACTGCAGCCTCTGAATGCCAGTTTCTGAACACCAGTTTCTGGAAATCACAAGGCTTGCCAGAGGCATCTAGTTGGCCACTGTGAGAACAGGATGCTGGACTAGATGAGCTATTATTGGCCTGATCCAGCGGGACTTAAAAAAAAATCTTAAGAAAGATTTAAGGAAGAGAGGGGCGTTCTTTTGTCCTTTATCTTATCTTGAGGCTGCAGGTTCAAAGCAGGAAACGCATTGAATTTCCTGACCACCTTCCCCCCCTTCCTTCCCCCCTAGACTGCAAGAAGATCAAACATATCCATTCTTAAGGAAATCAGCCCTGAGTGCTCACTGGAAGGACAGATCCTGAAGCTGAGGCTCCAATACTTTGGCCACCTCATGAGAAGAGAAGACTCCCTGGAAAAGACCCTGATGCTGGGAAAGATGGAGAGCACAAGGAGAAGGGGACGACAGAGGACGAGATGGTTGGACAGTGTTCTCGAAGCTACAAACATGAGTCTGACCAAACTGCGGGAGGTAGTGGAAGATAGGAGTGCCTGGCGTGCTCTGGTCCATGGGGTCACGAAGAGTCAGACACGGCTAAATGACTAAACAACAACATAACAATACCAATTTATAATACAATTACTAATCGTTCAAATGCCAAATTGTATAATTTAGATAAAGTGCCGCCCCCCGTGTGCTAGATTTGACGGTTTGATGATTTTCTTTATTTCTTCATTCCAAAATCTCATTAGTTTCAATTACATTCTGGTCATAATAATAATAATAATCCCATATAATGTGATTTTGAATCATGTGAAATCAGCAGGACCCCAACATTTTAAGAGGGCAAATTGGGATACCCCACACCATCTCACCACCCCACTGCTCACGCCCACCAACACCAACCCCTCCCTTCCCTGCCCACATACTCACTCCCTCCACCTTCAAACCTTTGCTGTCCTCCTCCTCTGTGGCTGCAACCTCCTCCTCCATGGCCATGGCCTCCTCCCCATCCCCGGCCAGCATGGCCTCCCAGAGGCGCTTTGGCACGACCCTTTGATGACCCTTTGATGATTGCCAAAGCAATCCCAGAAGGTGGTCTGGTGCTCATCCGCAGGGTCAGATGCAGCCTTCCTGACTCATGCCAAGGTGCTAGTCTTCATGGGATATTCCGGGATCAAAACAGAAGCTGGGATTGGCTTCTGTGATCCACAATATCCAGCTTAAAATGTGTCAGTTGTGGGGTAAAAGGTAAAGGACCCCAGGATGGTTAAGTCCAGTCAAAGGCGACTGTGGGGTTACGGCTCTCATCTCGCTTTCAGGCCAAGGGAGCCGGCGTTTGTCCATAGACAGCTTTTGGGTCATGTGGCTAGCATGACTAAACCACTTCTGGTGCAGTGGGACACCGTGATGGAAATCACAGTGCATGGAAACGCCATTTACCTTCCTGCCGCAGCAGTACCTATTTATCTACCCATGCTGGTGTGCTTTCAAACTGCTAGGTTGGCAGGAGCTGGGATGGAGCAACGGGATCTCACCCCGTCGCAGGGATTCAAACTGCCAACCTTCCGATCAGCAACTCCAAGAGGCTCAGTGGTTTAGACCAGGCACATCCAACTCCCAAGGGACTGCGATCTACTCAAAGTATAAAAAGGCTGTGATCTACCCATTGTCATTGCCAGTAGTTAAGTTGTTATGATTTTGGGGAGGGAAGCCAAAGTTGTTGAGCTTCTTTTGCAAAGTATTCGCCAGGTTGGTTTTAGGAGAAGGAGTGTGTTAAATCAGTCGCTCAACAGTCAGCTCACCTCCTGCCTTCCCAAACTCTGCCACCCAGGCAAGGAAATAAACCTCTCAAAGCGGGGGCGGGGCACGTAGCAATCGCTTAAGAGCAACAGGGAGATCACTTACAAAACTACAGCGATTGACCTAGGACACCCCCGCGATCGACCGGTAGATTGCGATCGACCTCTTGGACATCTCTGGTTGAGACCACAGAGCCATCCGCTCCCCTAGTTGTGGGGCATGCCTGACTAGCCCTCAGGGCTCTCCATAGGCCATCTCCTCCCTCCAACCCACACCACTGTCTCTCCACACCTTCCTCAAGTCTGGCTGAAATGTTGGAGTGCAGCTGTCAGTCAGTGTGGAAAATACTGAGGTAGACGGATCAATTTGCCTGGCTCTGTAAAAGTCAGCTTCCTGTAAGCCACCTCACGCTGCTCCTTTCAACTTCCATTTTTGAAAGTTGTAAGGGACTGCGGAGTCTGCTTCTGAGAACAGCCGTGGGGAGGAGAGGTAGCTTCCATGGGATGCGAAATGGAAAATGCAAGACCTTTTCTTAAAAGAGACAGATGCAAGACAGGCACCATTTTGATTTGCTTATGCAGTGCTTGCTATGGCTAGTATGTGCCATAGGCAAGAGCGAAAGAGAGAGAAGGGGGGGGGAAGTCGAGGCCTTTTTTAGTTTATGGAAAAAAGAGAGAGAAGTGCTTTTTCCCTGCCTGCTTTTTCTACAGGAAGTGGTTATGCAGATGTTTCCTGTGTAATCGATATGAAGAGCATCGTGATTAGCTAGAGTGGTTAGAATGACATTAAAGGAGTGGTGTTTATCTGCAGGTGTAAAACTCTGTGGAGGCACAACACAGGGTGCAACCCAAAATAACCCTTTTGTTTTGTTTGTCTTGTCTTGTTTGTCAGCTGTCATGATGCACCTTGAAATAAAATCTGAATCTATTTAAAATCTGAATCTATTTGAAAGCAGTGCTTTCTCATCATTGCTGGGACTGAGTGACTCCGTTGTGCTCGAACCTCTTGAACCTCTTGCTCTCCCCTCCTTGAGTGGTTCGTACCTCTCATCAGTTGATGGGCAAGATGGGAGCCTGCCTTGCCCCAGGAAGGCAATAATCAGGACTCCACTTTAAGCTAGGGTTACCAGATGTCCCGTTTCCCAGGGATTTGTGAATAAGTCCCAGGACAAAATCCATCCCCGGAATGTCCCCGGATTTCATCTAATGTCCCCGGGAAACGCAGCAGCGGCAGTCTCAGCAGCCCGGAGCAGTTGGCTCTGGCTGGCTTCAGGAGCTGCTCAGAAGTCCCCATATGATGGCGGTGCAGGGGCTCGAAGAGGCAGCTTCCGGGCGGCCTCCACCTTCCCTGACCCCAGCAACTGAGCTGTGAAGGGGGGCTTCATGCTGCCCTTTGGAGCAGCCTCCCAACTCCTACTTGCATGCAAGCAGGAGCAGGGCAGGGATCTCTCAGCTGTGAAGGGAGGCTTCACGCTGCCTATCGGAGATTGCGTGTAAGCAGGAGAGGGCAGGGATCTCTCAGTTAGGCAACGGGAAGCCTCCCTTCCCAGCTGAGGGATCCCCATCCCCTCCTGCTTGCACGCAAGTAGGAATGGGATTGGGGCTGCTCCGATGCGAAGGGAGGCATCGCGCTGCCCGAGCTGCGCTGCCACCGCTGCTCTCAACTCTACTTCTCCCCTTCCATCCCTGACCCACCGTGCACTGCTTCCCCATCACCACCACCAAAGAACCAACAACTCAGGGGCTGCCCAGGTTCATGGAGAAAGGAGATAGAAGCCTCAGAGGAAGGGGAAACATGGCGGTTGAGGTCAAGGCGGTGGCAGCAAAAATGGAAATGTGTAATTTTAATTAGAGAAGTGGTGGGGTTTGGGAGAGCTTCCAAAACTTCCCCCACTAGCTGTGTCTCTTTTTCACATCACACTTCCTCCTTTCTTCTTCCTCTTCCCTGTAGGTTGCAAGTGAGTTTGATGAAAAACACAAAACAGGAACTCCTTTCGTAAATTATCCAACTTATTTTCAGAAAACAAAACTGAGGAATGATGTTGTTGAATACAGTCATACCTAGGGTTACAGACGCTTCAGGTTGCGTGTTTTTGGGTTATGGATGCGCCGAAACCTGGAAGTACTGGAACGGGTTACTTCTGGGTTTCGGCATTCGTGCATGCACAGAAGCACTAAATTGTGCTTTGCACATGTGCAGAAGTGCCGAGTCGCAACCCGTATGTGCTCAGACGCGGCGTTGCGGGTTGCGAACATGCCTCCCACACGGATCACGTTCGCAACCTGAGCATCCACTGTATTCGGGGGGGGGGGGGACAATACGCCAAACCTAGCCCCCACAATGACCCAGAGCTAGTCCCTTTCCAGGGCTTTGTGGGGAAGAATCAGCAGCTGCACGGAAAGGCTGAGAACATTTGGAGAATATTGTTCAAGGTGACTTTTTGGGGTTAGGGGAGGGAAGGTGCAATACAGAACATTATCAAAGCATCTTTTCTGAGAAATTTATTCTCAGCTCTGTATCTGAGCTGCTTATCAACACCCACAAGTGTCAGCTAACCGCATGCGTGACATCCTCTTATTTTTTAATCTGACTTTTGTACGGTTAGTGACTTTTGTACGGTAAGTTTAATTCTAAGCATTATCTTTCTACTGCACCAAGCAGTCATTGCAGAGGTCACCCCTGAACATTTCATAAACAAAAGAAAGAACATGGAAGAGAAAATAAGATTTATTTTTTTGAGGGGGGGCGATAACAGAAAGGAAGGAAGGAAGGAAGGAAGGAAGGAAGGAAGGAAGGAAGACAGGAAAATTGGGGAAATGAAGGATTGAGAGGACCAAGAGAAATAGAAGTGCCTTCAAAAGAATGGAAGAGCAAGCAGATGGCACCCCCTCCTAATTACTTGGGGGAAGAGATTATCTCCTTTCTTAATCTATAGTTGCATACTGAGACTCCCTTCCCACACAAAGCATAATTCTGAAGCCAGACTGGCCAATCATGAGGGATGATCCCCACTTCTCCTCTACAGGAAACAATGCAATAAAATGTAAATATGTCCTTTATTGCATTTATAATGCAGCACTGCCCAACCTTCTGCTTCTCTTTACAGTGGTACCTCGGGTTACAAACACTTCAGGTTACAAACTCTGCTAACCAGGAAGTAGTACTTCGGGTTGAGAACTTTACCTCAGGATGAGAACGGAAATCGTGCGCTGGCGGTGCGAAGGCAGTGGGAGGCCCCATTAGATTTATTAAAGGAACATGATGGAAAATGGAAATTAAGAGATTATGATGAGATCAAAGACCACTTTCAGCGTTGGTTGCATCGACAACTATATGAAACGCATAAAGAAGACAGCAATAAAGGATTTAGTTATACAAGATCTAGGTTTCAAATGGAAGTGATTGAAGTGAAAGTGAAATTACTGAAGGCTGCATACAGCATACTATTAGAATGGGAGACAAAAGATGAAGAGGTAAAATCAGTTATGATTAAATGGGCACAAGATGTAGGTCACAACATTATGATGGAAGATTGGGAAAAATTATGGAAAACTGATTTAAAATTTACAGATTGTTCCCTATTGAAGGAGAATTACATGAAGATGATGTACAGATGGTACACAACACCAGTGCAGTTAGGGAAAATGTACAAAACTAGTTCAAATATATGTTGGAAGTGTAAGGAAAAGGAGGGGACATTTTATTATATGTGGTGGGATTGTAAAGTAATTTAAAAAATTGGGAAATGATATACAACGAATTGAAGAAAATGTTCCATTTAACATTTGTTAAAAACCTGAAGCATTTTTATTAGGGATTGTAGGGAAAGATCTGCCAAAAAAGCTGAAAAACATCTTCATGTATGCGACAACGACCGTGAGAGTTTTAATAGCACAAGGATGGAAGACTGAAGAAACCCCAACTAAAGAATCATGGCAAGAAAAATTGATGGACTATGCAGAACTAGCAAAATTGACATATAAGCTATGGGACAAGGATAACTGTGACTTTAAAGATGAATGGGAACCCTTTACAAAGTATTTAAAGACGCAACAAAGCGAACTGGACTTCTTGGCTGGTTTTGAATAAACATTCACAAACTTTTTTATTGATAATAATCAGCTAAATAGTTTGAGGATCTATACAACTGTGTAACATGCAGAAAACAGCATTTTTAGGGAAATCAAAGACTGGAACTGAGGGAAGTTGAGGGCTGTGGGGGGAGGGAGGGGAGGGAGGAAAAATGGGGGAAAAATAAGGATGATATGTTTCTGGATAATAAGTTTTGTTTTAATTTTGAATAAAAAAGTTATTTTAAAAAAAGAACAATTTCAGGTTAAGAACGGACCTCCAGAATGAAATAAGTTCTTAACCCGAGGTACCACTGTATTTCTAAAACAAGCACACAGCAGTCTTGGCATTTGTTGAAAAGCTTCTTACGGATGCCGGTATGACATGGGTTGAATTATACCTTGGAGCATAAGCTCTTAATGAATGTTGGAACAGCTTGCATCCTGCCTAGGCAAGTCCAAATAAGCTGGTTTTTCCTCATAGCCCCACCTTCAGCTCCTACAAACTCTTAGGGCTTGGTAACCAAGATTATTATTTTTACCCTTCTCATCTTTATATTCAGGGCCTGTGAGAATTTGAACTCCTGCCGGACATCGGGGCAGATTTGGGGAGGGGACAGAGCCTTGGGGGTGCAGCAGAGGCCACCACAACTATTTTGTAGAATGGAGGGCAAGGGACGCCAAATTTTGAGGCCCCAAGATATTCCCCACTGCTGCCATTCCATGCAGACAGTGCTCACATTCATGAGGACAAGTCCATTTTTCCTTTGCCTCTCTTCTACTGGGTGGCTGCAGCCATTTCACGAAGAAACCATGACACATGGTATGTGTTTTTCTTCATGTTTACCACTGCAAGTCAGGGAATGGAAGACAGAGGGCTTCCCCTTTGTCCCACAGCTGCAGTTTCCTCCCCTGCCTTCGCTAATTATGAGGTCTTGGGCTAAGTGCCCAGACTGTGAGATCTTGTTTGAGAAATTTGGAGGCAGAGAGGGAGAGGCTTTGTGGAAACGAAACTTAAACAAGAAACTTCAAAACGAAACTTTTAAGAATTTGTAAAGTACCTAGAACTGTTAAAAACAGGAACTGGGTGGGGGTGGGGAGTTAAACGACTTCCCCAAAATCCCAAGTCCCCACCGCAGCCTCTAAAACGTAGTCTATAAAGCTGTAGCAATAAGTGGCTACCAGGTATCATACTGTTTCCTGCGACTATCCAATATAGAAGCAAATAATCGCCAAAATTCAACAGTTTGACCCATTTCCTTGGTTCCAGTGGCTAATGACTTCTCTGGAAGAGGGGAATCCAGGGCTTTCCCTGCCTCCATAATCCCTGAGGCATACAGTCACATACACCTCCCCCCTCCCCAGAGAGTGAGGAAAAGATAACAATGGACCACACAGATAGCCTTTGATGGAGTTTGCTGAAGCCAGGTGTTCACAAAGCCCATCTTCAGGAAAGCCCTGAGGGCAAGGATAGGTGTAAATAGTTTTATTCTTCTCTTGGTGGTGGGTACTTAGAAGGTGTCTGAATCTGATATGGGGATGAATGATGGACTCATGTTACCACGCAAGATCCCCTCCTCCTTGGTGACACGTTGGGGATGTATCTGGAAATGTATTATGGGAAGGGGGGAAGGTCTTAAAGTCCATGAAACCCCATGCTCGGGGTTCCTACTCCATGCGTGTGTGAACCTTGTTGCAACAATAAAGATCAGGTCTACTGAGCGCTGATTTGCTTCTTTACTTGGTTGGAGATTCCTTCTTTTGCTAACCAGGAGAAACCTGCGGGGAGTGGCACCCTGACCAGCTGGGCAGCGGAGTAAACCTGCACCCAGAATTTTTCCGTAACAGCACTAAATCACTCAGTTTGTGCAATGAAGAAGAACACAACTCGCTGCAGCAAACAATGTGCAGTGCAAGATGCATTGATGCATTGACCACTGACACGTCAAACACATTTGTAGCCCTGGGCTCCTCCTGGGGCTGCACCTGCCTGAGCATCACCTGAACATCAGTCGTCCATGGGTCCCACCTACCTTGCCCCTCTGCGGGTGAAGTGGCAGACCGGGGCAAGGCTGGGGGAAGGATCCCTTGAAGGCACCCTCCCTCGATCCCTCCTCCCCAAACAGGGCCTTTGACCCCCTAAGTCCAGACTGAATGCCCTGGACTGGCTTCCTCCAGTCCACCTGTAGCATGAGGTTGCCTTCCTCTCCTCTAAAACCAGCCCCATCCTTCTGGGGTGAATCGAGCTGAACCCTTGACTAGCCCGTGAAGGGGCAGTTGAGTGTCCAAGCAGAAATAATAGGCACTAATGTTTCTAACTTAAATCTTATTTAATGCACCCACCCACATACCCACATTGATTTACTTCATTGGTATCCAAGATAAAAGCAGAAGTAAAGCACAAGCACTTTATTCTGAAACGAGAAGTAAATCTACAGAAGCGGATCTAAAGAAGAATGCCTCAGCATTAGAAATTCCCCATTTTGACCTCGTTTTTTTTGTATACGCTCCCTCCAGTCGGCTGGCTATTTTTGCCACCTTAATCACTAACATACTTACTATTAGTCTATGACTGTGGTTAAGGGCAGCTGACAGAGTATCAGCATATCTTCCAAGAGTCCCAATTTTCCAGGGACACTCCTGGAATTACGAAAGCCACCCTGGCTTCTGCTTTGATCCTGGAATGTCCCTGTTTCTCCCGCCAGGGCTGCCACCACTGAGCTGAGGGAGGAGGATGAGCCGGTGCTTCTCCCGAGCGAAGGTGGCAAGGGACCACCCTGTTGCCTCTCCCCGGCCTCTTCCATGGCCACTGCTGCTGGCCTCCTCCCTTGGGGAGAGGCTGCCACCACTGAGGCCCAGCCCCACATGATGCGCCCCCTCTGAGGGGCAGGCAGGGGGCAGGGAGGGAAGAAAGAAAGGGGTCTTGATGATGATGATGCTTTGTGCGCCCACGTCTAATCTTGCCCCTTTCTAAAATGTATTTATTGGCGTGTGCTTTTCTTTTTCGTAAATCTACAAAAGAAGATAAAGTCAGGACTGAGGGGTTTTCTCAGGATAGGGGAGGTTGTGCTGTGTCCTGTTGGTGTAATGGGGGTGGAGGCCACCCTTCTTATGATAGGAAATGCTGGGTGGGGGGCACAAAAATGGGAGGTTGAGGAGGGTCAGTTGTGGGGTGGGGAGTGAGAAATGTCCCTATTGTCATCTGGGCTATGTTGGAGGGTATGTATCTGGCTGCAGGTCCCATTGGCAGCTGGGGACAGGCCTACCCCATTCCTTGAGTGCACGGAGGGTTAATCTGAACCCCACCCCACCCACCCTTTTCAGGAGTCATAGTGGGAGGCAGAAATGAAGGGATTGAAGGCTTCTCTGAGACCCTTCATTACAGATCTTCTGGCGCCAGGCAAAATTGTTTTCCTCCAACTAGACCTTGGGCTGATTGAACTTTGAAATGCTCTTTGAAATGTGTTTCTGGGAGGATATTGGTTTCTGTTTTATTATGTATTTCGTGTTCTCATTTTTTAATGTGGTGAGCTGCCCTGTGATCTTTGGATGAAGGGCGATATACAAATTTAATAAATATTAATAATAGTGTGATAGTTGAATGAGTTTCATGGGATCAGGGTCTGCTGAGAAGGCGATTGCACAAAGGGTTTTCGGGAGAAAATACTGATTGCAACAGAAGCAACAGATTGCAACAGTTTCCTCATAAACTGTTATGGCCAGCTTCTTATCAGTGCCTTTGCCCTGCATTTAAAGTTCTCATGATTTTCAGTATTACAGCACTATGGTCATAAGAACATAAGGACAGCCTGCTGAATCAGGCCAGTGGCCCACCTGGTCCACAATCCTGTTCTCACAGTGGCCAGCCAGATGCCTGTAGTTCCTGCAGTTTCTAGCTAATATTATTCAGAAGAATTATTTCCTCCTTCTGTGGAGACAGAGCATAGTCATCACAGCTAGTAGCTAATTCCCCATAATCTGTGTGGTAGAACACTCGACTCCTTCCTGTGTCACAAACGTGAAAGGTGCTTAAGTAAGGCTTTCTTCTGGCAACCTGGGCTTAAAAAGTGCTCAAAAGTGAGATACTCTTTGCCAGCTCTTTTGCTAATGCCCCACTATGGGGAAATATTCTACTGTACAAGGTTTTTGTTCCAGGGCTATAAGAAGCCCTGTGTGGGAGACGTGCAGGAGGAGTAAGAAGAGATGCTTCACTTGGGCTATCCTGCCCTAAGGTGGGCTTGGACCAGGTGACCTTCAAAGCAGGGGTGGAGGAAGGAGGTGCAGTGGGGGTGGTCCGCCCCGGGTGTCACCACTGAGGGGGGTGACAAAATGCCAGGCGGCACTCACTGCGGGGCCTGCAGTGCGCCTGAGCCACACGTCCGCCTGCCTCCTCCTACTCAGTTGTAGGGCAGCTGAGTAGGAGGTGTACAAACTCTCTGAGTAGGAGGTGTACAAAGCTGTACAAACTCTCCACTACCTTTGCCATTACCACTGGTGCTCCTTGTTAGGGGGTGAGATGGAATTTAAGCAAAGGAGAAAAACTATGGCGCTGGAGATGCATGAAGTCAAGTCAAATTTATTTGTTTAAAACCATTAGCGATTGCCAAGCTAGGCAAAAGAGGCCTCTGGTATACAAATCAGCTGGGAAAATATAGCACGGAGGAAAAGGAAAAGGGAAACATGAACATGACGGTATCAGAAATGGCCCCCATCGTGTCCATTATCCTTTTCTCACCAATGGCCAACCAGTTGCATGGGAGCAGGACAGGAATGGGTCCATTGGTGGAACTCCCCTCCAGACAGAACCAAAAAAATATATCTTAGCCATAGACTACATTGCAGGAGGGCAATTTTGGGATGAACAAAGGTGTTAAGTTGTGGGTGAACATATCAGATGACACAGCGATTCTTCAAACAGCTCTTGTTTATTCACAGGCCAGAATAGAAGGGTTCAGTCAGCCTGCTTATATAGAGCTCCAGTACAACGTAACTGTAACGATTTTCTAAAACTATCCAATCACTGAACGTCACTTTCGATCCCTTACTTGCATAACTATCTACAGTATCAGCCTGGGCCAGAACTTCAGTACATAACGAGAGGGAAACAACCTGACATTAAATCCAGGTGGTTATTATCATTTTTAAATTATTTATTGGGTTTCTTTTTTTAATTCTGCCCTTCTTCCTTAAGGAACCCAGGGTAGCAAGCAAAAAGGTTTTATAACAGTTAATACATTCTGAAAACAATCTCAGTCTTTCATCCAGTGATCTAGGGCTTGTCAGGATCAGGAGGCCTCAGCTGCCAAATGAGTGGGCATTCTTCAGCCACCATCAAGGTCTCACTCGCTTGATCACAAGGTCCAAGGTGGTTGGTGTTGGGGGAAGGCACTCTGTTAGGTACTTGGATCCCAAGTCATTTAGGGCTTCAAAGGCCAGTGCTAACACTGTTAATCGGGCCCAGTAGCTCACTGGCAGCCAGTGCATACAGGGCCAGTGTCACATTGTCTATGAAAGAATGTCTGTGTACTCGTACCTCTGTTAGGTCAGATTCACACCAATACTTGCATCACCCACACTCTAGCTGATGTCCAGCCTCTTTAAGAAGCTAGAGCTCCTCAGTAGAGCAAGGAGCCTCCTGGACTCCCCCTGGCCAGAGAGGTGCTTAGGCATGATCGTATTGACGGTGCTTTCCATCTGAACATTACACAGTGAAACCAGGGAGATATTTTTCTGTGACAACAGGGTAATATTCACACAAACACCTGTCCAGGAGAACAGGTGGAACACCCTCCCATCAGATGCCAAAGCATTCAACAACTATCTAAGGTTTAGAAGACATCTGAAGGCAGCCCTGTTTAGGGAAGTTTTGAATGACTGATGTTTTAATGTATTTTTAATCTTTTGATGGAAGCTGCGCAGAGTGGCTGGGGAAACCCAGCCTGATGGGCAGGGTATAAAAATTTACTACTATTATTATTATTATTATTATTATTATTATTATTACTTCTAATACCCTCTGTAGTGAAAAGTAGATCTAGTGGGGATGACCTGCATTACGCACTGGGTGGATGATGCATTGAGACAGCGCTGTGGTTGTCAATACTGCCATGAAGTCCAGAGATGGCCTAGCCAAGGCAGCATCAACATGGATACTGAAGCCCCCAGAACTAATGTCCTTGGCTTTTCCAACACCATGCCAGGGACTGCCCCTGGCAACTCAGGGAGGTAGTTGAGCTGTGGTGTGGATGGTCTACCAATGAGATCCCAGTCCTGTGTTTGCCTCCCAGCACCAAGTACAAACCATCACATCCAACTCCCAGCTGGTTTACAGCTGGTCCAAGATGGGGTGACTCCCACCTTCCACAGAAAGATCATGTCCACAGCTTGGGAGTTCTTTTAGACTGGGTATATCAGGGGAGTCAAGGCCTAAGTCATCTGAAAGACCCCTTCAACCCATATTGTCCTGTCTGCTCTCAAAGATCTACACAGAGACCATTCTCGTTTTCCTGTCACCAAAGACAGTGAGATTGGTGGGAAGAAGAGGAATTTTTTTTCCTGCACAGCTCTGGAACGCCTCACCTGTTGATGTCGGCAAGTCCACCACATTCAAACCATTTCAGCAACCCGTGAAAATGTTTTCAGGTGGCTTTTAGATAGGCAACATTATTCAGATGTGGGGACCTTTTACTTCTGATTTTTTTTTAATGAACAATCTGTTATTTAATTGATTTATTTGTATTTTCAAGGTTGGTTATACTGGCATCGTTTATATACTTTCTTTTAATATGTAAGTTGCATTAGAAGTTTGTTTGTTTTTACATTCAGAAACGTGGCATATAAATGAATTAAAACACCTCAATTAATGAATAACTACCAAAATAGAGAACTAAGCTAGTCAAGTTGCGTGTCAAGACCCTAAAGCCACACCTGCATTGAGAAAAAACTCACACAAGGACACAGATATTAGGTTAATGTTATTGGGCAAATTTTGGCCACACCTTTATTGATTACAGAATGTGAGCGGTATTGGCTTAGGCATTGAATGGACCTGACTATATCTGACTCCTGCCTGATGCACAGAGAGTCCAGTAAGGGTAAACCACTGGAAGGGGGAGCCCTGTTGATGCATACCAACACGAGCTTCCCCTGGTGTTCCCGTCAGGATTGGCTGGCCGGTCACTGACATGGCCGGGATCCCCCAGGCAACAGGGGACTAAGTCCCCTGCCCCCAAAGTAGAGTGGGTAGCCACGCGGTCCACCACATCTCTTCCCCACTGTGAAGTGGGGCGGATTTTCCGTTTCACAATGACTTAGTTCTCCCTCTCGCTATTTCTGATTGTGGGTGACAACAGACTCATCTAGAAACCTTTTAACTGTCACAGCTCACATATGAAGACAACCACACATGTCCATATATGACTGTCAAAGAAGCAGAGAAGCATAAGCATAAGCAACATGTGAAAACCCAAGCATAGTGTAGGAGTCCCGATAGCTAAATTTGATGCCATTTCTTGTAAAACATGTGTTTTCTTGCATTCTAAAGGGTATAAAAAGGCTGGCCCGCCCAAAAGAGGTGGGCAGACTCCGAGCATGAGCTGGTCTGTGCCTTTGTGTCCAAGCAATTGCTTCACAAAATAAAAAATCTTTTTTCCTGCTGTCATTTGACTCTTGCAGTGTCCCTGATGCTCCTAGTATCAGATAAGGCTAGAAAGAAAGATCCTTCACAATTAGCGCCATTGCCTTCCGTTAAGAGTTTGGGTGTAATCCTTGACGCCTCCCTTTCCATGGAGGCGCAGGTTACAGCAACAGCCAAGGCGACATTTTTCCACCTTCGCCGCATCAAGCAGTTGGTCCCTTACCTTTCCCGCCCTGACCTGGCCACAGTGATCCATGCCACGGTCACCTCCAGGCTTGGCTACTGTAATTCGCTCTACGCGGGGCTGCCCTTGAAGCTGTCCCAGAAACTCCAGCGGGTGCAGAATGCTGCAGCGAGGCTCCTCACGGGGTCTCTGCCATGGGAGCATATTCACCCAGTGCTTTTCCAGCTGCACTAGCTCCCGGTGGAGTACAGGGTCAGATTTAAGGTGCTGGTTTTGACCTTTAAAGCTCTTCACGGCCTAGGACCCTCGTATCTACAGGACTGCATCTCCCGGTATGCCCCACAGAGAGCCTCAAGGTCCATAAATAGCAGCACCCTAGTGGTCCTGGGCCCTAAGGAAGTTAGATTAGCTTCAGCCAGAGCCAGGGCCTTTTCAACACTGGCTCTGGCCTGGTGGAAAGCTCTGTCTCGTAAGACCAGGGCCCTGCAGGATCTGATTTCTTTCCGCCGGGCCTGTAAGACAGAGTTGTTCCGCCTGGCCTCTGGCTTGGAGCCAATTTGATTCCTTCCCCCTCTTTCTTTTTTCTTTTTTCTTTTTCCTTTCTCCTCCTGTGATGAGGCTGCATTTTAATATTTTAATGTTTCAATATTTTAATGTTGTATTTTAATCTTGTTTTTAAGTTGTATTCATTCAACTTGTTTTTAAATGACTGATGTCCCGCAACGCAGAAAGGTAGGGTTTAAATAAACAAACAAATTAATAAAAGCATTGTTTCTCTGCTTCAAAGGAAGAGTTTATTTATATGGCAAGTTTGGCAAACACAAGATGAACCTTAAACCCTGTGCAGTGTTTAGGGGTTACAGCAGGGCAGCAGCTGTGTTACAAGAACCGAAAGTATCTCTTCCCATCAGTGGCGCCTTGAGGATTTGGCAGAAAATCAAACAGGGTCAACAGGCTGGCGACTAGAAAATGAAACAAATGTGGAAAGGCGATCAAAGGCGTAACTCTCTACTCATTGTTTCAGCTCCTTTTTATTGTATTGTATCAGAGCAACCAGCCATCACACAATTTCAGGGAACAATGCCCTGGGATCAGTGATTTTTTCCTGGCGGTACGCAGGGGTGCACATACTCCTAATCATTTTGTGAGTCTAAATGTGGCCTCATTGAGGGGCAGTATTTCAATATGCGTAGGAAAATGAGAGTATTCCTAAAAAAATTGTTTTATAGACAAAAAGCACTGCCTGGGATCATTGAGTTTCATATCGGACAACAATCAGGAAAACAAAAAAGGCATATGAGGAAAGAAGGAAATGAAATCAAATGAATATAATAGAAAAGAAGCTTTGCAAATGTATCCTTTACTACAAACCTGCTAACATAATTTTTGTTTTTCAGAATGGTATGATAGTACATTAATCTCTAGTAGCCGGGCTTCCTTTTGAATTTTAACAATAACAGCAAAATACACGGAAGACTCAGTGCTAGGTCCTATCCAGGGAGAATTGTGAGAATTGTGAGGTTATAATAAAAGTTTCCATTTGCTCCCTTACCTGGTCTGTCCCGACGCCTCACCAAAGGTTTAGGTGACAGCTCCCCTTTTACAAAGCAGAGCTCTATTCGCCTCAAGGGAGCAGGCCGCTTGCCGTTCAGAATCCATCAGGAGGAGTCTTGTAAGCATTGCAAAAATCACGCAGTAGAAAAACGTCTCTTCCTCTTTTGAAACCAAGAGATGCTAGTCGATGGAAATATCCTTAGAGGGAATTCAGAAGAACAAAGAAGGAGCACAACCCTCGCCTTCACCAGCTTCGCAAATGGACTGCTGCACCCAATTTGGTGCCCAATATCTAAGAAAGTAATGCAATGGCATGATTTCTCACTGAGGAGCTGCTTGGAACTTTGGAGACAGAAAAAGTATCAACAGAAAAATTACCAACAGCTGCCATCTAGTGGGAGGTCTGCAGTATTGTGAAAGGAATACACAGAAAGCTGACAATTTGCTAGCAGGCTAAGAGGTTTGGTGTATGAAGACCTGCACAGCTTGGGAAGTGAAGGCGGTGAAGGTCCTTTGTGAGTGTCTGCAGGCGGTTGGAGGATGGATGGCGGCTAACAGATTGAGGTTGAATCTTGACAAGGCATTCAAAAAAGTACTGTTTTGGGGGGACAGGGGGCGGGCGGGTGTGGGGGACTCCCTGGTCCTGAATGGGGTAACTGTGCCCCTGAAGGACCAGGTGTGCAGCCTGGGAGTCATTTTGGACTCTCAGCTGTCCATGGAGGCACAGGTTAATTCTGTGTCCAGGGCGGCTGTCTACCAGCTCCATCTGGTATGCTGGCTAAGACCCTACCTGCCCGCGGACTGTCAGAGTGGTGCATGCTCTAGTTCTCTCCCGATTGGACTACTGCAATGCGCTCTACGTGGGGCTACCTTTGAAGGAGACCCAGAAACTGCAATTAATCCAGAATGCGGCAGCTAGACTGGTGACTGGGACTGGCCGCCGGGACCACATAACACCGGTCCTGAGAGATCTGCATTGGCTCCCAGTACATTTCCGAGCACAATTCAAAGTGCTGGTGCTGACCTTTAAAGTCCTAAATGGCCTTGGCCCAATATACCCGAAGGAGCGTCTCCACCCCCATCATCCAGCCCGGACACCAAGGTCCAGGTCCGAGGGCCTTCTGGCGGTTCCCTCGCTGTAAGAAGTGAGGTAACAGGGACCAGGCAGAGGGTCTTCTTGGTAGTGGCACCCACCCTGTGGAACACCCTCCCTTCAGATGTGAAGGAAATAAGCAGCTATCCTGTCTACAAAAGACATCTGAAGGCAGCCCTGTTCAGGGAAGTTTTTAATATTTAATGCTGTACTGTTTTTAACATTTGATTGGGAGCCACCCAGAGTGGCTGGGGAAACTCAGCCAGATTATTATTATGGGATCAGGATACCTGAAAGATCATCTCTCCCCTTATATACCCAATTGATCACTGTGCTCTTTAGGCAAGGGCCTCCGGCTGATATCATCTTATTAGGAAGTCCGTTCTGCACAATGTAGGAATTGGGTCTTTAGTATTGTGACAGCTACCTTTTTGGAACCCCCTCCCTCTCTGAGTATTTGACAGGTGCTTCCTCTGTTGTCTTTTTGGCTCCTACTGAAGACCTGCCTCTTTCAACAAGTTTTTAAAGCTAGAACTTTCCCAGTCCACACTGGAATTACTTTTAACACGCTTTTAAAGAGGGCTTTAAATATGTGTGTGTGCCCCTCCCCACATTTAATTGCTTTTTGGGAGGAAGGGAGGATATCATAGAATCATACAATTGTAGCGTTAGAAGGGACCTCGAGGGTCATTGTCCAACCCCCTGCAATGCAGGAATCTCAAATAAAGCATCCATGGCAGATGGCCATCCAAGCTCTGCTTAAATACCTCCAAGGAAGGAGAGTCCACAACCTCCCAAGGGAGTCTGTTCTACTTTTGAACAGCTCTTATTGTCAGAAAGTTCTTCCTGATGTTTAGTCAGAATCTCCTTTCTTGTCACTTGAAGCCATTGGTGTGGCGTTCTCAAAGCAAAGGAAGGATTAGACTCTGATCATGAAAATATACACAGAGGCTTGAACCAGCAAGACTCTGGGAAGGGTGCGTATAATCTTTCTCTCTCCCTGGCCCAGGTCGTTTTATTCACAAAAGAACTTTTTACAGAGTGTTCGTAAGAACCAATCAGATTCCTTCTGAGCATTTCAACAAACCCCCACTTGGGGACAAAGTTAAACTACGAAAACTAATTACCGTATTTTTCACTCCATAAGGCGCACCAGACCATAAGGCACGCCTAGTTTTTAGAGGGGGAAATCAAGAAAAAAAATCTTTCCCCCCCCCCAGCCCCAAAGAGCAAAGAAGCCAAGACAGCGAGCGGGATCCATCCCGCTGGCTGTCTTGGCTTCCTCTTTAGCTGCACGCAGCCTTTCCGGCCGGGAGAGACTGCGCGCGGCTATGGCTATACCCCCAGCTCCTGCAAAAGTCCACAGGAACCATGCACCCTTTAAGGAGCAAGCAGTTCCTGCAGGCTTTTCTATGAGGAGGGAGAAGGGACTGACTGGCCGCGTCAGTCCCTTCTCCCTCCTGGGGCTTTTCTTGGGGGCTTTTCCTGCCTGCCTCCCCCCTGCATTCGCTCCATAAGATGCACACACATTTCCCCTTACTTTTTAGGAGGGGAAAAGTGCGTCTTATGGAGCGAAAAATACGGTAAGCATGCATACATTCTGGGGTAAATAAAACAGAACTACAAAGCAGTGCATTTGGCAACCCCGAGGTCATAAACAGGCAATATACATGATAAGAAGGATGGCCAGGAGGACAGCAATCATTATCACCTTCATGTGAGATCTGTTTCCTGGCCCTAAGATTAACAATCTAAGATTAACATATCAGAAAAGCTGCATCAAAGAAACTGCCCACTATCTTTCACAGCCCAGGATGCATGCTTAGCAAAGCAATTGGCACTGGGCTGTGTACGTGACTTGTCAAGCAGAGAGAAATGGACAGTAGAGAAAATGGCCAGAGATGCAGAGGGTTGTGGGATTTGATCAGAAATTATTGTCAGTGAATTAAACCCAGTCCACGCCACGCTTTCACAGTGGACACAATGGCTTGATGCATATTTTATAATTCCTCATAGTAATCCCACCTGACCCCACACTCTGGATATTTGCACTCCTACATCTGGTTCGAGTCCTACCCTCAGGAGCAGGAGTAAACAAGCTTGGAGTCTAAAAGCAACACCAGCGAACACCAGCTATATTTCCTGGATTTATTTCTGTTCCAGGAGTAGGACCAATAAGTGACCATGACTGGTAATTTCCTCTCCCACTGAAATTCTCAGGCCTCCCTCCTCACAAATGTTGGCCACTTGTTGCTCCCTCTCCCTCTTATTTCAACGGAGTAAGCGCTATTGGGGGACGCGGGTGGCACTGTGGGTTAAACCACAGATCCTAGGACTTGCCGATCAGAAGGTCGGTGGTTCGAATTCCCGCGATGGGGTGAGCTCCCATTACTCGGTCCCTGCTCCTGCCAACCTAGCAGTTCGAAAGCACATCAAAGTGCAAGTAGATAAATAGGTACCGCTTCGACGGGAAGGTAAACGGCGTTTCCGTGTGCTGCTCTGGTTCACCGGAAGCAGCTTAGTCATGCTGGCCACATGACCTGGAAACTGTATGCCGGCTCCCTCGGCCAATAAAGCGAGATGAGCGCCACAACCCCAGAGTCGGTCACGACTGGACCTAATGGTTAGGGGTCCCTTTACCCTTTATCTAAGTGCTATTTATACTACCTTTGGACTGAGCCAAACTGACTCCAGTTCAGCAAGCCCAATTAACACACTCATTAAACTCAGAGATGAAGAACTACGTTAAATGTCAAGAGTCTCTATGAGGAAACCTATTGGCATAATCATCATCTTGCAAAATGTTCATTTCTCAAGTTGCATTGCCTAATCTTCTCCAGTCTTTGTTTTGCAAAGCCCAAACCCTCAGAAGGCGAAAAGTGATGGCTGGAACTTGAGCTAAGGAGGAGCAAAGAAAAACCTAGCTCATCACTTTCTGCAAGGAGCCCCAGCATTCGTTGCCAACTCCTTGCAACGCTAACAGAGAAATGCATCAGTCCTCCCATGCTGGTAGGTCTGCGGACGTTGGCATGATGTGATAATGAAGCTAAGCTAGGCTCTTAGGTACTCTCAGGATCATGGCCGTCTTAACCATATGCGTTACTGGTGTGGGGAGCCAGGGCGCTGGGCTCTCAGGGGCGCCTGGCCGAGAGTCCGGTGCTGAGATTAGGAGCCCGCGGAAGAGCCTGTTGGAGCGCCCCAGGCTGTTCTGCTACGGGTGGCTCTGCTGAAGTTCAGGGCGGGGGCGAGCGAAGCTCCGAGGTGGCGAGCTGGCTCTGTCCTGCGTGCCTGGGAGGGGGAGGGCCGGAGGGAGAGAGAGAGGCGGTGGTAGGACTCTAGCCCTTTAAGTATGTAAAGCAGCGAAGGGAGGGACTTAGCCTGTCGCTGCTTTAATAGGAAGGGGTGGAGCTGCCCAGCGGAGCATCCAATTGGTTAGGGCAAGGGAAGTATCGGGAGAATCCCGCTCTGATCTGAGGTGGAGGGGTGTGTGTATTGACTTGCTTCACAGAGTAAGTGACTCAACCAGCAAAAGCATGCAACCAATACGACAGGTGAGCTGATCCAATAATAAAGCAATGCAAAGGCAAGGTAGTGGGAAGGTTGGTGGTGCTGATTTGCTTCTTCCCACACCTACCCGAATCCATTTTCCTGCTCTGCTTCATGATCAGGCTGTCCCCAAGGAACCAACGTGATGGGAAACACAGACTAAAGTCCCATCTCAGGGAATTGTGGAATCAAGGCCAAACTCATATTTTTCACCAGCAGCATATGAAGCGCCGAAGATCACAGACATGGGAAACGATGTACTTCCTGTGTTAAAATAATTTGCACTGAGGACTAAATGAAAACTTTTTTTTTTTGCAAGAGCTTGAAGACTTCGTGAAATACACTTGCTTCATGAAGGGACCAGTAAGACCAGAGTTCAAATCCAGTGACCGTGAGCCAACCACTCCCTCTCAGCCTAACCTACCTCACATTGTTGTTGTAAGGGTTAAAACAGAGGGGGAAACCCTGAGCTCCTCGAGGAAAGGCAAACTATAAATGTAGGAGATAAATAAATAAATCTGCAGTGTCTATAGGCAGGGTAAGAAAAAACCTCTGTCTACATTTTGGAAGCTGCAGACAATATTGAGCTAGCTGGAGCAATAGTCTGGATTGAGATAAGGCAGCTTCCTAACAGTTAGTTGCTTCCATTTACTTCTCCTTTGGATATTTACTCAGATGTAAGTACTACTTTGTTCAGTGGTGCTTACTCCCACTTAGGCATACAATTGCAGCCCAAATTTATTTAACCAGTCCACTAGTCTTCTACATCCTCCTCCCAGTATTTAATGGTTTAGTGGGTGTCTTATGTGCCACTATAAGTCATCTATATTGCAAATTTACAGTCAAATCCAGGTTTGGATAACTTATGAGGGCACTTACTATAACGAAAGAGAGATAGGTGAAGTTATCTAATTTACGAGGCCCAAACCGCACCTATGCTAAGGGATCTGGCTGCCTATTAGCCACCGCGATAGACATTTAAGGTTACAGTGGTACCTCGGGTTACATACGCTTCAGGTTACATACGCTTCAGGTTACAGACTCCTCTAACCCAGAAATAGTACCTCAGGTTAAGAACTTTCAGAAATTGTGCTCTGGTGGTGTGGCGGCAGCAGGAGGCCCCATTAGCTAAAGTGGTACCTCAGGTTAAGAACAGTTTCAGGTTATGAACGGACCTCCATAACGAATTAAGTACGTAACCAGAGGTACCACTGTACTTTCATATAACCCTCCATAGAGTTACCAAGTTACCTAAAAGAATGACTTCCCCTCCATTGCCTGGTCTGAATAATAAATCAACAAGTGAAATCTGATTAGTTTTGACAAGGCCTACTGCTTACGCAAAATTCAGAGCAGTACGAAATTTGAAGGATAGCTGTGTTTTGGTTCTCCTGTTGTGCAAATTTGACAGGTTCACTTTTCAGTATCAGCTGAATCACATTTCTCCTCCATCCCTAACTCATGCCATTCAAGTTCACAAATTACCGTACTGGCCTGAATATAAGCCTCCCCCTTTTTTTTTCAAATTCCGACCGTGAAAAGTTAAAGTGTGGCTTAAATTCGCGATCTTACAAAAATTGACTTTTATGATATCGCGGCTGAAACAGACATACGGTAAAGCGGAATGGGTGTGAGTGCCTGCAGAATTTTAAGGGAGCGGCTTATATTTGGGTATTGTTTTTCTTTTCTCCCCAGCCCTCTTGAATTTTAAAGGTGCGACTTATATTTGGGTGCGGCTTATATCCAGGCCAATACAGTATCTTTCATTCTTTCACATATACTTCTTAGGTTCCCTGATGACATGAGAGTACCCCCTGAGTAGCAGACTTTGTGACTGTCATTCTGGTGGTAGTCTTCGTTGAGCATTATTATTCTATTCTATTCTATTCTATTCTATTCTATTCTATTCTTTATGAAATAAGAGTGCTTGCTGTCTGTCTGCCTCGGCCAGCTGTCTACTGTTCTGTTGCTATGCTGCAATTTGCATGGCCATCTGCTGGTGGCCATACGAATTGCAGCATGACAACATTCTTACAACTACTACTCCTACGCCTGCTGCACACATCTATCTTCCTATATACATAAAAATGTAAGGCCGTCATCATGCAATGCAGGATTTGTAAAGCTTTGCCGTGAACCTGGATTTGCATGAAGTCAGGGTGGGGGAGGGGAGCAAAAGAGAAGGTGGGCTGCACAACACCAGCAGTTTTAAACAAGAGGTTCAGGTACTGCTGGGATGTGGGGAAACTGAGTGAGGAAAGTGGCAATTTTAAACAATGGCAGAGGTTTGAGCAGAATGAGCAGGGGGGTGACACTTGGAGGGTGTTTAAAACAATGTATGAGCATTTAGAATGAACGTAGGAAAGTGCCTGTCAGTTTCCTACCTGAAACAAAACAATCATTTTCAGTGCTTTTTTAATGGGCTACTCAAGGGCACGCAGTACCGGCACCTCTTTTTATTTTGGTTTAAAAGTGTGACACTTACTGCAACAACTTCATGGTGAGAACCAGCACCTATTTTTCTAGAAAAAAAAGCACTGGTCCTTTTCAACCGGGATGGCATAGCAGCATAGCCTAATTTAGGTATCGGTGTTTAGGATGGTTATCTTATTCCTCAGTGTGCAAAAAGTCACTATAACAGGTGACTCTGTTCCAAAAGATACAGTACTCCTAGCTAAGAACTCTTGATGAATATCCACCAAGCCCAGTTTTTCTCATCGCTTTGCCACTGTAATGGGGATTCACATCCATAAGATGCTGCCACCACAAAGAGAGATGAACAAGAAGAGGAAACATTGCTCGTCTCCTGTACGGTGGTGCTGTCACTGTCATGTGAAGGCTATTTTATGTTATTATACTACAGTGGACCCTATGGATACGAACCTAACTCATTCTGGGGGTCCTTCCGCAACCAAAAAAGTCCATAGGCAGAGGCACCACTTCTGTGCATGCGCGTGTCATGGTAGAGTGCTTCTGCGCATGTGCGTGCAGCAAAATCCGGAAGTAGACACTTCCGGGTTTGCCGCGTTTGCAAACCGAAGTTTACATATCCAGAGGGATACGTAAGCAGAGGAAGAAGAAGAAGAAGAAGAAGAAGAAGAAGAAGAAGAAGAAGAAGAGTTTGGATTTTATATCCCGCTTTATCACTACCCTAAGGAGTCTCAAAGCGGCTAACAATCTCCTTTCCCTTCCTCCCCCACAACAAACACTCTGTGAGGTGAGTGGGGCTGAGCGACTTCAGAGAAGTGTGACTAGCCCAAGGTCACCCAGCAGCTGCGTGTGGAGGAGCGGGGAATCGAACCCGGTTCACCAGATTACGAGTCCACTGCTCTTAACCAGTACACCACACTGGTACGACTGTATTGTATTGTATCATATTTTATTTTATTTTATTTTATTTTATTTATTTACCCTGCCTTTTCCCCTGACAGGGACTCGAGACGGCTTACAGAGAAAAAGAAGAACAGCCAAAAACAAATAAGAAAAACAACAATTTTAAATAAAAAAACACACACTGATAGAATTAAAATTACATATATACACATATTTAATCTATTAAAACCATAGAAATGATCACAATAAAAACAGCATGGCACCAGCCCTTTCGTTAGAAGCAGTCAGTTCTCCAGAGCCTGTTGGAACAAGAAAGTCTTCACCTGCCAGCGGGAGGACAACACGGCGGGAGCCACTCTGGCTTCTCTGGGGAGGGAGTTCCAAAGTCTGGGAGCAGCCACCAAGAAGGTCCTTGAGGGGTTTTTTTTAGTACGGAGAACAAGATGTCTAAAGGAGAGTGTGTAGCTGATTACGAATGGGGACACATGAAGATACTCAAAGGAGTACAGATCCCTTCTGACAAACCCATTTAAGCTCTGCGCTGCACAGCTCGGCATAGATTTTCTTGTCTTCAAAGGCACCACAGCTGCCTTCCTCAGGTTGTATTGCTGGAAATCTGCATCAAGAAGGGATGAAACCGCTGTCAGTGTATCAGTGCATCAGCAGTGTATCAGCAGTATTCCTCAGTATGCCCTGAAGGTCTTGCTGAAGCTAAGTAGGTCTAGGTCTGGTCAATACCAGGACGCATAACTGCCTGGGAACCCCATGTACGTCACCCTCTGTGAGGGAGGTATGGCGTCTTCCATGATGGAAGAAAGATGGAGCAGAAATATAAGGAAATGAAAGTGTTGAACATGGGTAGGCAAACTAAGGCCCGGGGCCGGATCCGGCCCAATCGCCTGCAGACGGTCCGGGAATCAGCATGTTTTTACGTGAGTAGAATGTGTCCTTTTATTTAAAATGCATCTCTAGGTTATTTGTGGGGCATAGGAATTCATTCATTTATTTTTTTCAGAATATAGTACGACCGCCCACAAGGTCTGTGGAACAGTGGACCGGCCCCCTGCTGAAAATGTTTGCTGACCCCTGGTGTTGAAAGTTTGCTGACCCACTGAATTCAACACGGCTGATGTATCAGCAGGCAATTTGGCATATGCCTTGTGTAGAAAAGATGAGCAGAGCTGCAATACCTTTAAGAAGTGTATAGACATGGTAACCTCTTGTCAGGCTTTAGGGAATCCAATCCCCCTCCCTCATGACAGGTGGCCAGTAATGGAAAAACAAGAAGCTCTTACCAAGGTATTGGTATAATGGCATTGCTCTGAGTAAAGTCCCATCTCCTCTGTGTCTCCTATTATATGTCATCCCCGCATCATCTGATCTGTGCTTTCTGCCTCTGAGCTTTCTGTTATTCTACTCTCAATGCCCACCGGGTCCTGGGATGTGTGTGTGTGTGTGTCTTGGAATGATTTCTAAAGACACTGAGACTGTCAGCTGTCTCTCCCCTGGTGCTCCTTCTTCCTCCTGCCCCTCTCCCAATATTTCCCAGCTTCTCCCTTCTGCAGCCTCTGAACTATGACCTTCTGCAAACCACTGTTCTAAATATATACTGTCCTCCTCTTCTTGGGAAGTCCGGGGGGGGGGCGGGGGAAGCAGTCTCCACCATTCCTCCTCAGTCCAGTCCCTGACACCTCTACACCATTCCTTATTGTAGCTCTTCTTGCAAGTTCATCATGCAAAACTGAGGAAACTCAGCCAGATGGGCGGGGTATAAATAATAAATTGTTGTTGTTGTTGTTGTTGTTGTTGTTGTTGTTGTTGTTGTTATTCCTACACGGGTGTTTCAGTACTCACAATTTCTCTTTTAACAAAGAGCCATTGGTCCAGATCCATATCTTCTTTGGCATTGACACGCTAAGTCCAGTCCATACTAGCTTCACATTTTTCTGGATGAATTCCTATAAAATATGATTTAATCAAACAGGAGGTGGGGAATAGGTCTTAGCACCTACACCTGCCCTCACAAATCCCGATAGCCTTCACATGCCCATATTTTTTGTTTTTATTTTATTTTTTTGCAGTGAGGATTATTGCTTGGGAGAGAAGCATTTAAAATCTTTTGCAGCTATGGGAAATCCTAGGTAACGGCACCAGAAATTGCTGGCTACCTCAGTGCAGCAGTCTGCCACCTACAATTTGGTGCTGAGGAGGCAGTCCTGAAGAAGAAACATGAGAGGGAACTTCTCTTTGGGAGTTCCCCTTTCAGGTTGATATGAGGACAAGGATGCTGCCTCCTTGATATTTTTTTTCCAACAACCTCCCTGCAGTCTGTACCCTGGGAATATAGAGGCTTTGTGGGTGAGTACATCCCAACTAGGGAAGCTGGTGGCGCTGTCAGTTAAACCACAGAGCCTAGGGCTTGCCGATCAGAAGCTCAGCAGTTTGAATCCCTGCGACGGGGTGAGCTCCCGTTGCTCGGTCCCTGCTCCTGCCAACCTAGCAGTTTGAAAGCATGTCAAACTGCAAGTAGATAAATAGGTACCACTCCGGTGGGAAGGTAAACGGCATTTCCATGGGCTGCTCTGGTTCACCAGAAGCAACTTAGTCATTCTGGCCACATGACCCGGAAGCTGTAAGCCGGCTCCCTCGGCCAATAAAGCGAGATGAGCGCCGCAACCCCAGAGTCGTCCACGACTGGACCTAACGGTCAGGGGTCCCTTTACCTTTTATGTAGCTTGGAGGAATGTCTTGAACCACTGTTGTCACTTGAGGTGCAGGTGGCCTTTGTGGCAAGGAGCGCCTTTTAATCAGCTTTGGCTGGTAAGTCAGCTGTGGCTAATGGGTCAGATTCAACCAAATAGTTGTGGGATGTATCCTCACTGAAGCAGTCAAATGCAACGTTTCCTGTTGCCTAGAGTGGATCTCCTTAGTGATCCCCTGCAGTTCATGTGCTGATAACCTCCTGACTAGATTACTGCAACATGCTTCCTTGCAAGGTTCTGGTTGGCCACTGTGGGAACGGACTGCTAGACTTAGATGAGCCTTTGGCCTGATCACCTGGGTTCCTCTTATGACGTGTAGTCACATGAACAGATGGATCTCCCCATACGTACTTCAGTGCCCCTTCGAAACTACAGTGTAGTGTATACATCCCATTGTGATCACATTGCTGGCTTACGCATTAATAAGGGCAAAAGAGTAAACATTCTGTAACTGAGATAAAAGTGTGAAAGAGTAAGAATTCCTTGTCCGGTGTCAGGGAACTGCCATCGGAAGGAAGGGAGGTGAAAGGACTCAGACAGGTTGGAAGAGATTCAGCAGCTGAAGAGGGAACCAGCAAGGGGAGAGAAGCTGAACTGAGGGAGGTGAAAGGGCTCAGACAGGTTGGAAGAGACTCAGCAGCGGAACAGGAAACCAGAAGTGTGAGAGAATCAGAACTGAGGGAAATGGAGCTTGGGGGATGTCTCAGAGATACTTCCAGCGAAAACAGTGGTGAGGTTTCCGGACCTCCTGTAGCGACACCCACTCCTCGCCGGAAACTGTCACGCAGAGAGTCCAGAAGACGTGTTTCCGTTAAGGAGCTTTTATGTTGGAAGCGATTACGAAAGCAACCACTGTCGGAATCTTCTAGTGACTAGAGGAGCCATGTCAGAGGGGCTCAGTCACAGACAGAGGTTTGTGGACTTGAACAAACTCTGAGGGAATACGATTTTACGCACAAGCAGCTCATAATCCCATCACAGCATTCCGACAGTCTTTGAACGCAGCTTGTGCAGGAGAAGGCGTAATGAGCAACCCAGCAGGAACCGGAGAAGCAGGGGCTGGAGCGGGTCCAAGCCTGGAAGAAAGGTACCGGGTGTTGGAGGTCCAGCTGGCGCTGCAGACGGCGAGGCTGGAGGAGAGGAGGGCGCAAGATGCAGACAAAGGGAGAAAGCCACCCAGCTCGCCAGAAAGGTACCAGGATTGGTGCAGAAATTTGGGGGGGAGCCCAAAGACTATCATAGCTTTCGGACAGAAATGCAATATGCCCTCAATCTGCAGTTTGATGATTTCCCTGATGAGGAATCACGAGTGGCTTTTGTGATTGGGCATCTTGAAAAGGGGGCGAGAGACTGGGTGAGACCCCTGATGGCAGCGCATAGTGACGTCCTAAAGGACACAATGAAGTTCTTTCGCGCCATGGATTTGATGTTTTCCAGCGATATTGAAAAGGGAGTGGTGCGCAGACAGTTAATGGCTTGCAAACAGGGGAGCCGATCTGTACGTGAGTACTGGACTGAGTTCACCATGCTGATACACAGATTGGGGTGGGACTTATCGGCGGAACCCATTCAAATGCTCTTTGAAGAAGGGCTTTCTTCGGCTGTGAAAGATGAACTTTCCCGGGCGCCCAGGGCGGAGTCTATGGACCAGCTGACCAAATCAGCGCTGGCCATAGGAGCGCGCCAGGAGGCGAGAGCATTGGAGAGGCGGGAAGGGAAAGGGGAACGTTGGAAGGAGTTCCGCATTCCAGACATTCCAGAGCCAACTGTCCCGCCGGCAGAGCCGATGGAAATCGGAACAGCGCGCGCGCGCAGTATCTAAGCCCAGAGAGGGGGGAAAGAAGGCTGGAAAAGGCGCCCGGAAATGCTATCTCTGCCAACAGCCAGGGCACTTTGCCAGAGTCTGCCCCCAGAGGAAGGAATGGCAAGGGATGGTGGGAGCTGTGGAGGGAAGAGAGGAAAAATACCGGAGCAACTAAAAGCCAACGCCTGGCTGCCATTGTCGGGGCACAGCAGCCAGGCCAAAGAGCAGTGAAAGTGCCCACTCCAGAACCTCCTAAACCCGCCCTAGTGATAGAAGTGACACTAGAGCTGCCAAACGGACACCCTCTAAAGATTAAGGCGCTGTTGGACTCAGGCAGCTCCTGCAATTTCATGAGCAAAGAGTTTGCAGCTGAACACCAGATACAGACGCTCCCTTTAAGCAACCCCCTGCAGGTAACCACGATCGATGGCAGGGAGCTGTTGGGAGGAGAAGTCAGCTTGCAGACCGTCCCAATGATAATGAAGGTGGCAAGGCACACCGAACTAATAGCATTTAATGTGGCCACCTTGGGAGGAGCTCCCATTATATTGGGGATGAGCTGGCTAGCGTTACATGATCCGCTGGTGGGCTGGCATCAAAGAGTGGTTTCTTTTGGGTCAGCACATTGCTTAGAACATTGCAAAGAGGGAAGGGTTTTGGCAGGGGCCCAAGCCACTCTAGCAGGGACTGAAGTGACGGAGAACGTGAAGGTACCACGACAATACGCAGATCTCCGCGACGTTTTCAGCGAAAGGGAAGCTGACCAACTACCACCGCATAGAGCCTTTGACTGTCAAATCAATTTGCTCCCTGGGGCACAGCTCCCTGTAGGCAAGCTGTACGCCATGTCAGACAGAGAGATGCAGGAGCTAAGAGAGTTCATTGACAAGAACCTGAAGAGAGGGTTCATCAGAGAGTCCAGGGCGGTGGGGGGGCAGCCCAGTGTTTTTTGTGGACAAAAAACACGAACAAGCCGAGACTGGTGTGTGACTTCAGGGCCTTAAATGCAGTGTCAGAACCAGTGGCCTTCCCGATGCCCAGGATTGACGACATTTTGACAAGGGTGCGGAAGGGAAAGATTTTTACCAAGCTGGATCTAAGGGGGGCGTACAACCTGATACGAATAAGGAAGGGGGATGAATGGAAAACCACCATGTTCACCCCTTTAGGGGCATTTGAATACTTAGTTATGCCCTTCGGTCTACAAGCAGGCTCCGCAACATTTCAATCGTTTATGAACCACGTCCTGGGGCCGTTGCTTTACAAGAATTGTGTGGCCTTCTTAGACGACGTGTTGGTGTATTCTGAGAATGAGGAGCAGCATGTGAGAGACGTCAGAGAAGTGTTGAGCAGGCTGCAAGCCAACCAGCTGTGGGTGAAACTGGAGAAGTGTCAGTTTCATACCAAGGAGGTGGAATTCCTGGGGTATCGCCTGTCTGACAAGGGGTTGGCCATGGATCCCGACAAGGTCCAGGCGGTACTGGAATGGAAAACACCCAAAACAAGGAAGGATGTGCAGAGGTTTTTAGGGTTTGGGAACTTCTATCGTAAGTTCATCCCAAACTTTGCCCACCTGACGGCGCCCATTACGGACTGTCTCAGCAGTAAGAAGAAGTTCGTTTGGACGGAGGAGGCGGAGCAAGCATTTGAGGAACTAAAAGGGCCTTCGCCTCGGAACAACAGCTCCTGCATGTGGATTTACAAAAACCGATGAGAGTGGAAACTGACGCATCAGACAGAGCGGTTGGGGCGGTGCTTCTCCAGCCAGGGAAGGAGGAGTCAGAGTGGAGACCGTGTGCCTTTTTTCGCGAAAGCTGAACAAATCCGAGAGGAACTACACGGTGTATGACCGAGAACTACTAGCCATTCATGAGGCGTTCCGGAGATGGAGGCACCTGCTAATTGGCGCACAACATAAGGTGCAAGTGTGCACTGACCACAAGAACCTAGAGTATTGGAGGACGGCACGAGTGCTCAACCAACGGCAAGTGAGATGGGCCCAGGAATTCTCCAAATTTAACTTTGAGATTTGTTACGTGCCAGGCCCAGAGAACATTAGGGCGGACGCTCTCTCACGCAAACCTGAATATTGGGAGGGGAGGGAGCACCCGAAGAGAGACATGTCATTCCAGAGGACCGCTGGGTGTGTGGGGCGGCATTGGTGGGACAAAGAGAACTGGTAGAAGAAACAGAGAATGATGAATACGCCCAGAATAAGCTCAGAGGTCTTAGGGATGAGGGAGAGGAATCAAGGGGTTTCGAGGAAAGAAATGGAGCTTTGTATTACAAAGGGGCACTGTATATCCCTGAAGGAGACTTAAGGGGAGGGTACTCAAGCAGTTGCATGACAGCCCCACGGCGGGCATTTTGGGCAACACAAAACCATGTGGTTGGTCACCAGGGAATTTTGGTGGCCTAAGGTGAGGGAGGATGTACGTGAGTATGTAAGAGGGTGCGAGCAGTGCCAGCGAGCCAAAGGGGAAAGGCGGGCGCCGGCGGGGCTATTAGAACCCTTACCAACACCAGAACGACCTTGGGAGGCAGTGTCGATAGATTTTATGACTGATCTGCCGAAGTCCAAAGGGAAAACAGCCATCATGGTGGTGGTAGACCTACTAACAAAGATGTGCCACTTTGTAGCTTGCTCGCATGCAGTCACGGCGGAAGAGACAGCGAAGTTATTTGTAGAACACATTTTTAGGTTGCACGGGGTGCCATTGAGGGTGGTCTCAGACCGAGGAAAACAATTTACTTCCAGGTTCTGGAGGAAGCTCATGAGCTTACTGCAGGTGGAGGTCAACTTTTCGACTGCCCGGCACCCTGAAACCAACGGGCAGGCGGAAAGAGCAAACGGTGTCCTCCAGCAATACCTGAGGTGTTATGTCAATGACAGAGAGAATGACTGGGTAGAAAAGTTGGCGCTGGCGGAATTTGCCTACAACAATGCCGAGAATGTGTCCACAGGGATGAGCCCCTTCTTGGCTAATTATGGGTGTCATCCCAGGGCTTTCCCAGGGGAGAAGGGGAGAGATGGAGCGTACCGGCAGCCGAGCATTTTGTAGAAGAAATGGAAGCAATCCACCGTCAGCTCCAACTCAACTTAGAAAGGGCGAAGGAAGAATACAAGAGGCAGGCAGACAAGAACCGAAGGGAAGGTGAAACCATAAGGGTTGGAGATAGGGTGTGGCTGTCAACCCGAGGGTTGCCGTTCAAAGGAGGTTGTAAGAAATTACGACCCAGGAGGTTGGGTCCCTTTGAGGTCATTCAACAGGTCAACCCAGTGGCTTTCAGGCTCCGGTTACCCAACCACATGAAACTGCACCCAGTATTTCACAGGTCGTTACTGTCACCGTACGAGGGGGGACGAGAAGGGATGGCCACTCGGGGACCGGTCATAGAAGAAAGAGAATGCAGCAGTCATGTGGCAGAAATCCTTGATGCCAGGTGGAAGGGGAATCAGGTGGAGTATTTGGTAGCGTGGGAAGGAGAACCGAGTCAGAAAACACGTGGGTAATGGCCAAAGATATCAATGACGAGGTATTGATAGAAATGTTCCATCAAAGGTTCCCGCGGAAACCTCAGCCTGTGGAGAGGTTCCGGAGGGAATACTTTGGGACCACTGAGGAGGAGGAGGAGTTGGAAGGATTCCCAGAATCGGAAGGGGAAGGGGAGATGGACTCGGAGGAGGAGGAGTGCTTCGAGACCAGGAACCGCAACAGGTGGAGAGAAGTGTTCGAGACATCGGAAGATGAAGGAAGTTCATTCCGGGGTTTTGCCTCCTCACCGCCCGTAGAGGAGGGGGCGAGAGGGGGTGAAGGGGGCCCTGGAGGGGAGGTGGATGTCAGGGAACTGCCATCGGAAGGAAGGGAGGTGAAAGGACTCAGACAGGTTGGAAGAGATTCAGCAGCTGAAGAGGGAACCAGCAAGGGGAGAGAAGCTGAACTGAGGGAGGTGAAAGGGCTCAGACAGGTTGGAAGAGACTCAGCAGCGGAACAGGAAACCAGTAGGGGAGAGAAGCTGAACTGAGGGAAAGGGAGCTGGGGGATGGCTCAGAGATACTTCCAGCGAAAACAGTGGTGAGGTTTCCGGACCTCCTGTAGCGACACCCACTCCTCGCCGGAAACTGTCACGCAGAGAGTCCAGAAGACGTGTTTCCGTTAAGGAGCTTTTATGTTGGAAGCGATTACGAAAGCAACCACTGTCGGAATCTTCTAGTGACTAGAGGAGCCATGTCAGAGGGGCTCAGTCACAGACAGAGGTTTGTGGACTTGAACAAACTCTGAGGGAATACGATTTTACGCACAAGCAGCTCATAATCCCATCACATCCGGATTGAATATTTTGTACCTTTTCTTCCTGATCATCAATTATTAGTAGGTGAGACTTCTTAGCTATACAATCTTCCTTGCTCTTCTCCCAAGACTGAATCGTTTCAGAAAACCAGTAGCATTTATTCTTGTGCAGACGCCACTGCATGGGGCACAGGTGGCAGCTTCCATCCCCTAAGAAGAAAAATTCCCATTGTTTTAAATTTGGATTTATACCTCACACAATCTGTACTTTTCAGGCTAGTCTTTCGCCATTCAGCTTCACGAGCGCTCTTGCAGCAGATCTTTCGCAGCAGTTTGCAGAACGATGTTATTTGCATATTATTGATTGTTAGCTGGAGAATAACAGAAGTCCCGGTGGTTTTAGTCGTAAATGTATGGTATTCTGTCAGTTTCAAAGAACTGAAGCTCAGCAAACAGAATATGGCCAAAGATATGCACAGGACAAGCCAAATCCTCAGGCTGGGAGCAGGGCTACATATAAGCAGTTGTTCCATTCCTCGTCCCCTCAGTTACTCATTTTCCCTGTGTTAAGTTCAATTCTCTACATTTTCAAATCAGTTTGTGATTTGCTGCACTATCAGCAGTGGAGAGATGGGTGGAGAAGGCCTTATGCACCAGTCTAGTGACCTCTCCTTCCCCGTTATAAACACTAGGGGGTTAGGATTGTGCCCATAGTGCCTGTGACTCTAGAACAGCAGTTCTCAACCTGTGGGTCCCCAGATGTTGTTGGACTACAACTCCCATCATCCCTGAGCTTTGCTAGCTAGAGGTGATGGGAGTTGTAGTCCAACAACATCTGGGGACCCACAGGTTGAGAAAGGCTGCTCTAGAACAAATGCAGAGAAACTGAAAACTCATCAAATGAGATTGCGGGAAGTTTATTCTTAGTACAAATGCCAGGTTCCCCCCTTTCCCTCAGTTTAATGCAGAATATAAATCCTTTGGGCAGGAAAATGTGTTAATCTTACATTGTGTACCATGTGTGTTTCAGGGCTGGCCCACCCATGGGTCAAGGTGAGGCAACTGCCTCAGGTGGTCAGATCCATAGGTGCAGCAGATCCAGCATCCAAGGATACATCACCCACTACTGCTGCTACTGTGGTGGCTACAATGACTGTGGCATGATCATTGGAGGCTGGATTTCATGGCTCCTCAGCATCACACTGTAATGCCCCCTCTACAGCTGCCTCTTAACAAATAGGATGCAATACTAGTCTTCCCCACTGGAAGGAAATGGCAGGGGCTGCCCTCTGGGGTCTTCTAATCTGTTACCTGCACCCAGTGTGATTCAGAGGGTTTCCCTCCCCCTCCCCATGATAGCCTTTGATTCCCACTTCACCTCTCAGGTAAGGTTGATTTGATTCTTTCCCTTGTTCCCAAAGTAGATCTTCAAACACCCCTTCTTCCCTGGTGGCGAAGGCGCCATTTTGTGGTTTGCCTCAGGATGGTAAAATGTCTTGGGCCGGCCCTACCAAATGTTAAAATAATAGAAACAGTCTCCAGTGCAGTAAGCTCATAACTTACACACATTTAACATGTTCAGCTATCCACGTGTGGCAAAAAAATAAAATACAGGGGACGGGGTTTTTGAGAAAAGTGACTTTAGTGCTTTGACTATATGCGATTCTGGCTTTAGGCATGATCCCCACAACATAACCTCTGTATCAGTTGCGTGGCAAGTCCCCTCCCCCATGTGAAATGAAGACACTGGACACATTATTTAAGGTTAATGGGCATAAAAAGGCCACAACTTTATTGATTACAGAATTGAAAGGTATTGGCCTTAGGCATTGGCTCCTATCAACTACCCGGCATGTAGACCGGGAAGGGTTAACCACAAACCGTGGGAGTCCTGTTGAAGTACGCCAACTAGGATCCCACGGGTGTCACCGCTCGGGGGCGTGCCGGAGGCCCTTACCTCCCTAGGTTTCGGACAAGGCAACGCCCCCCGGAGTCCTCTACCGGACTACCCTTTCCTTGGGGGAAGGTGATGGCGCTTCCTCCCCCCCCATTCATTTGCATAACAATAAACCCCTGCCAATGCCTAACCGCCACTCGAGCAAAGCTCGCCGCCAATACCTTCAAACCTGCAACCAACTCCTAATCCCTGCTATGATGTCTCCCAGCCAAATATCGTTTCCAGCATCTGACAGATGCACGCCATCCCATCTGTAGAGGGCCTCGTTGCTGTACCGGATGCCTGGGTGTCCTATGACGCACCCGCCCAAAGCCGCCACTCTACGTTCCACAGCCCGCTCCAAGACCTTTCTTGCTTTATTGATTCCAACCGGGCTCACACAATCCCTCCATGTCCTCCTCTCAAGCAACGAGGACCACAAGATAGTAATGTTTGGGTAAACCGCCCTCAGATCAGCAAAATCGTCGAAGATGTTCCATCTCAAGTCAATAGCTTTGCGGTACGCTAGGTCGTTTTCCCCCAACTGGATAACCAGCGCATCGGGTGGACCCACAGAGGCGGCTCTCGCCATTACAGCTGGCTTGAATTCACTCCAGCGCATGCCCCTTCGCGCTATCCACACCAGCTCCACATTTGCAGGCAAGTTCAAGTTTAGACCCAACCCGGTACACATGGCACGATTCTTGGCCCAATGCATAATGCTGTGGCCCACCAACCACCGCTCAGCTGGCGAGGGGAAAGAGGGCGGTCCCCGGGCGTGCCTGGCCTTAAGTAGGCTAGGCCACGCCTCCCCAGCCCGCCGATTGGTGGGCCGGGTTGCAGGCACGCCCGGGGATTCCCTGAATCTCGCGGGGGCAAAAGGCCAGCCCCCGCGTGTGTGGGAGGGGGTCACCCGCAACCCCCTCTCCTCCCAAGGTCGGAAATGGCTTTGTGGGCTTATTGTACTTCAGCTGAAAATTTCTTTCAGGGCTGCATTTTTCGGAGCTGAGCACTAGGTGCCATTATACATTTAGAATATTATTATTATTTTTAGTAACGACAGTTTACTTGGAAAGCGTAGCAGAGGCAGATCAAAGGCATAAGCATGTCGCAGTAACTTATGAAATGAATTTACCCGTCTCACACAATTTTTGTTTCAGAGTTGACCTGAAATCCTCTGATGCTTTGCTTCCTTCACATCCTGCAGGGCAGTACTGAGTTGTGTTTGGAGACCATTCAGATGCTTTGACCTGTTTTTCACGATCCTGTGGAGTTTTATTTATAACTAGGGAGGAGAAAGATTTAGGCATATTTTTTTTTACTATGTTGTAAGTTTAAAGCTTGATAGTACTGCTGGCTGATAAGCAGCCTCCACAGCGCCCTCTACTGTGGGGTCCTTTAGGTGTCTTGAACTACAACTCCCAGCAGCCTCAGCCAGCATGGCCATGATGGGAGTTTTAGTCCAAAAGATAGAGGGCACCAGGTTGGGTGACTTCCACAGGGATTCGTAAAGATGCTTTGCAAATACCAAGCTGTCCTTCCAAAGACAGCAAGGGGCCGAGATATTTTTTTATTTCAGAATCATTATGGATAATCCTTTCAAAGCAGCTCTGTAAAATGAGCAAATCACCAATGTAAAATAACAATTGTTTTTTTAAAAAAATCACAATAAAGCAAAACAGCATAAAATAAAATTCAAAACTTAAAAGCAATGTTTTTGCCTGTTGTAAGTTTAATTAATTTATTACAGTTTTCCAAAAATCATTATGTTATAGCTAGACCCAAAAAAATATAAAGCACTTTCTGATTTGGTGCTCTGCACCTCCACCATATCTAAACTGTGTTGTTGTATATTTGATTAAGTCAGGCGTCAGCAAACTTTTTCCTCAAGGGACCAGGTGCACTGTCCCTCAGACCTTGTGGGGGGCCGGACTATATCTTGGAGAGAAAAAAGAACAAATTCCTATGCCCCACAAATAACCCAGAGATGCATTTTAAATAAAAGCACACATTCTACTCATGTAAAAACACCAGGCAGGCCCCACAAATAACCCAGAGATGCATTTTAAATAAAAGGACACATTCTACTCATGTAAAAACACCAGGCAGGCCCCACAAATAACCCAGAGATGCATTTTAAATAAAAGCACACATTCTACTCATGTAAAAACAACAAGCAGGCCCCACAAATAACCCAGAGATGCATTTTAAATAAAAGGACACATTCTACTCATGTAAAAACATGCTGATTCCTGGACCGTCTGTGGGCCGGATTGAGAAGGCGGTTGGGCCGTATCCGGCCCCCCAGGCCTTAGTTTGCCTACCCATGGATTAAGTCATACAGGTCTCAGGTACCACTGGAATACTAATCTGTATATCTTTATTTTAAATTTGTGCACAGATGTGGGTGCATCCATGTCTACTTCTTCTGAGACATTTCCCCCCTCAGTTCTCTGTCACAATTACATGGGTATGAATTCTTAGATATGTCCACGCTCCTAATTCTGCTATATATCTTACTAAGAAGTTGTTGCTTCTGTTTGTTTATCACGAGGTTTTCAAATTGGTTTATCTCTCTTAAATGGCCATGTTTCCTTAGCAGACCATAGTCAACATCATGGGTAGGCAAACTAAGGCCCAGGGGCCAGATTCAACCCAATTGCCTTCTCAATCCGGCCCATGGACGGTCCAGGAATCAGCATGTTTTTACATGAGTAGAATGTGTCCTTTTATTTAAAATGCATCTCTGGGTGATTTCTGGGGCCTGCCTGGTGTTTTTACATGAGCAGAATGTGTGCTTTTATTTAAAATAAATCTCTGGGTTATTTGTGGGGCATAGGAATTCGCTCATCCCCCCCAAAAAAAATATAGTCCGGCCCCCCACAAGGTCTGAGGGACAGGGGACTGGCCCCCTGCAGCATGCACAGCTGTGGCACCGAAATTTGTGGGTGCCTGGCACCTTCATGAGGAATTTTGTGGGTGCCTGGGCACCCAGGGCCCCAGGGAAGTTCATTATTAAGTCTTGCGCAAATCTCATGTTATGATACTTACCCCAAACTCCCATCACTATCACTGCCGCCACCAGGACGATGTTTCCAGCCCATCCAACCTGGAGCATAATTCCATGCCAGCGTGGGCACAGTTGGTGTTCTGCAAAAACGCAGGTGAAAAGATTGGGGATAATGTTCCAAGGCAGCCCTGTGTTCAGCTTTTAACTCTGCATTGCAGGGCCTTGATGGAGAATTCCGCTATGAAATAGGCACATAAGGAAGTGCCTTGCATCAGCTCAGACTGTTACTCCATCTAGCTCAGTATTGTCTGTCTAGTTACGACTCTCAAGGCTTCAGGTAGGGGTCTTATCTGGCCAGAGAATGAACCAGGGGTTTTTTGCCTGCAAGGCATCTCTGCCTCCAATAGCAAACTTAACTGCTGAGAAGGAATGGAGCCAAAATGAGACCACTAAGAACTGGGTGTGCACCTGTGATAATTTATTGAATTGTGGAGGATCAAATGGCTGCTTAGCCCAGCCTCCAACAGTTACCAGTGGATTGAACTGTGCCCAGAATCCTTTAGCTGAATGCTAAAATGTGCTGTACTCTCTACTGCCTAAACTAGGGATAGCCCAAGACATTTTGGCACCTGAGGCAAATCAATTTTTCTCACTTTGCCTGATGGTAGGGCCGGCTCTACTTTGCCTCTTCTTTTCCTTCCATTGGTCATTTAGTGCTGCCCCCACCTTTTCACCCCCCTTGTTTCACCCTCCTGGCGCCATTTTTAAATACATTTTTAAAAATTTTGTTCTCTGATTAGTGCAGTTTGGGTTTTTATTGTACTTGTTTTCTGGTTATTTTGTGAGCCATTTTAGATGTCCCTTGGCCAGAATCACAGAATTCTAGAGTTGCAAGGGGCCACAAAGACCACCCAGTACAACCCCCTGCAATGTAGGAATCTTTCACCCCATGTGGGGCTCAAACCCACATCCTTGAGATTAAGAGTCCCATGCTCCTACCAACTGACCTATGTGGCATAGAAATACATAAAAAAACCAACAAGCAAGCAAGCAAGTAAATAGCAGCAAGGCATTTGTTTCTCAGCTGCCTTTCCTCAGAAACTCCAGAGCCAACGTACAACGAAATACATAAAACCAAATTCGGCAAAATCACAGCAGCGTCAACCACAAAAATAAATCTTTAAAGCAACAGAGCATGTAGCACCCTGCTTGTGGTTAACGCTTAGCTGGAATGAAATATTCAACGCAGCAATAGAGAAATTAAAATAATAATTTATTTGTCAGACAAATAAATGAGAGACACAGTGGTATATGGATACCAAAGCTCTACCTACTCCAGCCCTGATGGCCAGCACTTATATTTCCTCAGCCCAGCCCCCTTGCTCCTCCTTTGGCTGCCTCTGTCCAATCAGCCTGGTTGAAATTCCTATTGGTTGTTTGCTAGAACCAATCATAAAAGATACACCCATTTCCTATTTCCTTTTATGGGAGACAAAAAGCTATATTTCCTTGTATCCATAAATGGCAGACAAGTAGCCATATATCTTACATTTACCTCGACCAGGCACCTCAATTACCAGATAACCTTTGGCCCCTGTTGCCCTATTCACCGCAAACCAGATGGCTAAAGCAGATGGTGCATGGTTTCTAATTTTTTTATCTTAAAGAGATCTTGAGTTCACCTTCTCACCCACCATAATAGGAATCTAACATAAGAATCTAACATTTCTTACTTTCTAAATCCTTTGCATAATTACATTTAAGCCAATATATTTCATACATAACATAGATAGATTTTTAGAAGGAAAGGCCTTTTCAAATTAGAAGGAACTTAGTAAAAGCTAAGTTCTCTTAGTTCTATAAAGAAACCTTTTTCCCTAACCAGCAGCTGTTTCTTCCATTTAACCTTTAACCTTATGGCTCGAGTCTTCTGTTAAACAATAAATTTCACTATTTACCAGTTCTTAATTGTGTTTTTACAGCTTGATTGTATTCTGGTCAGTGTGACCTTTTGCTCTCTGGCTCTAATTTCCTTTTACAACCTTGAAATACTTTTTACAACCCTGAAATACTGCTATTTATAGCAGTGGGGCCCTTGAACAGCTGCCAGAGTATTCAAGCTGGTCTTCTCCCTGGCATGAGAGAAAAATATATTTACAAATATAATTTTTTAAGCTCAAAGCAGATTTTGATCAGATGCCTCAAGCACAAACCAGTTCACCACACACATGCAAATCTAAACAAAAATGTTTCCACATGCCTTCTAAAGGAGGTAGAGATTTGCTCAGAGGGGCAGTATCTGGGAGAGAGGTCCACAAAGTAGATACAGGAGTGTGTGTGTGTGTGTGTGTGAGAGAGAGAGAGAGAGAGAGAGAGAGAGAGAGAGAGATTATTCTGCTTCCTTCACCATCAATTTAACATCCCCAACATTTGCCAAGTCTTCCTGGAGATTCTAACAAATTTAGATGAATTAACAAGAGTGAAAATACTCCCATGCAAATATGTTCGGGTCCCAGTTTGTATACAATAACAAGTATCTTAAATGCTGGGCTGAAGTGAAAAGAGATTTAGAAATTTGGTCAAATTTGAAGCTTTCATTGCAGGGTCGTATTGCTGCGGTAAAAATGAATGTATTGCCTAGAATGTTGTTTTTGTTTCAAACATTGCAAATTGTGGACAAAATGGACTGTTTCAAGAGGTGGCAGAGAGATATTTCTAGATTTGTCTGGCAGGGCAAGAAGCCCAGAATAAAATTTAAAATACTAACAGATGCAAAGGAAAGAGGTGGATTTGCCCTGCCAGACTTCAAACTTTATTATGAATTAGCAGCTTTTTGCTGGTTGAAAGAATGGCTGCTTCTTGAAAACACTGACATTTTGGATCTAGAAGGCTTTAACAATGTATTTGGATGGCATGCATATCTGTGGTATGATAAGGTCAAAGCACATAAAGCATTTAAAAACCATATTGTCAGGAAAGCATTGTTTAATGTTTGGATAAGATATAAGGACTTATTGGAAAATAAAACTCCAAGGTGGCTGTCACCGATGGAAGCGAAAGCTCTGAAAAAGCTCAATATGGAGGTCAAATGGCCGAAATATTGGGAAATTTTGGAACAAGACGGAGATAGATTGAAACTGCAGAGTTTTGAAAAACTAAAAAACAAAGTGTGAGACTGGCTTCATTATTATCAGATAATGGAGGCATACAATTAGGACAAGAAAATCGGCTTCCAGGTGGAAAAATCAAAATTAGAAACAGAATTGTTAGAACCCAAAACTAAGATTTTGTCAAAGATGTATAACTTGCTGTTGAAATGGAATACTCAGGATGAAACGTTGAAATCTGCTATGATTAAATGGGCACAAGACGTTGGACATAACATAATGATGGCTGACTGGGAACAGTTGTGGACCACAGGTATGAAGTTTACGGCATGCAATGCCTTAAGAGAGAATATTATGAAAATGATATACAGGTGGTACATAACCCCAGTCATGCTTGCAAAAATCTACCATTTGCCCGATAACAAATGTTGGAAATGTAAAGAAACTGAAGGTACATTCTTTCACCTTTGGTGGACGTGCCCAAGGATTAAGGTTTTCTGGGAGATGATTTATAATGAATTAAAAAGGTATTTAAATATACCTTCTTGAAGAAACCAGAGGCCTTTCTCCTGGGCATAGTCGGCCAATCGGTGTTAAAGAAGGACAGAACTTTCTTTATGTATGCTACAACAGCAGCAAGAATACTTATTGCAAAGCATTGGAAGACACAAGACCTACCCACACTGGAAGAATGGCAGATGAAAATGATGGACTACATGGAATTGGCAGAAATGACTGGCAGAATCCGAGACCAGGGAGAAGAGTCGGTGGAAGAAGATTGGAAGAAATTTAAAGACTATTTACAGAAATATTGCAAAATTAATGAATGTTAGAATGATGTTGGATTGAAGTTAAGTGGTTTCTAGCTGTAATGGTATAAAAGAATATGGAAAAATTGGATTTTCAATACGTAAAAACCTAATGCTATAATATATTAAGATTAAAGATCAGGATAAAATAAGGAGGGAAAGGAATTGCTGAACTAATAAATTGAACTGGAATACAAAAAAGGGAGGCATGAGGAGGTCTGGGAAACAAGTAAATGAAAGATAAGTGATGAAAAGATGGAATTGTTTTTAATTGTTTTTTTGTATTTTGTATTTTTCTTTTCTCTATTTTTCTTTTTCTTATCTATGTAATCTTTTTTTGAAACTTTAATAAATATCTTTTTTTAAAAAAACCAATAACAAGTATCTTGGATTGCACAAAAATTGGTGTTATGCTCATGCTGATCTGTTCTTGGTGGGGTGTGTGTGTGTGTGTGTGTGTGTGTGTGTGTGTGTCATATGAACTTATATGGTATCAGGTCATCTGTTGAAGAGGTGCAAGTTCTCCAAAGTTCCTGTTCACCAGTCCTTTACATTTAAAGAAAGTCCATGAGGTAGCACAGGGAATTATTGCTTCATTTCTTTACATGTGAGGCTGTGAACAAATTCACTACTGCACCTCAGTTTAAATGTGCTGGCCCACCACAAAGGGATTATCCATAGATTATCCCAATTCTCTTTGGAATCAGCAGGAAATGATGCAGCAAGTCTTTGTCCCATACTTCAGATGCAGAAACACCTTCCTCATCTCTTCCTCCCTTTAGTGGTTACCACTTCAGAAACATGGTGAGAAAGTGTTACGTTCTCTCCCATTTCTTCCTTCAGTTTGTGTAAAGCTGCTCTAAGCGAAGCTGAAAAGGGTAGCATGTTTCCGTAAATTGATTTTGAGCTCCCTGACAGATCCGGCGAGGCCTGCCCCACTTTAAGCTTTTTGAGTTATAATAAAAGCGTAAGAAATGATGAACACAAGAAAAGAAAACAAAGCACTGGACAAAAATATCCGCTAAACAGAGGGCATTTTCCTCATGGTTTTTCTCTTGTGCCGTCAGAATGGATGTATTTTATAATCAATATTTAGGAACTTCAAAAACTTTTCAACATGGCAAAATTCATATCAGCTAACAAAAAGAAAGAAAGAAAAGTATTTTACTAAATCACACCACTTATTCACTTAATTGTACAGCTGTAAGCTGAGACAGTGCCACATTTTGGTTTGCCGTGCAATAAAAACAAATGGCAAAACTTTGCAATTGCCAAAACATGAATGTGTGCCTGCGTTTGAGTCCTGGGCCCTCCTGCATCAGCTTAAACTGGTCCTACCCTCAACCCCTACGTCTTGCACAAGCAGTTCAAGATAAGTCTCTGATAACAACTTAACATACCTGGCTTCTGAACTGAATCTAAGTTTCTTCCGGGTGAGGAAACTTCAGCTAATTTTATGTCTGCATAGACAACTGCTCCATCCATGCTGAACTGTCACTCTGAAGAGTGGAACTATCTGTGAGTGAAAAACTTTCTTCACACCCACGTAAAACTCACGGAAACTGAGCTGCTCGTGTTATCTTGCTTACATATCAGCTCCCTTTTGTGTGACTGCAGCTAAATGACATCCCTCCTTCCCCAAGTACAGTTGCGGTTATATTCATCTGTGCTTGCAGGAGGAGGAGAAACATTAAAGAAAGTAGATGCAGTCGATAAAGACCCGCGGGTGTCTATGGCTTCTGCTGTTGAGGTCAAGAAGGACACTGAAGTTAAAAGCCCACTTTGTTGTTGTTTAGTCGTTTAGTTGTGTCCGACTCTTTGTGACCCCGTGGACCAGAGCACACCAGGCACTCCTGTCTTCCACTGCCTCCCGCAGTTTGGTCAAACTCATAAAAGCCCACTACCTTCTTTTAAAACCTTTTGTGTCCTTTCATTTCATTAAAGCCAGTTGCTTAAATGCCGGGAGATGGACCTGTGACCCTCCAGACCAGGGGTCAGCAAACTTTTTCAGCAAGGGGCCAGCCCACTGTCCCTCAGACCTTGTGGGGGGCCGGACTATATTTTTTTGGGGTGGAGGGGAATGAACGAATTCCTATGCCCCACAAATAACCCAGAGATGCATTTTAAATAAAAGGGCACATTCTTTTTTTATTTTTTATTTTTTTTAATTAATATTTATTAAAGTTTCAGAAAGAATAAAATCACATTAATAAACAAGAAAATTTTTAACAAAAACAAAGAAAAATACACCATACAAAATAGAAAAAAGAAAAAAAAGAAAAAAGAAAAAAAGAAAAAACAGTTAAAAATAGTTCCGTCCTTTCATAACCTCTTTTACATTTACTTGTTTCCCGGACTTCCTCATACCTCCCTCTTTTGTATTCCAATTCAGTCTGTAAGCCAGGACACATTCTACTCATGTAAAAAAATGCTGATTCCTGGCCTTTCCACCGGCCAGATTGAGAAGGCGATTGGGCAAGATCCGGCCCCCGGGCCTTAGTTTGCCTACCCATGCTCCAGATATTGCAGGGATGCAACTTCAACAATATTTGATTACCGTATTTTTCGCTTTATAAGACGCACCCACCATAAGACGCACCTAGTTTTAGAGGAGGAGAACAAGAAAAAAAATATTCTCTCCCTCTCTGCTCAGCGCCTCTCCAGCAAAGCGGGAGGAGAAATGGAAGGGGCTCTGTTTCTCCTGCCGCTTCACTGAAGGGGCGCTGCGCAGCTTTCCCTCTCACAGTGCCATTCCAGCGAAGCGAAGCCAGGAGAGCAAGAGGGATCAGTGCGCACCAATCCCTCTTGCTCTCCTGGCTTCAGGGATAGCTGCGCAGCCTGCATTCACTCCATAGGATGCACACACATGTCCCCTTACTTTTTAGGAGGGGAAAGGTGCGTCTTATAGAGCAAAAAATATGGTATGTGCCATGTAAGCTGGGGGCAGCTGGTTTGAGTTGGATTCCAACAGCTTGGGAGGGCCACAAGTTCCCCACTTTGAAACCCATATATTTGTTTTAATGGCAAAACATGAATGGCAAGTTCTTAAACAGCACCTCATTCTTGGTCAGGCTTTGTCCAGGTCATTTTGTTGCCTGAGGTGAAGCAGCAAATGGTACACACACACACACACACACACACACACACACACACAAACCCCTGAGGCCACCACTGTGGCAAGGTGCATCATTCTGAAAGCCAACCAAGTTATATTGGCACCTGAGGCAGAAAATCCCACAAGTACCTCTCCCTGGAAGAAGAAAATAAAATGACGGCAAATTAAATAACTAGCAATTTGCTACCCTTTCTTTCCAGGCAAAAATCAGCTCCTTGAGGTGTCTGGCCCTTGAGTACTATAATGAGTTACATTTTCTCGATTAGGGTCACAACCGGAGGCCCACACTTCGGGGGTGTTGCTGTTCCTTTTTATAACAGTTATTTACCGCATTAGAGGCAAATGAGCAGAGGTCCTGCTGCGAATGTTGACAAGTCGCTTCTGAAGCTTTGCAAAGTGTCAAAAAACAAACAAACAACATTTGTGGTGCAGTGCACCACAAATAACTGATAACTGGTGGGAGCGGATGGGGGGGGAGGCAATGGAAAAAGCAGAATTCTATGTGCCAAAATCTGCATTTTATTTTATTCTTAAGAATAGTCATGAATTGCTAATTGTATGGTGCAGCGTGCAGTGAAATTATCAAAGCACCATGAAATTGTAAAATCATAAAATTCAGAACAAATGACCAATGTTAAAAAAAATTCAAATCTCTAAAAAAGCTTGGTTTTCAGCAGGTGATGAAATACTGCAGTTGTTAGTGGGCAATTGTAGCAGTGTTCCAAAAGACTGGTGCCGCAACACTAAAAGCCTTAGTAGTTCATGTAGACACTAAATGAATAAGATACAGTATATCTGTGGGGGAAATCAAGAGGGCTAGAGTATCACAGTGATCTGGCCAGTGAATAAAGTACAAGGCAGCCCTCCAGCTAACCTTGTCCTGGCCTTTTAGTTCTTTATACACTAACACGGGGATTCTCAAACGTACTGCTCCCAGGCCCTTGAAATGACTGAAAGTGATTGAGGCTCAGCAATCACAAAATGGCGTTGCAGGGACAGAGCTGGTCACAAAATGGCGGCGGATGTAGGCCGAGTTTCACATAACCAGATGGAAATTACAGACACCGCTCCATTGTTGGAAATTCCAAAATCTTCCTTGTGGTAAGGAGTTCTATGCGTAGCTCAGCTTTCCTCAGGTTAAATAGAGGCATTTGCTCTGGAGGGAATGTGATTCAGCCTGCCCATTTTAGGCAGAACTTGCTGATTTAGAAGGATCTGAAATGGAAAAAGGATTTTTATTTTCTATTTCTCGCTTCCTACGCCCACATGTCTATCAAAGTATTTTCTCTTGTCTCCTGAAATTTCTCCCCCCCCCTCTTTTCACACTTAACTTGTATCTTATTCCACCACCACACCCAAACTTCTAGTTTCTTTCATCCATCCTCTCTTGTCCTTTTATCTTCATTTCTTCCTCCTGTTACAACCTTCCTCACTTCTCTTCTGTTTCCAGCTGATTTATTGATGATGATTGTTATGTATTGAAGTTCTAACCCTGGCCACCAGGGGCATTGTGTATATAGTTTTCACTCAGGTCCACTTCAGTTAATTAGACGGGAAACCCTGAGGTGTTGCTGTTACAATGTTGACAGCCGGCTGCCTATAAAAGCAGGCCGGCTGAGCTGTTCAGTTCAGTTCAGTTCCAGCTTACTATAAAGAACCACTTGGAGAAATCTCTGTGTCGTCTGCTATGTCCACCCACAACTTAATAATGATGGTATCAAATATTAACATTTCCCCCTAGTTTTCTTCAATATCTCCTCTGGACATTTTTCTTCAGAGGAAGGAGACCTTTCCCCCCATCCCTAACCCTCCACCAACTTCTCTGGCTCCCACCTTCCTTTACTTAGCATCCAAGGAGTTGCTGGTGCTGGCATTGCTCCAACAAAAAGGCTGTGGGGTGGCTGGGAAGTGGAACAGGTTGAGGAGACCCTGAAGAGTAGGCCATGACACTGTGACACACCTGAAAATGGCCCAAGGCCCACATGTAGCTTCCAGCCCACCAGAAATGCTGTAATATCTCGAATGAAGTCCTTTAAAGTTACTTCGCGCCTGACAAGAATTAGGAACTTTTCTTTCTTCAGGGAGAAAGAAAAGGTTCTTCGTTCATGTCAACTTTCCTAGAGTTGCTGGTTCTCTCAACTGCCGTCTCACTTTGAGGCTGCCCTAGATTACTCTCTAGGCCTCAGTTTCCTGTGGGTAAATGTAGTGTCCAACCTGCACTTTGAGAAACAGCTCATTCCTTCCAGTGTGTGGGTTTGTTTGGTGTGCGTGCTTCAGGAAAAGGGAAGCTGGGGGAAGTGAAGTGAAACATCCTTTCGTTGTTATGATGAGGACAGAGGTGTAGAAAAGTAGAAGTGGAGATAAGTGATGCCAAAATGAGCAGGCTGTCTCCGCTGTGGCAAGTCTCAGGTTGTGGTCCGAGGGACACTTGACAGAGCTAAGGAGGACTGGGTCTGAAAGGAGACCCAGTTGCATAAGAAATACAAAAATGAAACAAATATGTAGGCTATAAACTAACAACTAGTGCAGCAGCACTACTAGGGACACATGTGGCACTGTGGTCTAAACCACCCAGCCTCTTGGGCTTGCAGATCATAAGGTCGGCGATTTGAATTCGCATGACGGGGTTGTTGCAGGTCTAAAACCTGTTCTTCCTGGATTTTGCCAATGAGACACAGGAGACAGAAAGGAGAGAGAATCCAGCGTTTATTAGTTTGTGCAAACTAACTGATTCAGCAGGATATTTCCCAAAGTCTGATCCCCCGGTGTTGTCCGCTGAGACTTTTTAGAGGGTTTACACACGAAGAATACACACAGAGTCCCGTTAAAAGCCCCCCAAACATCTGCAGAGGATAGCTGGCAAAAACCCACTGGATACTTTTTGCTGCAGTGCTGCGCCTGCGCTCTAGCATACTAGAAAGACTGGACCTGTAATATTGCTGACACAGCCCTATATAACTTTGTTTACTGCTATTACTGTGTCTTTGTGGCCTTCGCCTGCATACATTTTGTTGCAATGCTGTTATCAGCAGAGCTGTTTGTTCTTTAAGCTTATGTGATCAGGGGGGTAATTGACTTCCACTACCTCAGAGTGAGCTCCCGTTGTTCTGTCCCAGCTCCTGCCAACCTAGCAGTTCGAAAACATACCAGTGCAAGTAGATAAATAGGTACTGCTGTGGCGGGAAGGTAAACAGCGTTTCTGTGCGCTCTGGCACTCGTCACTGTCCTCCATGCACCAGTAGCAGTTTAGTCATGCTGGCCACATGACCCAGAAAAGCTGTCTGTGGACAAACGCAGGCTCCCATAGTCATATCCCATAGTCAAATTCGACTCGACTTAACTGTCCAGGGGACCTTTACCTTTACCTACTGGTGAAGCATCAGTAAGGAGAAACCCTCTCTCTCTCTCTCTCTCTCTCTCTCTCTCTCTCTCTGCTGTTACTGTTGAAAACAAGGTGGCAAGGTTTTGCTTTCCATCTTATATATGAGTGCTTGTGGGCAATGATTTGTGACACTTGGGGTGAAAGACTGGGTGGGTTGGGGAGTGAGGATCAAAAGTGTAAAGTCGCTCATATGCCACAGAGTGATGTTAGAGGAAGAGAGGCAGTGAGTGTACTGACCCAGGTGAGAGATGGGGTGCCTGAGGCGGTTTGGTTAAGTTGGAGATTATCACTGTTGTTCTCACCACAGGTTAGTAATGCTGGTTTGATGACAGAGTTCTCGGTTTGTTTAAAGCAGGCATAGGCAACCTTCGGGCCTCCAGATGTTTTGGACTACAATTCCCATCATCCCTGACCACTGGTCCTGTTAGCTAGGGATCATGGGAGTTGTAGGCCAAAACATCTGGAGGGCCGAAGGTTGCCTATGCCTGGTTTAAAACATCTATCTGACTTGTTTTTTCTGGATTCTGTAATTATTGTCTGTTATTATTATTCTCTGTACATTTTTTTTGTATTTAACCTTGGGAGGTTGCAGACTCTTCTTCCCTGGAGGTTTTCAAGCAGAGGCTGGCTGGTCATCTGCCATGGATGCTTTAGTGGAAATCCCTACATTGCAGGCGATTGGACTAGATGACCTTTAGGGTCCCTTCCAACTCTGCAATTCTAGGATTCGAAGATCATTACTCTAGGATTGAAATCATGGCTGGTGCCAGCAAGGGGCGGGGTCAAGTGCTTCCCCAAACATTATTTTTCTTTCAGGGATCTTGACATGTGAGACACAACTTGCCCACGTAGAAATATATTTTTATCCTGCTGCACCCTGCCCAAATTTATTTTATTTTGCCATCTCTGATTGAAATATTCAGTGAAGAAGGGTTGTAAATATATACATAAATAACGGGCTCCTGAGAATCCTGAGTAGCTGTCTGGGAGGTTGCCAGCTGTACCTCATAATTTACTGCTTTGTGTATATCTCTTTCCAGTCAGACTCCTCTGGGAGCTGGCAACGTTGCCTGTGTTCCTAACTGGGGCCATTAGTTCACTCCTGACCCAGAGAAGCAGTGGAATTTCCTCTGGGGAAGCTTCCTGTTGCTTTCCTGAATGTTGCTGTCTGGGGCTTAACAGGGCCAGCCCTCCCATTAGGTAGTGAGGCAGCTGCCTCAGGCTATTGATTTTGGGCAGGGCTTTTTTTCAGATGGAACTTGCCGGAACTCAGTTCCGGCACCTCTCAGGTGGGCACCGTTGCTGTTCTAAGAAAACAAGGGAGGTGTTCATGGTGAGTTCCGGCATCTCTTTTTCTGGAAAAATAGCACTGATTTGGAGCATCATGAAAGAGCAGCAAATCGGCAGTCGTTTAATTTATTAATGCTGCATTTTTAATAACAAGAGAGAGAGAGAGGGAAATGTGCTTGTTGAGGTTTCTGCTAAATATCTTGACTGGCCTTCAGTGTTATTCACCTTGACTTGAGGGGGCAGTGGCTGGGGGGTTCAAGTGAGGTTCCCCCTGCTCTTCCCAAATTTGCGAGGCTTATTTGACTTTTGCTCTGTGCCACGGAAGGCTCATGTTTGGAAAGAAAAACTTATTTGTTTTTAAAAGGCCGCACTGAGAGCTTGGAGCCAGAAAAGTAAAGAAAAAGGTCTGGGCTGCTCCTGAGACTTGGTATGCAAAAAATCAGCAGGAGCAGTTTTTCAGGGCATGAAGTGCAAACTCTTGCTGATGTCTGCGCACTGAACTTCAGTAGTTGTTTTTTTTTTTCAAAGGCACAGGGCAGAACCTTAGTTTCGCAGAATTTTAGTGCTTTAAAAAAGTTAATCTGGTCGCTGTTCATCTGACTGCACACACTTTCCCCTGCAGTTTTTTCAACAACTGCCAATTTAACTTTCTAGGTTTTTAAAGCACAAGCAAACCTGATGAAAATCATCAGATGCAAACTCAGTAACTTCCCCAGAGAGAGAGCCAACGGAAAACAATGTAGGTGTTGCTTTGGGGTTGTGCATAACCCCTGTCAGCCTTAATCTGTACAATCTGTACCAGCAAAGTCAACATCAAAGGAGGTAGGGGTTTTTTTGCTTTTTAACAGCTGAGGCCCCTTTCTTGAGTAGGAAAGAGATTGATGATGACAGCAATTAGGGAGAAATTAGTCCCCGCAAAAGAAAGAAACTTAATGTGTAACTACATGAGTGCTTTAAGGCAGAATGGTTTCTTGGGGATTTAGATAGAATAAGGGAGAGGAAAACAACACGCTCTGTATATGGTAGCAAACCTGACTCTCTGTTGGAGAGGCTTATCTTGAGACTGTGGGTGGTGCAGTAAACTAATTCCTCAGAGTAAAAAACAATTAAATGTGTTTTCTTCCACACTGACTTCTTTATTTCACAAGAGTTAGAAGAATGGAGATGATTCTGGGCTGAATCCAACAAAGCTAGAAGTGCTTAATAATATTTAACCCTATGCATGCCTCCTCAAGTGCAATTCTCATTGAGTCCAGTGGTACTCACTCCCAGACAATGTATTACAGGGGTAGGCAACCTAAGGCCCGTGGGCCGGATGTGGCCCAATCGCCTTCTCAATCTGGCCCATGGACGGTCCAGGAATCAGCGTGTTTTTACATGAGTAGGCCTTACTTCTGCTTAGACACCTATAGGATTGTCCTGACCCTCCCTGTCAGATGAAGAAAGTGAACTTCCAACTCCAGTTCTGCCAAAGGCTTTAATTTTTAGGTCAGATAGGTACATAAGGCAAGGCGCAGAGTGTAGAAATTAACAGGTACGTGAGAGTTTAAATGCATGGCTGAGCGCGATCTAAAACACTGATCTAACTAGTGACACTCCCCACACCTTCCTTTTGAAGAGTGGGGCAGACAAAGTTACTTGCATGACAGGCAGATGGTGTTCCAGGACTGGGCAAGCACATGGGCATCCCTCCCTCTGCATCGTCTAAAAGAGGTTTGTTCATGCACCAGCACTGGAGTCTCCCTGTCCATGGTGATGAAATTGAGGCTGGCTCCACTTTACTCTCAGCTGCTTCCCCTAAAGGCGAAGGATTTGGGGTGACAGGAGGAGGTAGACTAGGCATATCTGAAGGTAGAACAGTGGGACATTCCCCTGTTATCCCACTGTTATCCAGATGTCCTAAACTGCTATGCCTGTCCCTGGAATCTGAGATCTCTTGTCTGGAATTTGCCACCTCCACCCTGCAGCCCACTCTGGGATACTCTAGCTCTCTGAGCTCCTCCCACTCTTTTCCAGATCTCACTATCTGCTTCAAGACACCATCACCATTTATTTATTTATACCCCACCCCTCTGGTTGGGTTTCCCCAGCAACTCTGGGCAGCTCCCAACAGAATATTAAAAACACGATAAAACATCAAGTATTCCAAACTTCCCTAAACAGGGCTGCCTTCAGATGTCTTCTAAAAGTCCTTGACATCTGATGGGAGGGCGTTCCATAGGGCGGGTGCCACTACCGAGAAGGTCCTCTGCCTGGTTCCCTGTAACCTCACTTCTCGCAGTGAGGGAACTGCCAGAGGGCCCTCAGAGCTGGACCTCAGCGTCCAGGCAGAACGATGGGGGTGGAGACGCTCCTTCAGGCATACTGGGCCGAGGCCGTTTAGGGCTTTAAAGGTCAGCACCAACACTTTGAATTGTGCTCAGAAACGTACTGGAAGCCAATGTAGGTCTTTCAGGACTGGTGTTATGTGGTCTCGGCGGCCATTCCATGTCACAAGTCTAGCAGCTGCATTATGGATTAGTTGTTTCTTCAAAGGTAGCCCCACATAGACCACATTCGTGAGACTTATGCCCAGGGCTTTTTTCCCTAGCTGGAACTTGCTGGAACTTGGTTCTGGCATCTCTCAGGTGGGCAACATTGCTATTCTAAGAGAACAAGCATTCATGGTGAGTTCCAGCACCCCTTTTTCTATAAAAAAGCACTGCTTATGCTAAGGACTGTAGCGCAACTCTCTTTAATTTCAACAGGACAGTTAAGCTCATGCAGCTGAAGATTTAAATTTGTCTCATGGCCTGTGCATATTATATAAACGGAACCAGCGTAGAATAATTTTTCTCTTTCATTTCATACAGGAACATGTAAATAAAACCAAAGCAGGGCACGCTTACAAAGAAGAAATGCTACACATATAAAAATATACGGATAAATTCATAAAGCATTACAGTGGCAGTGGCTTTGGTGGCGGCAGAGAGTGGCTAGCAAGAGCGTTGCACATGTCTGCCATGGCAGCAATGGAAGGGGGAAAACAAAACATTCCGGGGTCAAATCAGAAGCCACGATGGCTTCTGTAATTCCCTGAATATCCTGGGAAAATAGGGACACTTGAAAGGTATGCCATTACCCTTCTAAATCCCCTGTAATCAGCAGCCAGCAAAGAACAGGAAGGGCAGGAAAATGCTGAGCACCATGACCTTATGTTTTAAATTATAAAAGCAAAAAGTTATGTGGGGAGGAAATGTTGCATTTAAGGAAATGTAGTTTGGGCCTTCGATCAATCTGGGCCTTAGGTGCAATTTGAACAATAAAAAACAGAACTAATTTTTTTTTTCTGGTCTAGCAAAAAGTGATCAGTAAGTATGTAGCAATAGGCTTCTGTACATAGATCTGAATCGGGTGATATATATAATCACTGACAAGAGCTCCTCATGGCAAAAGCCCTACTTTTAGTGCCTGGTACCTGGTACTGATCTGAAGATCTGTAAGAGCAGATGGCAATAGACCAGGCTTCCTCAAACTCAGCCCTCCGGATGTTTTTGGCCTACAACTCCCATGATCCCCAGCTAGCAGGACCAATGGTGAGGGATGATGGGAATTGTAGTCTCAAAACATCTGGAGGGCTGAGTTTGAGGAAGTCTGCAATAGACTAACTGCACATGGCAAGGAACTAAGGGCACTTGATCACCTTCTTGGAGGCAAGACAGGCCTGGTTCATACTTCATGCTAAACCATGGTTTGTAATCTGAACCTGGCCAACAAAATGAATTATTAACCAAGAACAAGGTGTATTTGTAAGCCATGGTTTGTTGTTGGTTTATAGACCTTGGTTGATGTTAGCCATTCCTTAGTGTTATGTGAAGTGTTTTTAAAAAATCAAAAAGTTAACAACCATGCTGTTGACGAAAAACTCCTCAGCATTTAGAGTGATCTCAGTAATCCTTATAACAGCCATGTATGATAGGCTAGCAGTATCTTCTTACATGTGCAAGGCTGTGACTGACAGGCCCAGCTAAGGACATCTAGTAAGTAATGGATGAGGCGAAAATTTCACTTGGGCCTTCCTGACAGCTTGTACAATTACAGGCCCATCCTATACATGTCTGCTCAGGGAAAAAAATTCCCAATTAGTTGAATGGGATTTAATTCCAGATAGGCGGGTGTAGAATTGCAGCCTTAGTTACTATGCTGAGGCAACGGACTTATGAGCAACACAAATGAAACATTTCCAAATAACTACACTTTTTGCAGAAGGTACATAAGCAATGGTTTGGGATAGGGACCTTTGTATAATAGTGTGACTGCAATTTTGAAATGGCTACTAGTGTACAAAGTTATGCATTCAATTTATTTTAAATGCAATTATTCCATTTATGCCCCACCTTGTTTCTTTCCTCAGACACAAGGCAGCATACATGTGGTTGCCAGGTGTCCAACATTCAGCCACTAGCCAGTCCCAGATTTAAGTTTTTTTGTTGTGCGTTGCTCTCACAAACTCATAACTTATGATGGGGATAATTTACTGTTACTCCTGTTTTACAGTTGAGGCTGAGAGGTAGGGACTTAGGCACTCAAAGCTGACGGTGCTTGAATTCCACTCTACATGATCAAAGGCCAATTCAGTTACTAGTACACACTGGCTCCATTCTCTCCCACCCATGACGTGCAAAAATGGTCATTTATAGCAAATTCTGAGAACGACTGCTGGAGAAAAGAAATTCATGTGTTGTTGTTATTGTCATTGTACTGTGTCTAGTTTGGCTTGATATAAAGTTCCACCTAGTTCTGTCGATCCGTCTGCTACCTCTTTTGCTATGGAAGAGAACAAAGAACAGAACTATTGCACAAGAACAAAATCTATTTTAACTATCAGACAAGTGTAGTTATCAAAGGGGATGAATTATGGCTACCTGAATCATACTGTTATGAGTGTTGGGGGGGGGGCCTGAATGGTGCAAATTTTTACCATCCAATGTCCAGTGTGATGTAGTGGTTAAGAGCAGTAGATTTGTAATCTGGTGAACCGGGTTCGCGTCTCCGCTCCTCCGCATGCAGCTGCTGGGTGACCTTGGGCTAGTCACACTTCTTTGAAGTCTCTCAGCCCCACTCACCTCACAGAGTGTTTGTTGTGGGGGAGGAAGGGAAAGGAGATGGTTAGCCGCTTTGAGACTCCTTCGGGTAGTGATAAAGTGGGATATGAAATCCAAACTCTTCTTCTTCTTCTCTCCCCCCCCCCCCCAATTTGCTCTTTGAATGAAGTGATAAACCGGACGAAAGTCTTTCTGTAACAGTCCTATGTATTACAGTAAAAGATTTCTAAATACCCTGCATTTAGGGCTACATCAAACAAGCAGATTCGCTTCGCCATACAAAAACAAACACAGTAATCTTTGAGTCCAGTCCTGAGAAACTGGGTCATCAGAAAGGGTCTAACACAATGGATTCCTGGGCTGTGGTTTTTTTGGTGCACAAGCTGGATTGTAAAGGTTGCCTGATGTGAAGATTGGGTAATGTGAAGTCCGGCATGGCATTAGTGAATTTATCCCAATTCAAGAGAACTTAAATCACTTATTCTTCGGTTTATATGGTGTTGTGGACTGGACTGCTTGAGCTTCTAGCTCTTTTGTTTGTTGTTTTTAGTAACAGACAGGTAAACAAGCATAAAACTCCAGAAGCTTCCCTAAGTATAGTCACTTACCTCTCCCAGCAACAGCTGAGGAAATTCTCCTGCCATTCTTCAATTAGTGTGATGGGTGCCTGCTTCCTTCACCATCTCCTAACATATTTGAAAGGGAAAAAGAAAAACATGGACAGCATCACTCAGAGGTTGGAGTCAAAGGGGCATAGCAGAGGAGGATACTGATCCATCTAGTTCAGTATTATCTACACTGACGGATAGCAGATCTCCAGGATTTCAGACAGATGTTATCTAGTCTGTGTAGACAAAGCTGAGCTAAATGGATCAATGATCTGACTCAACATAAAGTTGCCCCAGATGTTTCAGGCAGATGTGCAAGTACCCTTTCCCATTCCTGCTCAGAGCCATTCTTCCTTCCTCCCGTATGGTGCTGGAATGATTGTCCTCACTCTGATTTGGCTTCAAATTTCATCACACTGCCCAATCTCATACGTTACATGGCACTGTCATGAAGTCCATTTAGAGGTAGGGCAATGCTGGATGGGAAGTAAAGCTTGCAAGGTCTCCCTGAGAACATCACGAGAAAGGAGAGAGCCCTGTCTGCAGTCTATGAACATGGTGCATTTTCAGCTGAACCCTAATTTCAACATGCAAGAACAAGAGATCAGCCTTCAGATTCGAATTTCTCCGACTGAACATGGAAGAACTGGCAGTGGATATGTTCAGTGCCTTCAATATATTCACTTTTCTAGAGGAAAAGAAATACAAAATGGCTTCCTCAAAGCTCCCCAAAGACCAATTCCATTCCAAGTGGCACTCCAGTACAGTGGTACCTCGGGTTACATATGCTTCAGATTACAGACTCCGCTAACCCAGAAATAGTGCTTCAGGTTAAGAACTTTGCTTCAGGATGAGAACCGAAATCGTGCTCCGGTGGTGCGGCGGCAGCGGGAGGCCCATTAGCTAAAGTGGTGCTTCAGGTTAAGAACAGTTTCAGGTTAAGTATGGACCTCCGGAACGAATTAAGTACTTAACCTGAGGTACCACTGTACTGCATTTTATACTTTGTTAAATCTGCCAGATCTTATTCAAGGCTACATGCCCTCAGTTCATGAGATCTGTGCCTGTACTCTATGTAAGCTACACCGGGGGGGGGGGGAGAACCTTATTTATAGGTTTACAAATACCAAACATGGTACATTTGATCACATCAACTGTAGGTCAGAACTATCACATTCTACAGATTTGTTCTGAAAGTGCACAGAAAGCAATATGTTATGAATATTTAATTAGATTATACCCCATAAGATGCAAAACAGATTTCACATTGCACTATAGACCACTAGGACAAAAAGTCTGTCCCCTGCCTAGCTGTTACTCAGATGTGTAAACACGTTATGTTTGTGCACTTTGAGAGTGCTAGTGTGGTGTAGTGGTTAAGAGCGGTGAACTCGTAATCTGGTGAACCAGGTTCGCTTCCCCGCTCTTCCACATGCAGCTGCTGGGTGACCTTGGGCCAGTCACACTTCTCTGAAGTCTCTCAGCCCCACTCACCTCACAGAGTGTTTGTCGTGGGGGAGGAAGGGAAAGGAGAATGTTAGCCGCTTTGAGACTCCTTAGGGTAGTGATAAAGCGGGATATCAAATCCAAACTCTTCTTCTTGATTGTTTTCTGGCACTGAGGTTTCCTGCTCCCTGCCTCCAAGAACCAGTTTATGCATTTCAGATTCTGTTATGCCAAGCTGGAGATGGGGTTTGGCACAGTCAAATGCTTCCTCATGTAAACACGCAGAAAACTAGCACAATTTCAATCTCTTGGTAATGCTTGATTTCTGTGCTCAGGGTTCTCTCCCTTCCACCTCCAAGTGGTAAAGAATTCAAAGACCCATCCTCCACCCTGGAGACTGAAAAGGTGCAAACCAGAAAAATGTTTTGCCACTTAATTCTGGGTCACCCAGGATGGTTTTGTAGGCCCAGGTCTGTGCTGAAGTGTACCGAACCTCCATACACCTCTCTGCCTCCTCTTACCTCCAGCCACGGAAAGATTCACAAAACTACATGCATCTTTCATGTTGTTGGATATCACTGTGATTTGGTATCTCCCAGAATCTTCCGGTTGCACATTGCAGATGACCAGCCAAGCGTTCGTCATGACTGACACTCTCCTCCGATGTTTCGGCAACACCTCGTAAAAGAGGTGGCAATAACGCTGCCACCACTTCTGCGGGTTGCTGGTTAGGCTGCATGACCTCATGTTAAGTTTCAGAAGGAAGTCTTCTCCCGCTCCTTTGATGTGGTGCCACTGGATTTCAACGAAATCCCAGTCAGTCTTTGGGACTTGGACATCAACAGGGATGAATGCCGTTTCATTGACTGCTGCAGTGATGGGGGTCTTTGGCACTTGGATGCAGATGTCAGAAGGTTCACCTGCGTGTCAAAGAAGGAAAACCAACAAGGTTGAAATTGAACTTTCATAGAATCATTGAGTTGCAAGGGACCACAAGGGTCATCCAGTCCAACCCCCTGCAATGCAGGATTCTTTTGCCCAACACGGGGTTCAAACCCACAACCCTGAGAGTAAGAGTCTCATGATCTACAGACTGAGCTGACCCTTTCTAGGAATGTCAAATATGGAAGATTTTCAACATGTTAATCTGAATTTTCAAAGTTTGATATTAAAAATTTAGTGGGTTTGTTTGTTTTTAAAACAGCATTTTGCCCTATTATGATTAAGGGGAGATTCAGGAAGTTGCCATCATATGCTAATGATGACAGTAGAATTTTCAGAGTAAGTCAGTGACAAATTCAGCTCTTGCTGCAACTTCCATCTTGCTTAACCCCCAGTTGTCCTATGAGTCATTAGTTCCCTGAAGATGTGAAAAGGTTAAGAAGATCACGAGGTTTTGGATCAAACTGAGCTCACTGAAGAACATAAAATTATAAACAAACATCCATGTGACCTTGGGCTAACATTTTTACATGCCGAGGTTGGCTGGATATAGACACATAAAAAAAACAAAACATTTCAGGAAAACACATTGTAAAGCTCATAATGCAAAATCACATTGCTGAAGGATCGAACTGTACAGAGCCATCTGGTATCAGTGTTATAACACATTTATAATGCCCCCACTTTAACTAATGTAGCTGAGTCCCTTGTTCTCCCTGGAGAGACATTCTGCGCATTTAAGTATGTTGTTGCAGCAGTGGAAACCCAATGAACAATGCCAGAAACCCGCAATTTTCCAGGCAAACTATATAGCATTTTTAACATGTTCAACTTCTACAATGTGCTGCACATGGAGCTGATTTCTTTGAAGAAGCTGCAGAAGCTGCCATTGGTCCAAAATACAGCTGTTAGACTATTGAATGGGATCAACTGAATGAAACATTTTGCCCACTCTTAAACATTTTTTTAATGGCTGCTGGTCACAATTCAAAATGTATGTTGAAATTCTTAATGCTTGATTTTAACGTTGTGTGGCTTCCAGGTCTGGGAGTTGGGAAGTTCACCTTTTCTAAATGGGGTTGCATTCCCTGTGAAGCAACAGGTGTATTGTTTGGAGGAGCTCCTAAATTCAGCTTGTCACTGGAGGCTCAGATGATCTCTATGATGATCAGTACTGAATATCAGCTTAGGCTGGCACTATCCCTTTCCTGGACAACAGGTTGTTCATATCCACCCATCTAGCTTCAAACTCCGGGCAGACACAGCCCCTTCTCTTCAGAAGTCTCCATCTCGGTGTGAGTTGCTGGTCTGCAAGCAGGCACTGGGTCTGGGTGGATGCAGCTTCTCCCATCTCCTGAGGTGGCATCTGGTCCAGGGAGAGAGCACAGGACCTGCCTCCTCACCCTGATTAGCCATCCTAAGCCACTGCTCAGAGCCTTCCCTAAATTCTGGCAACTCTCCTCATCAGGAAGGGAAGGAGCTGGAAGTTGTGTCTTCACACTAGAACCAAATGGAGACAGGGGTTCCATCTGTTCTTGCCTCATCTTCCTCCTCTTTCTCCAGAGTCTACTATTCCGGGATTGAACCCAAAGGCACTGTCATGACAGTGAGGCAGGTGCCAAACAGGCTAAGAACCTCTTTGGTGGTGGCGGGCGGCTCCACATCTGTGGAACTATCTTCACAGGGATGCACACTTGGCACCACATCCACTTTCAGCAAAATATCCAGTCATCTTAACCTACTTGTGTGGAATGTAATTCACTGAGAGCAGTCAAGTACAACATTCCTTGTTTTGCTAGAGTGGACATGCAAGGGAATGTTTGGTCCAGCCAGTTGAAACTTCCTGTTTCTCCTGGCCTGGAGCATCCTTCCTTGCATGTGACTAGTGGGTGGGCGTGACCTTTCCAGACCTAGTAAAAGGTTAAGGCATGGTGCCACACTCTCTGTTTTCCATCTTCCTTTCGTCCTGCAAACTTCCCAGACTGCCAACTGCAGTCACTAGGTCAACCCACATATGGGGTAAACCTATTTGTATATTCTTGTAACTTTAAGCCTTAACCCTGCCTTCAGGGATCACACTGTGCTCTGCCTGAGTGAACTTTCTTTTTATTGCTTATGAATAAGACTGTGGTGTCTTTATTCCTTTAGGATGGATTCAAGGGGTCTTTCCAGGAAAATATTAGAACACATTTCAATCTGGACAAGCCAGAGTGAATTGCGCATTGTCTTAAGAAACTCCCACGAGTTTGCATCTAATTTTCTGCTGTGTAAAGGAGAATGCACTCTGCTAAGTAAAGAAACTTGCTAATGCAAGTTAGGAAGGATATTAATAAACAATATATCCTCTCCTGCCACCCTGAACATTCCCACAACATACCCAGTTTTTCGCTTTATTAAGCACTGCTGTTTTAACAACTTGCCTATATGGAGGGCACAAAGATAGGGAAAGCTGCTGTAAGATTTTGCACATCTGAGCTAGTGGCCAATATCGCCGCATCTCAGGGCAATGAATTTCACAGCGTGAAGAAACGTGATTAATGATTATGTTTTTGAATCAAAAGACTCCTGCATCTGATTCACACCCACCCACCACAGAACTACCGTACTTACGCAAACATGAGGCAAAAGCGTCTTTGCATGAATCGTATCTTGGGAGTTTGGAGAGACGTTCCAACGCACTGCTGTTTGGGTAGTCACACTGTTGTGCTGAGTAGATCACTGGATGTGGCAAGGTCACCTGGCTTCTTTGAGCAGAGCCTTGGGAAGCTTGGAAGACATGGAAGACATTAGAGAACTGATAGCAATTAAGGACAACAGGACAAAAAAACCAATCAACCAACCACAAGAAATAGGCATGTTGTCTTTGTACAAAGTACAGTCCCAATCTTGCCCTACTTAGCTTTTTTATTTGTATTTTTTGCTTCCTACTTCCTGTTAGACTTTCAGTTCAGCAAAATGAAGTTTACCAATAGCTCTTGTGAGTTGCTTATATCTCTGTACATATCACATCTGGGTAAATGGAAAAAGCCTCATTTCCTTAGCAACAAAATATTGCTGTTTTAGAGATCTGCTCACTTTCTGCGGTGGGCGGTGTTGCAGCCCCACATCCAGGACCTTTAGTGACCCTGCGGAGGGATGCCACCCATGTCATTCTGACTCACCCCACTGCCACGCTCCCGGCTGTCTAAATGGCACTAGCCATTTGGTTTTCACCTACCTTGTAGCAATCGTCACAACTTTTTAAGGTTAGGCATTGGGTAAGCCTTTGTTTCAGGGAGGGGAGGTTGTAGCCTCTGCATGTCCAAAGCCTGGGCATGGGCTAGGGCCATGGCACGACCCCAACGGGGACCCCATGGGGTGCCCAATTTGATGTATGTCTTAGGGCTCCCACTACTGGTGGTTCACCCTTAGTGTGACTCCCTGCAGATGGGCAAGAGTCAATATATAGCCAGGTGTCACCCAAGCCTAAGCCAAACCGCTCACATCTGTAACCAATAAAGCTGTGGCCTAATTTATCCCATTAACCTAAAATAATTGTGTCCGTGTGTTTATTATCTGAGGGAACTACAGGCCCAGGGCCTTGGCGCGCAATTATTTCTTTATTAAGGATTTTAATCTGTCTTGCTTTTCAATCAATATTGGCTACCAAAGCGGCCTACACTAAAACATCCACATTATAACAAAAAACCAACAACAAAACATTGTATAAGGAGTAAGTGGAAAGTTCATGACATCCTTTCTGGTCGCAGGCAGCTGATAACATTGGCCAGGTTCTTCCCTCCAGAGCATCCTTCCCCAATCTGTTGCTATCCATATGCTTCTGGACCACAACGCCCATCATTTCAGACCTTTGGCCTGCTGGAATTTGGGCTGGTGAAATTTGGAAATCAACAGCACCAGGATGCAGAAGCCTGCTCCAAAGGGAGGGGACAAAAGGAACAGCAGGTGGACTGCGGGGTTAGCAGATGGAATAGAAGCACCCACCCACCCACCCAAATATGAATAATACTCTGCTTCCTGGCATCTGAAACCATCTAGGCCAGGGGGCAGCAACCTTTTTCAGCTGTGGGGTGGTCCACTGTCCCTCAGACCATGTGGTGGGCTGGACTATATTTTTTTGGGGGGAATGAATGAATTCCTATGCCCCACAAATAACGCAGAGATGGATTTTAAATAAAAGGACACATTCTACTCTTGTAAAAATACACTGATTCCTGGACTGTCCATGGGCCAGATTGAGAAGGTGATTGGGTCACATCCGGCCCCCGGGCCTTAGGTTGCCTACCCCTGATCTAGGCTTTTCCCTACAGAAAGAAAGGGCAGAAAGCACTCCAGACAGAAACTGTTCTGCAAGGGAGACTGGACAAAGGCAATATCCCTGCAAGATAGCAAATGCTTGATTCCTGTCCAGCAAATGAATAGGAACTCTGCCTTATTTATTGCATGAAAGCAACAGTATCAATGGCATGAGGAAGTCCTCTTACAAACCAGGATGATCAGAACAGGGATTACTTACCTGGAAGAGTGAGAATGATCAAAGCCAGTGTCAAAGCAACAATTCCTGCCAGCGAAATGCCAAGACCAATTTTCCACCAGAGAAGATTGGAGGATGGATCTGTGGAATTAAAAGTTCATGGTGAAGACCACTGGCTGCTCCCCCACACACACCGTTGAGTGTGCACTGCAGCTGTTACTGAGTCTAGTACTAAGTGGCAACCAAGACCACAGAGGGATCCAATGACTTCATCGCTTTGTGGAAGACCACATACCCTAAACCAGCAATGGAGATCCACACATGGAAGCGGAATTCCATGTGTTCAGCTGACATCAATGAGGATTTTTAAAATTTTAATGTAGGGATAGGTATCTAAGTGTATCTCGAGCAGCTGCAGGTGTGCAAGTATTTGCTCTTGAGCAACAGTTGAAACTGGACTGGCTTCCTTTTTGTGTCTCAGAGGCTCAAACGTTATTGAGCTTTCTAAAATCACATGTACCGGAGATGGTAAACTCTGAGCCTTTCAACCACAGGATGCCATTGGGGCTCATACTATGGCTTTCTGACCTCTCCAATCCTATCGTGAGTGGTTCCCTAGACCAGATGGCTGGGAAGTCACCTGCTTTTGACTGGGGTTACACTTTCTCTGAAGGAGCAAGGTTCGTAGCCTGGGGGTACTCCTGGATCCTCTGCTGTTGCTCGAGGCTCAGGTGGCCTCAGTGGCCTGGAGAGTCTTCCTTCAGCTTCGGATGGTGGCCCAGCTATGCCCCTATCTGGACAGGGATAGCCTAACTACTGTTGTCTATGTTCTGGTAACCTCAAGGTTAGATTACTGCAATGTGTTATACATAGGGCTGCCTCTGAAGACAGTTCAGAAACTTCAGGCAATGCAGAATTCAGCGGCCAGTTTGCTCACCAGAGCAAGACGATTCAAGCATATTACACCGATGCTGGCCTGACTGCACTGGCTACCAATTAGTTTCCGGGCTCAATTCAAAGTGCTGGTTTTGACCTATAAAAACTTAAATGGCTCAAGACCACCTCTTTCCATATGAACCTACACGGACCCTGAGATCATCTTCTGAGGCCCTCCTTCTCGAGAGGTCCAGAGGGTGGCAACATGAGAACGGGCCTTCTTTGTGGTGGCTCCCCATCTGTAGAATGCTCCCCCCAGGGAAGTTTACCCGGCGCCTTCATTACACATCCTTAGGCACCAGGCAAAAATGTTCCTTTTAACCAGGCCTTTGGTTGATCTTATTGACATCCAACACCCTTTTAGAATGTGTTTTTTGTGTGTGTGTGTGGGGGGGGTTATTGGGTTATTGCTTTTGGTTTGATTTTATATGTTGTGGTCTTGTTGTGAACTGCCCTTAAACCTCTGGGTATAGGGCGGTGTCTAAGTTGAATAAATAAATAAATAAAACAAATAAATATATTGAACCCAGATTCTTAAAAAACCATATCACAAATTATCAAGACCCAGGTCTATCCTATTAACAATTTAAAAGAACCCTCCAGTACAATCAGATTTTCAATATCATAACTGAAAAATCTTTTTTTAAAAAAAAATAATGAACTGAATCCTGAAATCTTGTAAAATCTTGAAATTTCCTCAGCTTTTCATTTCAGCTCTGTTGCTAACGCTCATGAAATCAAGGTTATATTTACGGAGTCTTTTGTGTTTTGAATTGGGTCTGGTTTCCTGTGTGCCTGTTAATTTGTATTTGCTTCCTGAGCTGTCATTACCATAGTAATATACTTTCATGTGGTAATAATCACTGTGGTAATCCAGGTGATCAGGCACGATTCAGTGAGAACATCATCTGGAAATTCTACATGCTCCAGGCAGTTAGTATCCAAAACGTTTATTCAGGTTAATTAACGGTGGTTTGGAGTGAAAGGGAAAATTCCCGTCTGTGTAAGGCATGGAACAAGCAGAAGTGTGGGCAAGCTGGTTTGTTCCATACCATGGAACCTAGCCATGAATCGTTTCAGCCAGGTTGGGGTTGCAATTTCCGGGTAGAGGAAAGGAAGCTGTCCTCAGAAAATGTCACAAGCACATCTAGTGCAAAGAGGTCTATTATTTTAATTGCACACATTCCCCGTCATACACCACACACTAAAAAGAAAGGAAGGAAGGAAGGAAGGAGTTCAAATCATGCTTTTATGTGTTACTTTTATTGTTGTTAGGCGCTCTGAGCCCGGCTTTGGCTGGGGAGGGCGGGATATAAATAAAATTATTATTATTATTATTATTATTATTATTATTATTTGCTCCGTGCTCACTTCCTGTATCAATAGGGCCAGAGGAGCCAGTTGTTCATATCTATCACAGCAATGATTCATTTATGTATTTGCCTTAGTGCAGTAACTAGCTGGAACAAAAAAGTGGTACTTTAAGGGTATTTGGTGTTTAAGGATGCAATGAAACATGCCCTGCCCAGAAATGAAGGTGAGGTAGAGGAGGTTCTGGCAAAAAAAGAAGTTTTTAATATGGTTTGGACAGTTGAAGTACAGAAACTGAGCACATTCTATCATTATAAAATCTGTGTACATGCTGTCCCTGACATTGCCTGTCTCTTAAGTGCTTAATAGACACAGATATCTATTGCGTCTAATCCCCTGCTCACATTTTCAAATTGCACATTATCAGCTTTCCGGCTGCATAACTTATGTCTGCAACTCCATATTCTGTGGACAACTGCACACTAAAACACACCTGATTTTAATGATTCTGTTGAAGAAGAAGAAGAAAAAGCCACACGCACAAAGTTCACTGCAAACTCCTTCCAAATCAAACCTACAGGCTTCCTGTTAAGAAACTTCCTTTTTAGTCGCAGCGGCTGCTCTCCTTAAAGAAAAAGGGTGGACATTTCAAAGTCAAGTACCTTTGGTTTTCTTGAGAGGTGGTCTTGGGTACGCATCCCGGGTGGCTGGGTCTATAGCCATGTACCCATCTTCATCCTCCATCTTCAGTGTTAGTCGCCAGACGGACAAGACTTCAGAAAAGGGACTCGCAGGTCCTTGAAATTCTTTCTGGCAGCTGGATGCAATTGTATGTAAACAGGTTTACAAAACCAACTTCCCAGTTGGTGAAAGTCAGTTTCATTTAGCTGGAATCCATTAGTTAAGTATTGGGCAATGTCTGCAGCTGGCCACCAACTGCTAGTTAGCGGATAGAAGGCGTCCTTTGTGACAAGTTTATGGCAGTCGTGATCCTTTCATCCTCGTCACCTTCCTGCCTGCTGTAGCAAGCCAAACTCCAGGTGCGCAGCACAGCAGCTGGAGGAGAGATCAGACAACTGGGCTGGAAAGGAACGGGAAGGAGAAGCTGTGTGGCTGCAGCTCTTGCATAATCAGTAGTTTTAAAGTCACAGAACAAATTTCCAGTCACTGCTTGAATGGGTCTCTCTGTGTGTGCATGCACACACACTCTTGTTGTTTAGTCGTTTAGTCATGTCCGACTCTTCGTGACCCCATGGACCAGAGCACGCTAGGCACTTCTGTCTTCCACTGCCTCCCGCAGTTTGGTCAAACTCATGCTGGTAGCTTTGAGAACACTGTCCAACCATCTCGTCCTCTGTCGTCCCCTTCTCCCTGTGCCCTCCATCTTTCCCAACACCAGGGACTTTTCCAGGGAGTCTTCTCTTCTCATGAGGTGGCCAAAGTATTGGAGCCTCAGCTTCACGGTCTGTCCTTCCAGTGAGCACTCAGGGCTGATTTCCTTAAGAATGGAGAGGTTTGATCTTCTTGCAGTCCATGGGAGTCTCAAGAGTCTCCTCCAGCACCATAATTCAAAAGCATCAATTCTTCAGGATCAGACTTCTTTATGGTCCAGCTCTCACTTCCATACATCCCCTTCATGGATCACTGCCTTGCCGTGGCGAAGGGGCTTGAATAACTCAGAGAAGCTATGAACCATGCTGAGCAGGGCATGCACACACACACACACACAAATGGACCCCGATTTCTTGCCTTTTGTGATGCCCCCAAGCATTTGGCATTCGGAGCTGCACCCCCTCAAGTGTTGGGAATTCCATTCCTCCCGTGCTGCAGATGTGTGGCATTGTTACATTTCACATGTCTGTTTACATTCCAGCCCTGATTATTGGAGTCTTGTGAGCGGAAAGGGAGATACGCTGTTTCCGCTCTGTATAGCTATTGCTTTTGCAGTTCTCTCTCTGAGGACGAAAGACAGAGAGAGAAGCCATGATTTCTTTCTTCTGTTACGTTTGATTTAATTTGCAATAAATTGGGACGCGGGTGGCACTGTGGTCTAAACCACTGAGCCTCTTGGGCTTGCCGATCAGAAGGTCAGCGGTTCGAATCCCCGCGACAGGGTGAGCTCCCGTTGCTCGGTCCTGCTCCTGCCAACCTAGCAGTTTGAAAGCACGCCAAAAAAAGTGCAAGTAGATAAATAGGTACCACACAGGTGGGAAGGTAAACGGCGTTTCCATGCGCTGCTCTGGTTTGTCAGAAGCGGCTTAGTCATGCTGGCCACATGACTCGGGAAAACTGTCTGCGGATAAACGCCGGGTCCCTCGGCCTGTAAAGCGAGATGAGCACCACAACCCCAGAGTCGTCTGCGACTGGACTTAACTGTCAGGGGTCCTTTACCTTTTTTTAGTTACTACTCAAGGCTGAGCTTCTGTTTGGACTCTGCTAGTTGTGTGGTCATGTCCTGGGATATGGGTCACATCAGTGTGACGGGAGACCAGAGTGATGAATCCCGGGTGACGCTGTGTTTGGGGGGTGGGCACCGGCCTCAGCGTTATCACCCAACATCAAGCACAGCTAATCGATGCTGATAAACCATCCCTGCATAATTTTGTCTAAGCCCCTTTTGAAGCCACCCAAACCGATGGCCGACCTCTACACCTTGCGGGAGTCGATTCCATATACAGTGGTACCTCGGGTTAAGTACTTAATTCGTTCCGGAGGTCCGTTCTTAACCTGAAACTGTTCTTATCCTGAAGCACCACTTTAGCTAATGGGGCTTCCTGCTGCTGCCACACCGCCGGAGCACAATTTCTGTTCTCAGCCTGAAGCAAAGTTCTTAAGTTTAGGACCCTCGTACCTACAGGACCGCCTCTCCCTGTATGCCCCATGGAGGACCTTAAGGTCCATAAATAGCAACACCCTAGTGGTCCCTGGCCCTAAGGAAGTTAGATTAGCTTCAACCAGAGCCAGGGCCTTTTCAACTCTGTCTCCAGCCTGGTGGAACACTCTGCCTCATGAGACCAGGGCCCTGCGGGATCTGATTTCTTTCCGCAGGGCCTGTAAGACAGGGCTGTTCCACCTGGCCTTTGGCTTGGAGCCAATTTGATTCCCTCTCCCTCTTTCTTTTTTCTTTTTCCTTTCTCCTCCTGTGATGAGGCTGCACTTTAATATTTTAATGTTTCAATATTTTAATTGTATTTTAATCTTGTTTTCAAGTTGTATTCATTCAACTTGTTTTTATTATTGCTTGTTAGCCGCCCTGAGCCCGGCCTTGGCTGCGGAGGGCGGGGTATAAATAAAAATTATTATTATGATTATTATTAACCTGAGGTACTATTTCTGGGTTAGCGGAGTCTGTAACCTGAAGCGTATGTAACCTGAAGCGTATGTAACCCGAGGTACCACTGTACAACGCATGAAAAGCATTTCCTTTCGGGGAATCCAGCCTTTGAGAACCTGAACGAGCAGCGAACGCTCAATGCGCTTCTGTATATCTCAGCTGGCCTCTTCTGAACCAGCCAAGCAGGTAACAAGGGTGGGGCTTTCCTGGCAGCAGGCGCTGAGCAAGTGCAAAGAGGTAAGTGCCCCAAATGCCTTGGGGAAGGGCTGTGGCTCACTGATAGGGCACCCGCTTTGCACGCAGAAGGTCCCAGGTTTCATTCCTAGCATCTCTAGGTCGGGTTGGAGAGTCAGCACTGAGCTAAATGAGCCATTGGTCTGGCTCTGTGTTAATCAACTTACTATGTCCCTATATGATTAATGGAAAATCAAGGTTGAGAATTCGGGCCTGGCAAATATCTCACAGGCTGCTTGTTTGGTTTCGCCTTTCTATTCAAATGACAGGAGAAGCCTTTAGCTTGCTTCAGTGTGTGGGTGCACTCCAGGTATCTATTAAAGATGCAGGCCACAAAGAGAAATGGAAAACCTAATAATAATAATAATAATAATAATAATAATAATAATAATTTATTATTTATACCCAGCCCATCTGGCTGGGTTTCCCCAGCCACTCTGGGTGGCTTCCAACAAAACACTAAAATACAATAACCTATTAAACATTAAAAGCTTCCCTAAACAGGGCTGCCTGCAGATGTCTTCTAAAAGTTTGGTAGTTATTTTCGTCTTTGACGTCTGGTGGGAGGGCGTTCCACAGGGTGGGCGCTACTACCAAGAAGGCCCTCTGCCTGGTTCCCTGTAACTTGGCTTCTCGCAGCGAGGGAACTGCCAGAAGGCCCTCGGTGCTGGACCTCAGTGTCCAGGCAGAACGATGAGGGTGGAAACGCTCTTATTGGTTCCCTGCTCCAACCTGTTATGTTGGCATACTTTAAAACTGACCTTTTTGCCTCTTTGTGGAAGCTCTCTAGCTCTGGTAGCTTGCAAGGGTGCCAACTTGCCCTCAGGATTGTGGGTGCCCGGCCCCCCAACATACAGGCATGGGTGTGTGACGTTGCATGTTTGTGTTGCAGCGGCTGCTGCCAGCTCCTCTTCCTCCTCCTCACTGCAGCCAGCGAGGCACCCTTTTCCATGGGGTGCCTTGCTCAGTGATTGTGGAGGGCAAAGCTGAACTGCTTCTCTCCCCGAGGCAACGCTGCTGCTGCTTGCTGGCTTTTCTTATTGACTTTGTGGGTGCCCAGTCCCCACAATTATATTATTGTGGGTGCCCAAGCACTCACAGCCCCCTGGAGTTGGCTCCTATGGTAGCTTGCGGTGGTGAAGATTACACAATTCACATGGCAGGTGCCTAAGTCTGCACACACACACAGGCCAAGGTGAAGGTACAAAACAGACCAAACAGAAGTGTGGGGTGAAAGAGGCCACACCTTTATTGTCTAGAATGATGTAAGTGGGGTTGGCATGGCAATGGAGCTATAATAATAATAATAATAATAATAATAATAATAATAATAATAATTTGTATACTGCACAATACTCGCAGATCTCAGGGTGGCTCACAGCATAAAATCACAGTAAAAATGCATAATAAAAACTTCAAAAGAGCAACCCAAGAGTGGTTATTATTATTATTATAAATTCTAAATTATTATTATTAATTAAATTTGTATACCGACCTTCATTCATAGATTTCAGGGCTGTTCATGCTGCCTGAGTTGTTGTTGCCATGGATATTTGCTTACATATATTTGATAACCATCACTGTTGTTATCCAAGTGATCCTGTATGATTCATCCATTCAGAAATCCCTATTTGGAAATTCTACCTGCTTCAGTCAGTTAGCGTCCAAAACATTTACTCAGGACAATTAACAACAGGGTGGAGAGTAAAGGAAAATCCCATCTGTGCAACTCCACAAGATTTCCTGAATTAAATGAAATTGGATTTTTCTAGCAGGGTGTAGACAGAGAAAAGAAATCAGTGAGTTTTTATTTAGGTCACTGAAGTATTACAAGATAAATGAACGCAGTGTGGATGCATAGTCATCTGCAATAGTTCCATATAGGATTCCATGCCATTTGAACACTGTTCATATTATTTGGAAGCAGGGCTTTTTTCCCAGGGGGAATGCACAGGAACTCAGTTCCGGCACCTCTCAGGTGGGCACCATTGCCATTCTAAGAGAATGAGGGAGATGTTCATGGTGAGTTCTGGTGCTTCTTAACTGTGGAAGCCTACAGGGAAGCAACTAATGGGCATCCAAAGATGGAGCCAACTTCATATATATATATATTTCAAATTTACATTTTGGAATATTTGTTTAAACAACCTTAAATCAATGACTTCCCTTCTTCTCTTTCCATGGTTCGGTTTGCATACCATACATCCTTGCATATTCTACATCAGCTAAACCATTCAGTATTCCATTGTTACATCCATCAAAACTTATTTATGCTGTTGAATTTATCTTAAAGTAATTTCGTTGTCCCTGAAGGGGGCAATGACAATAAAGATATTATTATTATTATTATTATTATTATTAATGCTGCCAGCGTTTTTAAGTGTACACAATTTTCACCCATATATTTCATAGGCATATGTTCTTCTCATTCTCTTCCGTAGCTCTCAACTTTTCCCTTTTCTATTCGGAATAAGGGAATTCCCCTTAAAAAAAGGGAAACATTGACAGCTATGTTCTCTTCTTCTATATGTTAAATCTGCTAGCTGCGCGTATTCCATCAGTTTAAGTTGCCATTCTTCTTTGGTTGGATCCTCGCTCATTTTCCATTTTGGCGCTACCAAAACACCGCAGTGGTGGCATACATAAATAAACTTTTTTTGACACCTGGGAATTTCTGACTGAATTATCCCCAACAGAAAGGACTCTGGGGGTTTTTTGGGTGGAGCAGGCCAGGAGCACTGTCCCACCTCCCAGTAATTTCATGCACCATTTGGGCAGACGAGATTTATGTTTATTTATGTTGCAACATTTACCACCCACCTCTTTGGAGAGCCAGTGTGGTGTAGTGGTTAAGAGCGGTAGACTCATAATCTGGTGAACCGGGTTCGCATCTCCGCTCCTCCACATGCAGCTGCTGGGTGACCTTGGGCTAGTCACACTTCTTTGAAGTCTCTTAGCCCCACTCACCTCACAGAGTGTTTGTTGTGGGGGAGGAAGGGAAAGGAGAATGTGAGCCGCTTTGAGACTCCTTCGGGTAGTGATAAAGTGGGATATGAAATCCAAACTCATCTTTGCCCGACAACAGCCCCGCCTTCAAATATGGTCATTATTAAATGCAAACTTATACACACTAATAAGATACTTTTCGAAGATGACTTATGAAGGCTGTTGGGGTGAAGGGATGCACCAGTGTTGGGAAAATGTCCTTTTCCTAGGACCTCAGAGCAGACCCAGGAAGTAGGCGATGCCACACTGAAGAACAGATTCCTTTACAAGGGCAGAGGAAACACTGTGTGGCACTTAGAGGCTTGCACACATAGCAGGAGCATCACCCTGGTTATTCATCACACAGAGAAGAAGAAAAATGGTGTTGCAACTTGTTTATTTATTTCATAAAATGTATACACCACTTGACTGTAAGGGGAAACTTCAGTGCAGTTTACAAAGAGTTGTTCAGAGGTGCTTCTGGGGCTCAGATTTTTCTGAACAGATTGTTTCTGAATATAAGGAACTTGCAAGTTTTCCAAGCTCCTGGAAAAGGAAGATTGTAGTCGGAAACATATGCAGAGTCTATGTAACAGCCTTGTCTCAGTAAGCGCTGGAACCTGCCCTCCTAATTCTTTATGTTCTCCATGGCACTTTCCCCTCTGCCTGCACAGCACTAGGAAAGCTGCCGGGTCCACAGAGTGACCATTTGTGGACGGAAGTTTGTGCTTTCTAGATTCTCTGTGCTATTTTTAAAAAACTGTTTTCTTTTTTTCTTTTTAAAGTCCTTTCTCTCACTTTCAGCCATTTCCTTTGGGATTCAAGGCTGCTTCTTTCCTCATAGCGGGGACCTTGGGACGTGTTTGTGGTTTGCAAAGAGATCTTATGACAGCGCTGGGGATTCTAGGAACCTCTGGCTTCTATTTCTTTCCTTGGAAGTCAACCCAGTTGGAGCTTTTCAAGTCAACGTTGAGAGCAGACATGGCTGGGAGGAACTGGCTTTTCATCGAGTCATTCTGCATTTCGTCAAGCGGCTATGGGGAATTCCCCATCTTCTGACCTCATCCCATCCCCCAGGAAATGATAACAAGTCAACTGCCTTACTGGGTAATTAGGAATCTAAATTAGATGAGGATTACAAGGAATTTTGCGTACTACAATGTATAAACAACAAAGGGGGAGTCCAGTTTGTACTCTTGTGCAGAAATAGGGAGCCCATGCCCCTCGGCTGTAGCTGAACTTATAATAAGAATAATAATATAGGCAGCCCTCTATCAGGAGGATTAAACACTTGATGTTCTTATTATGTTTTTAGATAAGCCGTAAGTCGCCCAGAATGGCTGGGGAAACCCAGCCAGATGGGCGAGGTATAAATACAACAACAACTATTATTATTATTACCCCACCCATCTGACTGGGTTGCCCCAGCCACTCTGGGCAGCTTCAACTCCCTGACCATTGGCCAAGTGCCGCCTCAGGGCTGATAAAGGGGGGGCACTTATGCCTTATCAAAAATGAGGAAATGTGTCACCAGACAAAGAGGATACTGATTTGCATAAAATTGCATATAGGTGCAAGTTTAGAAATTTAAATTGAGAAAGGTAGGTAAAAAGGTAAAGGACCCCTGGACTAAGGTTAACAGATTTTTTCCAATGAATCCGGGGCCACTTTTCAACTTCAACGGATTTTCTATGGGGACTGATTTGTAAATCTGGGGACTGTCCCCGTGAAACGGGGATGTCTGGTAACCTTACCCTGGACGGTTAAGTCCAGTCAAAGGCAACTATGGGGTTGTGGTGCTCATCTCACTTTCAGGCCGAGGGAGCCGGCGTTTGTCCACAGACAGCTTTCTGGGTTATGTGGCCAGCAGGACTAAACCGCTTCTGGCACAACAGGACACCATGACGGAAGCCAGAGCACATGGAAACACCGTTTACCTTCCCGCCACAGTGGTACCTATTTATCTACTTGCACTGTTGTGCTTTTGAACTGCTAGGTTGGCAGAAGCTGGGACAGAGCAACGGGAGCTCACCCCATTGTGGGGATTTGAACCGCCAGCCTTCTGATCAGTAAGCCCAAGAGGCTCAGTGGCTTAGAACACAGTGCTACCTGCTCCCATATTAAATTGAGAAGCATTACACCTTGCCCTAGTGGGGAAGACTGGGAGCAGGTGATCCATGTCCCTGCTCAATCTGCTGTGCAGGCGAGGACTCTGTTGATAGGCTACTTCCTTCTTAGGGCTCTTTCTCCTTGGAACAGTCAGCCCTTCAAACAGGGGACATCTTCAGATAGAAGCCTGTCCTCCAAAGGCTGATAGGACTTGGAGCCCAACACTTTATGAGGGGCTACAGGCACCCCACCCCTGATCTAGCATCATTTGCTAGTCATGTATGGAAGCCCACTAGAGCCTTCATACACTTCCTGCTCCCTGTTTGGAGAAGCACTTAGCAGGTCACTAAGTATACCTGGCAGGTTGCGAACACTGTGGAGGCCTGGTGTTGGCACTGGACATGAGTAAGCCTAGCATCTGGGGCCTAGATGGCTTTCAAAGTCATCAAGTAGCTCAAACATTTTGCAGCTTGGCCAGTATTCTGTGCAACTGTATGTTGGGATAAAAACCAGGCATTTATTCAGAATGTCAAACAGAACTTCAAATAGTACATTTTCTGTGTGGGTCTAGTAGACAGAGGAGGGCAACCAAAATGGTCAAAGGCCTGGAAACGATGCCTTATGAGGAACGGCTAAGGGAGCTGGGCATGTTTAGCCTGGAGAAGAGGAGGTTAAGGGGTGATATGATAGCCATGTTCAAATATATAAAAGGATGTCATATAGAGGAGGGAGAAAGGTTGTTTTCTGTTGCTCCAGAGAAGCGGACACGGAGCAATGGATCCAAACTACAAGAAAGAAGATTCCACCTAAACATTAGGAAGAACTTCCTGACAGTAAGAGCTGTTCGACAGGAGTGTGGTGGAGTCTGCTTCTTTGGAGGTCTTTAAGCATAGGCTTGACAACCATATGTCAGGAGTGCTCTGATGGTGTTTCCTGCTTGGCAGGGGGTTGGACTCGATGGCCCTTGTAGTCTCTTCCAACTCTATGATTCTAAGATAAGTAAAGTAGCCGTGCCATGAGTGATACCTCCTTAGTATTTATGAGTCTGTGGTTGAGTGGCTGGGCCATAAAGTATATTCTTGTATGCCTTCCAGAGCTATATAGTCTGGTTTCAGACCCTAGAAGAACAGCATTGGGTGCTCCTTTCTCTCATGGATGGACTGTGAGCTCCCCATTCCACCCATAAATCAAGAACCAGGCATGGACCTTTTCCCCAGAGAATTTTGCTTTTGGAAAGGTAAAGAGATGGGCATCAGTATCACCGTCAAAAAATCCCACCAGGCCCTCCGAGTAGTCCAGGGCAACCCGGATCCTACTTGGGTGATGGCACAAGGACAAATTCGTCCTAGGATTGTCAGTAATTGACTGGTACTGCCCATCAATACGCTGTACCGCCCAGTACCCTCCCTCTGGTGCAAGGAAAATTGCCCCATTTCTGTTTGCATCCTCCCTCACAATTCCCACACCCCACCAACTGCCCCCTTCCACCACTTCCACTTCCCAGCAAAATTTCCCCGAGTTGATGCCCTGGTGGCTTAGGACGCTCGCCATCACGTCATATCTCAAGGGACCGGCAGACACATTTTGCTTCATGCCTCTCCATTTCACACTCTTCAGATCTTCTGATACGTAGAGCTGGGGATGAGCTGTGCTTGGATCCAGAGTCAGATTTGCTGTGAAGAAAAGAGCAGAGAGAGGGAAAGGAGTCATAACCCATTGAACATTGGCTTGCTTTTATCAGCCATTTAAGAAATAATAAATATTATTAGCAGCCCTCTGGTTAGAGGTCAACATGAATTTACATTTATCACTCTTAAGCTGGTGGTGTTGGGAACCCACTTTATTAACAGTCCTGGAAGCAGGTAATAACCAGGTAATAATTAATTCAGATTTTTATGAAAGTGATACTAGGTTCTCTAATATAAAATAAAAGTGGGACATGCAACCATCTGTTTCAGTGTGCAGATGTTCTGTTCTGGGTTGCAATCAGCCAGTCAGTATTCTGTGTCCACTGAGCAAGCAGGGCCGGATTTACGTATAAGCTAAACAAGCTATAGCTTCGGGCCCCACTCTCTTGGGGGCCCCAAAGAAATTTAAAGGAAAAAACAACTGGATGTACATTTCCAAAATATAAGATAAAAAAATAAAACCTACATACAGCAACTGTGTTTCGTGTTGTGTAGGCCCCATATTGGGTCCATAAATTACCATATAGCATATATTCAACACAACAAACAGTGACAATTTGTTGTTGACAAAGGACAGCTGGACATATAAAGGGCCCCATCACCTTCAGTAGCTTAGCGCCTCATCAAACCTAAATCCGGCCCTGCTCAGGTCTCATTATTTTATTTTTTGTTGCCCTGCTTGGAGTTCCCCCAAGCCTGCTGATACTTCCATTTTGTGCATGGATGGTTTTGTGACATTATGGTATACATTTGGAGTATGTTATTAGCCTAAAGGATGGTTAATGGCTGTAGTTTATAACTACAGCCATACAGCCAACAGTCATACAGAGAACATATAGTGGGGCGGGGTGGGTGGGGCTTCAATAGTAAAACATTAGGCTTCAAATAACTTGATTGGTTCTCTCCCCACCCCCTAAGCTTTGAACTCCAGGAGGTCTGACTACTACTACCAATGTTAAGACTAGGGGCTTGTCCACACTGGAATGCTCCTGAATGGAGGAGGGTAGCCTTTTCAGGAAGTCTATTTCAGGTTCACTTAGTTTCTCATTTTCCTAATCATGTTCTGCAAAATCAGTCTGCAAAATTTCTTAAAAAACGAAACAAGACAAGTCATCGTGAAAATTCAAAAGTGAATTTCTCCTAATATACATATAGTTTTGTGTGCAATTTTGCCTATTCAACACAACTTTGCAAAGCAATTCTCCCTAATATAACACATTTTTCTGTTTGTTTGTTTGTTTGTTTGCTAATGTATGCATTTTTATACACATAACTTTGCAGGAAAACTGCATTGCAAACTTCAGAGAAATGTAAATTTTGATGGATGGCTGTATTTTGGTTTGCATATTGCTTTGGAAAGTTTGCCTTTGAATCCAAACAGAATTCAATTTCTCCTTCATCTCCGAGTGGTGACCAAAACTTTGAACCTGCTTTTTAAAATAATTTTTATTCTGTCATCATGGGCAGCTGCCTCCTCTGCCCTAAATGATATGAATCTCTTCATGCCTTCCCCACTTCATCCCATTTTGAATTTTGCCCAGTATGCTCTCTCTAACCCAGGGGAATCCAAAACAGGTAAAAAGAAGAAAACTCCTACCTTACATATCTAGGGGATACTAGCCTAATTTCTAATGTTAAGTGGCAATTCAGGGCTGATTCACATTGCCATTTGCCCTGCTGCTTTCTCCCAGGAAAACCTGGGAGCACAAAATCAGAACTAATGGCAACCGGGTTTTCTGCAGGTTGCCGTTTGTTCTGATTTACAGTGGTACCTCGGGTTAAGTACTTAATTCATTCCAGAGGTCCGTACTTAACCTGAAACTGTTCTTAACCTGAAGCACCACTTTAGCTAATGGGGCCTCCTGTTGCTGCTGCTGCGTCGCCGCTGCATGATTTCTGTTCTCATCCTGAAGCGAAGTTCTTAACCTGAGGCACTATTTCTGGGTTAGCGGAGTCTGTAACCTGAAGTGTATGTAACCCGAGGTACCACTGTAGCACTAAAGAGTAGGGGGAGGCAGCAGGGCAGAGGCAGAACTGCTTGGACCCATGGGACACACAGAAAACCACTTGTTTTCTAGGCAAAGGGCAAGTTGAAGTGTGAGTGAGCCCTCAGTCACCAGAGGAAAATGCCTGTAAGAAAAAGCAGAGGGACAAGCCTTGCTTTACTATCAACTTTCAGACTCAGGCTTCCATTCCCTGCAGACTTCTCTGGTAAGCAATGCTGAACACAGTGGGACTTTTTGAGTAACCATGCATGAAGTTTTGAGTAACTATGCATGAAGTTGCATTGTCAGTGACTTTCAGTAAGTCATGAGGCTGCTTTGGGTTCAGTTTTACTTCCACATTTTGTAGATCTTTTAAACCAACAACAAAGAGAAGCAAATATGTAGTTCAGGGCTGGGGGTTACCTGTTGTGCGCGTCTTATCTGAGCTGCAAGGGACACATCTTTTCAGGCAACTCCGGATTTGGTTGTGTGGAGGTTTGCTGGCAAAAATGTCCTGGGAAACTTAGAAAACAGTTCAACTTTAGAGAATTCCCATCTGTTTACAACGTTCGTAATTTGCTGTCATTGAGAGAGTTTTGTCGAAAACTCATTATTGGCGGAATCTGTATTTATTGTTTTTTCTTCTTCTTAATCCTTTATTATTTTATTCACATAATATACATTCTTTACAACAAACAACTCCAAAATAAACAGACAACTCCAAAAGAAAATTTTATGTAACAAAACCATAAGTCTCGTGTTTTCATTTACACTGATCTCCTCCCTGATACCTTTACTTGATATTTCTTGCTGCTTTCCTTAGAGAATCTTTATAAAAATTAAATCTCTTAAATCCTATTCCAGTCTTTAGCAATTTCAATTAATCCCTTCACCTCCCTCCCCCACAGCCCAGTACTTCCTTCCACCCGCGTGCAATCTTCTTTACCTACTATTATTTTTGTTATTGTTGCGTTACTCACTTTATTTGTTATTCCATCCTCAATATTTTATTATCCTATCTCCTTGCGCCTTTTAAACTTTTGCGTTGTATTTATTGTGGCTGCTTTGAGTTAGAAGGTAGAAGAGACAATCCCTCAACATTTAACAGTAAAAAAATCAACACTAAGGGCTGTACCCAATGTTAGTCAAACTCAGAGTAGATTTTTGAAATTAATCTACATGATTAGCTAAGTTCCATTAATTTCAATGGCTCTCCTCTGATTAGAACTTAGTTGGAGACAACCATAAATTTGATTGGCTTTCCTGCCTACGTGGGGATTAGGGATAAGTATGCTCCATTTCAGCTTTACTGGCATTCAATCATACTTTTGTATGTGGATGATAACAAAGGAATGAAGAAAGAAAGAAAAATCTGAATTTCGATTTAGTATGCATTTCCCCTGAAGCAGACAATTGCTTTTCAAGCATTCCCCTATAAAATATGCATTATAATAGTAAGGTAAAAGGTAAAGGACCCCTGGATGGTTAAATCCAGTCAAAGGTGACTATGGGGTCGTGGAGCTCATCTCGCTCTCAGGCCGAGGGAGCCGGCGTTTGTCCACAAACAGCTTTCCGGGTCACGTGGCCAGCAGGACTGAACCGCTTCTGGCGCAACGGGACACTGTAACGGATGCCAAAGCGCACAGAAACGCCTTTTACCTTCCCGCCACAGCGGTACCTATTTATCTACTTGCACTGGCGTGCTTTCGAACTGCTAGGTTGGCAGGAGCTGGGACAGAGCAACGGGAGCTCACCCTGTCGTGGGGATTTGAACCTCTGACCTCCTGACTGGCAAGCCCAAGAGGCTCAGTGGTTTAGACCACAGCACCACCCACGTCCTATATAACACACAGATGCACTGCATAATCCAATTTGAGCCACATAATTGCACTGGGAGGAAATGGATGTGGAACCTTCTGCATTGCTTCAGAGGTTGATGGGTTAGGAAACTGGCAGCACCATGGGTGGTGGTGAGGAAACTGACAACCCCGGAACACTTTAGGTATCTGGGCAATGGGATGAATATTATTTTTGCTCCAAAACAAAACTTCATTTTATTAATATTGGGGGAAAGCAAGGGAGAGGGGCTTGGTTCCATTTCACATATATATCACAATTGTGTATTCATTGCATGACCCCCCCCAAAAAAAAATCCCACCCCACACATAAACCTGAAAGCCTTACGTGGAATCTTCTTACTTGGAAGACTAAGGAAAATAAGAACAAGGACCAGAGCAACATTCCCTGCCAGAGCAATGCTGAAAGCGACTTTCCACCAGACATTCGAGGAAGAACCTGTAACATTGAAGGTAGAGATGAAGTCCAGCGTTAGTTTCCCTCTGCCTTGCATGAAAAGTGGGGTGGAGATTGGTATTTGTCATCTGTGAAGTTGGGAGGGAGACAATTTTCTGCTGCTTTTGGAGGATGGGAATATAACACTGCCCCCTTGCATTTAAAACATTTATTTATTTATTTTTAATGAGATTCCAATGAAGAAGAGAAGAGAAGAGTTTGGATTTGATATCCCGCTTTATCACTACCCGAAGGAGTCTCAAAGCAGCTAACAATCTCCTTTCCCTTCCTCCCCCACAACAAACACTCTGTGAGGTGAGTGGGGCTGAGACACTTCAGAGAAGTGTGACTAGCCCAAGGTCACCCAGCAGCTGCATGTGGAGGAGCGGAGACGCGAACCCGGTTCACCAGATTACGAGTCTACCACATTGGCTCTCGCACCACACTGGCTCTCAACACCACACTGGCAATGAAACATCAGGAACAACTTTCTGACAGTAAGAGCTGTTCAACAGTGGAACGGACTCCCTCTGGAGGTTGTGGAATCTCCTTCAATGGAGGCTTTTAAACAGAGGTTGGATAGCCATCTGTCATGGATGCTTTAGCTGAGAGTCCTGCATTGCAGGGAGTTAGTCTAGAGTACCCTCGGGGTCCCTTCCAGTTCTACAATTCTACGAAATGTTTAAATTTTGGTTTTGCAAAGCACCCAGATCGCTACGCTGCTGGATGGACTATTTATACATTTAACAAACAAGCGTATCAAGCAAGCAGATGTTGACCCTGTCTTGCTCTTTGTCACCCATGCGGTCTGATGGGAGGAAGTGCTCCATAATCAGGAAGAAGAAAAAGATGGAAAGCAGCAGTTTTGACATCCACCCCCAACTTCCCCCAACAAGGGTATTTTCCTGAAGACATAAGGAAATTAAGCTGTGTGCTATTGTGTATTTTAAAAGCATATGAAGTATAAACTAGACATTTTCCCCACTCTTCAGTTGCTACATTATTAGGAACCAACTACTCAAGAACTCCTACTTTGAAGAGTTGTGCAAGCTGGCACAAGTTACCGTATTTTTTGCTCTATAAGACTCACTTTTTCCATCCTAAAAAGTAAGGGGAAATGTGTGTGCGTCTTATGGAGCGAGTGCAGGCTGCGCAGCTATCCCAAAAGCCAGAACAGCAAGAGGGATTGCTGCTTTCACTGCACAGCGATCCCTCTTGCTGTTCTGGCTTCTGGGATTCAGAATATTTTCTTTCTTGTTTTCCTCCTCCAAAAACTAGGTGCGTCTTATGGTCTAGTGCGTCTTATAGAGTGAAAAATACGGTGCTTGGGGGATAAGCCCCATTGATTTGAGACCCTTGTTGAAAACAGTGAAACAATCATTTCATTCGGTGGGACTGAGTCATGAATCATTTGAGGTGGAAATGGAAATTTCCAAATGAGCAAGTGACAAGTATATCTCAGAAAGACATCTCTCACACAAGTGGCAGCAAAGGTTGATCTACTTCAGGGATAGCCAATGAGATGCCATCCAGATGTTGTTGGACTACAATGCCCATCATCCCTGACTACTGATGATGCTGGCTGGGGCTCATGGGAATTGTAGTCCAGCAACAACTGATGGACAGCTCCAATTTCTTATTAAATTGCCCCCAAAGATGCAGAAACCCCACCAAAGTCAACATTCTATTGTCCACAGAAACCTTATTTGCATGCAGACTGGTTGCCCTTTTAAAAAAAACAAAAATAAAGGAGGAAGAAGTTAAAGAAGCAATGATTAAATAGTCAAAGGACTTTGGTTATACCATTCAGATGAATGTGTGGGAAAATTATGGACTAAAGACCTCAAGTATAAAAGGGGGAAACTGGATGTACATTTCCAAAATATAAGATAAATAACAAATAAAATAAAACCTACATACAGCAACAGTGTTTTGTGTTTTCTAAAAAGTAAAGGTAAAGGACCCCTGACAGTTAAGTCCAGTCGCAGACGACTCTGGGGTTGCGGCGTATAGCATATATTCAACACAACAAACAGCAACAATTTGTTGTTGACAAAGGACAGCTGGACATATAAAGGGCCCCATTACCTTCAGTAGCTTAGGGCCTCATCAAACCTAAATCTGGCCCTGCGACACCACCTCATTGGAAGAACGGTGTGCTCTAAATGCAACAAACCAACAAATAAATCCCATTGAAACCAAGAGAACGAGTTAGTCACAGTTAAAGCCCTGTTGTAAATACCATTTTTTTTGCTAGATGAGATGAAGACACACTCAAAACGTTGCCACACACACATATCAAATGCAAAGCACATTCCACATTTTAACATTTAAGAAGTGTGTGTGTGAATCCAATGGAAGAAGTTCATAACAACACTTCCTAAATCTTGTTTACAGGTGATGGTTAAGTTACTGCAACCGCTGCCCTGCTTTTTGCTTTATTTGTAAAGGTAAACTGAGAGATTTCCCCCCAAACAATACCTTTGGTGCACTTGGGAAGTGGTGTGGTGCGCTGTTGCTGGCTTTTCGGATCTATTTGCATATATCCATCTTCATCTTCCATCTTTCCGAGCCCTTGTTAGCTGCCGGCGCAACACTCTTTAAATAAGGAATTGGCAGTTCCTCAAGGTTCAGAAAACAGCTGGCCTGTGCAATTATGGAAAGTTACACAACCAGGCTTGCAGTTTGCCAGTTTCATTCAGCTGGAGTCTGACAAGTTTATTTCTTCGTTAAAACTTCCTGTGGGCATCGGACGTCTCTGGGCCCAAATCTGGCCTGCAGGTTCCATCCGCTTCTCCTTCCTGATCTGCTCTGGTGGAGCAGGAATCGAAGTGTGCATCACAGCAGTTGGGGAAGAAGTCAGATGACTGGATTGGGAAAGGATCTGGAGGGAGGGAGAAGCTGTGGTACCTGTACTTCCTGCTCAATCAGCTACTGATACAGAACACATGTCCACGTTGTGAACATGCAACACGGCACTGTTGGTGACGGAACAGTCCTTGATCATGTCAGCTGCTGTACTTCCCTTTGGATATCCCTCTTTTGCAGTGACTCAAGCAGCTGCAGCTACAGACTTCAGATCCTTTACCCACACAGATTATGGGCTTATCCACACTTACCTTGCCTCCAGTTTTTCCAGGCATGGTCCATGCTTCAAAGGTCTATGTCCAAGCACCCTTCCCGCCCCCCAGCCTGCCCACCAGAGCTTTCCCCATAAAAACCTGCTCTCTAAAACTCAGTTGGAATAAATGTCAATTCATACAGAGAGAAGAGACAGTGGAAGAAGACTGGAAGAAGTTTAAGGAATATTTGAAATGGCAGATGAAGATGATGGACTATATGGAACTTGCCGAACTGACTGGGAGACTCCGAGACCAGAAAGAAGAGACGGTGGAAGAAGACTGGAAGAAGTTTAAGGAATATTTGAAAAAAATATGTTAATATTTAAACCTTAGAATAGCTTTGGAAGTGGATAGAGGCTGTAGGGTTAGAAGTAGAAGATAGGGTATTTTAAAATAGTATTATTTGTAAGTGATAAAATGTGAAGTTATTTTAAGTGTGATTAAAAAAAAAAGATGGTTAGACAGTATGATGTATGAAAATCAGATAGGTGGGACTTGGGGAAGCCCACTTAACAATTTTTAGAAAAATGAGGATATGACAAGAATTTGTTCGTATTGTTTGTCTTTTCTGTTTGTGTTTTGTGTGTGTGTTATAAAATGAATAAAAAAATTTGGGGAAAAAGGAATAAATGTCAATTCATGGAAAACCAGAATTGACATTTGCTCCGATTCAGCTTTAAAGAGTGGATCTTTGCAGGGAAAACTCAGGGCAAAAAACCCTCAACAACAATGTTTGGACATGGAGCATTAAAGAGTGGACCTCTTAGAAAGAGCGGGGCAAAAGGTAAGGGTGAATAATCCCTTACACACAAGGTCCCATAAATCCTGCTGCTGCTGAACATGGAGGCTCCTTTTAGCTCACAGCATCATCTTCCATAGATTGGGTCTAATCTCCCAAACAACCTCAGGTCCAGATGCTGATAGCGGCCTTCCAGGCCTCCCTGATTGGCCCTTGGAACTCTCCTCAGGCCACAAGCTATATCCTTGCTTTCATAGAATCGTAGAATCATAGAATCTTGGAGTTGGAAGGGACTCCGAGGGTCATCTAGTCCAACCCCCTGCAATGCAGGATTGTCAGCTAAAGCATCCATGACAGGTGGCCCTCCAACCTCTGCTCATAAAACTCCAAGGAGGTTTGCACCCTCCTAGACTGTTTCTGCCTGGCTCAAATGTATCCTTGAACTACAATAATATTTCTTGCTTGCCTGAATAGAGAGAGATGTGTGAGTCAATTTCTTGCTCCACCCACTTTTACCCCTAGCCCCACCCACCTGCCAGGAACGAGCCAGCTCCAAGCGGAACTTTACAGCCAGCTGCAGAATACAGGAAGGAACAGAGAGGTTTAGATTTGACGCAGGCTGAGCAGAGGCCAGAGCTGCCAGCGTCGACTCCCTCTGACCTTGGATGCCGGTTTCCAAGGGAACAGCTGAGAGCAGGCTGAAAGACAGGATCATGGCAATGAAAATAATAAATAGAGTTGGGGCAATAACACAACCCTGTTTAGCACCTGATCCCACTGTGAATGGTTCACTTTGCGAGCCATTGTTATCTGCGATTGTTGCTGTCATATTATCATGGAGGAGCTGAAGGATATTCAGAAATTTATCTGGGCAGCCAATTTTCAGAAGGACAGATGGGGCGAATTTTGTGGCATGGAATTCCATTATGCATTCTAGGCATTGTGGAGGAATCCAGCACTGGGAAACTTAGCTGTATAGTGAATGCTCAGAGCTCTTCTGCATGAGTGAGCAGGCCCCTTCTGAACCAGCCAAGCAGGTAACAAGGGTGTGGCTGAGTTGGGTGACTGCCTGCCTAACTGCGATTTCCTGGCAGTGCAAATGGAGGTGTGACTAGCTTAATACCAGGAGCGTGAATTTTCACGGTCTGGTTGGTCGATTCATCCTTTAAACATTGCAAGATTGTAGCAGCCAACACCAAGACTTTCTTCCTCCCCTCCCCCTTTATTTGGATACAATAAATTCATAGACTGCAAACACCCTCCCATCAGATATCAAGGAGATAAACAACTACTTGACCTTCAGAAGACATCTGAAGGCAGCCCTGTTCAGGGAAGCTTTTAATGTGTGACATTTTAATGTATTTTTAATCTTTGTTGGAAGCTGCCCAGAGTGGCTGGGGAAACCCATCCAGATGGGCGGGGTACAAATAGTAAATTATTATTATTATTATTATTATTATTATTATTATTATTATTATTATTATCTTATTCTAGGCTGCATCCACAGAAGTATAGTGTCCCAATCAAGGGAAGTAATAGTACCACTCTATTCTGCCTTGGTCAGACCACACCAGGAATACTGTGTCCAATTCTAGGCACCACAATTTAAGAAGGATGTTGACAAGTGGGAACGTGTGCAGAGGAGGGCAACCAAGATGATTAAGGGTCTGGAAACTAAGCCTTACAGGGAAGGCTTGAAGGAGCTGGGTATGTTTAGCCTAGAAAAGAGGAGACTGAGAGGAGATAGGATAGCCATCTTCAAATATCTCAAGGGCTGTCACATGGAAGATGGAGCAAGATTGTTTTCTCCTGCTTTGGAGGGTAGGACCCGAACCAATGGTTTCCAGGTACAAGAAAGGAGATTCCAATTAAACATGCGGAAAAACTTTCTGACAGGAAGAGCTGTTTGACAGCGGAAAGGTCTCCCTCAGGAGGTGGTGGCCTCTCCTTTCTCAGAGGTTTTTTAAGCAGAGGTTCAATGGCCACCTGTCATGGATGCTTTAGCTGAGATTCCTGCAATGCAGGGAGTTGGACTTGATGACCCATGGGGTCCCTTCCAATGCTTTGTTGTTGTTTTAGTTGTGTCTGACTCTTTGTGACTCCATGGACTAGAGCACGCCAGGCACTCCTGTCTTCCCCTTCCAACGCTAAAAGATGCTATCTCCCCATTTACTTGCCAGAGCAAGAACATAAGAAGGGTCTGGTTGGATCAGTCCATCTATATTTCAGCATCCTGTTCTCACAGTGGCCGACCAAATACTGATGGGAAAGCCCCAAGCAGGTCCTGAGAGCAACCACACTTGCCCTGGTGATACCCAGCCATTCATGCTTCTGACCATGGAGAGAACATAGCTAAGGCTATCCATGAATTTGTCCAATCTCCCTTTAAGGCTGTTCTTTATTTCTGTAATCCACCCACCAAGAAACCTATGTGTTTTTCCTAAAGAAGTAGACAGATGTGGATAATAACTGGATTTTATATTTTGGAAAACGGGAGCCCGGCCATTGTGTGTTTCATCTTACCAGCAGTCCATGGTGCAACAGGAAAACCCCACAGAATCTCATTTGAATGTCTGCCTCGACTCCCACACAAGACTCCATAACATCAGCCAACACCAAGGCTTTCTTCCTCCCCTCCCCCTTTATTTGGATACAATAAATTCATAGACTGCAAACACAAATTGTCTCAGAGAGGTGTGCCTATTAAAAACAAGACGGTGTTGCAAACAACAGAGATAAAAATCACTAATCTTATGAAGAGTTCTTGAGGAAATTGAAAACTTGCATGCTGTTTTGTGGCATTTGGGTTTGCCTGGTAAAGGAATAACTGTCATGTCAGTTTAGGGATATGAAGGGCATTCCTGTATGAGAGTTCTCCAGGCCATATACTCCAGGCTCTGTACACACTAAACCATGGGTAGGCAAATTAAGGCCCGGAGGCCGGATCCAGCCCAATCGCCTTCTAAATCTGGCCCGTGAATGGTCCGGGAATCAGCGTGTTTTTACATGAGTAGAATGTTTCCTTTTATTTAAAATGCATCTCTGGGTTATTTGTGGGGCATAGGAATTCATTCATTCTTATTTTTTTCAAAATATAGTCTGCCCCCCCCCCACAAGATCTGAGGGACAGTGGACTGACCCCCTGCTGAAAAAGTCTGCTGACCCCTGTAACTAAACTTTTAAAGCACATTTGAAACACATCAAAGAATTCCGGGCACCCCTCACAGATACAATTCCTTGCATGACATTAAGAGATGAGGGTGCCCATAATTCATTGAAGGCAATGCGTTCTGAATGTGATTTAAAGGTATAGTGTCCACAGAGCCAGAGAGCGGTTTGAGGCCTTTGAACAGCAGGGTCGAGAGACTCTGATAGCATCAAGACAGTGGTTCATAAACTGCCCCACCCCATCCCCCATGGACAGTAAGAGCAGTTCGACAGTGGGACAAACTTCCTTGAAAAGTGGTGGACTCTCCTTCATTGGAGGTTTGTAAACCTTGGGGTCATTTCCAGCTTTACAGTTCTATCATTCTATGACACCTTGAAAAGTGCTGAAGGTCTTGGCTGGCCACTTTTTCTGCCTGTTGTGCCAATTGCAAGTCCAAGAATTCAAATCGCAATACAACACAGCATAAGCAGCGACCATTTTTCTTGGGGGTTCCGTTCCCAACCCCGGCCCCCCCATGCAAAAGTGCGTTCCATCCCATGACACCCAACCCCTATTCTGCCCCACCCTGCCCCCATTACACCCCCGTTCTGCCCTCTTCAGGGTCCAAAAGGACTCACACGTTGGCAACCATGCATCAGTTGGACACGCCCAAAATAGTCACCGCCTGTACAGTATAAGAAATAAAAGAAGCTATAATCAACAGGACTATTTGATGTGGTGGATGTTCTGCCAGCCATCTTCAACCACAAATCCAGATAAATGCTATGGACCACCTGAATGAAGATCATGGACCACAGCTTGGTAACTCTTGATTAAGATGCTCCTTTCTCTCATGGATGGACTGTGAGCTCCCCATTCCATCCCTCAATCAAGAACCAGGCATGGACCTTTTCCCCAGAGAATTTTGCTTTCGGAAAGGTAAAGAGATGGGCATCAGTATCACCGTCAAAAAATCCCACCAGGCCCTCCGAGTAGTCCAGGGAAACACGGATCCTACTTGGGGGATGGCACAAGGACAAATTAGTCCTAGGATTGGCAGTAATTGACTGGTACTGCCCATCAATACGCTGTACCCCCCAGTACCCCCCCTCTGGTGCAAGGAGAATTTTCCCATTTCTGTTTGCAGACTCCCTCACGATTCCCACACCCCACCAATTGCCCCCTTCCACCACTTCAACTTCCCAGCAAAATTTCCCTGAGTCAATGCCCTGGTGGCTTAGGACACTGTCCAACAAGTCATATCTCAGAGGACTACTGTTCACACTTTGTTTCATGTATCTCCATTTCACACTCTTCAGATTTTCTGATACGTAGAGCTGGGGATGAGCTGTGCTTGGATCCAGAGTCAGATTGGCTGTGAAGAGGAAAAAGAAATCTCAACTTTTGGGGAAGGTTCTCAGGCAGGGTGGAAGGAGAAAGAACTTGCCCATGTGAAGACCACCTGGTGGAAACCCTTACACATATGGTTCTTAATTTAAACTATATGCTGATCTCTGTCAGCAGTTTCTAGATCAACTCTGCATCCCCAAATGGAAAACAGAGTTCGAGGTCATACATTTTCTATTACTGGGGAATGATCAGGAGCTCACCAAGTTAGTGGCTAAATATCTCTACAGTGGTACCTCGGGTTACATACGCTTCAGGTTACAGACTCCGCTAACCCAGAAATATTACCTCGTGTTAAGAACTTTGCTTCAGGATGAGAACAGAAATCGTGCAGTGGTGACGCAGTGGCAGCAGGAGGCCCCATTAGCTTGGATACAGCTCATCAGGCCCTGGAGATTTGAATTCATTTAAAGTAGCTAGGTGTTCCCTTACTACCTCTTTTCCTATCTTGGGCTGCAGCTCCCTCCTCACATCATTTATTCCATTATCACCAGGTTGGGTGAAGACAGGGGCAAAGTAGGTGTTAAGTAGTTCTGCCTTTTCTCTGTCAACCAATAGCATTTCTCTGTGTTCCCCACACAGAGGACCTACCACTTGCTTCTTCTTCCTCTTACTTCAGACATAGCTGAAGAAACCTTTTTCATTACAGTGGTACCTCGGGTTAAGAACTTAATTCATTCTGGAGGTCTGTTCTTAACCTGAAACTGTTCTTAACCTGAAGCACCACGTTAACTAATGGGGCCTGCTGCTGCCACTGCGCTGCCACTGCACAATTTCTGTTCTCATCCTGAAACAAAGTTCTTTTTTTTTTAAATGATATTTATTAAAATTTCAGAAACAAAAAATTACATAGTTAAAAATAAAAGAGACAAGAAAAAATATAAAAGAAAAAAAAGAGAAAAAACATACAAAATACAAAATATAGAATTTTTTTTTTAGAAAAAACACTTAAAAACAAATTAATCCTTCCATATCTTACATTTCATTTCCTTGCTTCCCTGACCTCCTCTCACCTCCCTTTTTTGTATTCGAGTTCAGTTGGTTAATTCAGCAATTCCTTTCCCTCTTTGTTTTTGTCTTAGTCCTTTAACTTAATATATTATAGCTTTAGATTCTCACCTATTAACCATCCATTTTTTCATACATCTTTATGACATTGCTGCTAAAACCACTTAACTTCATTCTGACATCATTCTAACATTCATTAATTTTACAATATTTCTGTAGGTAGTCTTTAAATTTCTTCCAATCTTCTTCCACCGACTCTTCACCCTGGTCTCGGATTCTGCCAGTCATTTCCGCCAATTCCATGTAGTCCATCACCTTCATCTGCCACTGAAACAAAGTTCTTAACCCGAGGTAATATTTCTGGGTTAGAGGAGTCTGTAACCTGAAGCGTATGTAACCTGAAGCGTATGTAAGCCGAGGTACCACTGTATTTTTAACCACTCTTGCAAGCCTGAGTTCATTCTGAGCTTTAGCCAGCCCGACTTTCCCTCTGCAACTGTTGGCTACTTGTGTATACTCCTCCTTTGTGGTTTCTCCTTTTTTCATTTCTTATACATGTCCTTCTTAACTCTCAACTCATCTGTGAGCTCCTTATGCAGCCACACTGGTTTCCTTAGATGCCTCCCGCATTTCTTTCTTGTTGGTATTGTCTGCTTTTGGGCCGTCACTATTTCTCCTTTTAGAAACTCCCATCTTCTCACTGAGTATTTCTGACCACGGGATCACACCCAGTAGCTCCTTCAGCTTTCAGAAACTGGCCTTCTTAAAGTCCAGAGTGTGAGTCCAACTACACTCAATTTCCCCTTGCCTCAGTATCCTGAAACCCAGGGGAACATCATCACTTCCTCCCAAGTTTCCAAGCACTTCCACTTCATCTATCAGTTCCTCCCTATTGGTGAGGACCAGGTCCAAAATAGATGATCCCCTTGCTGGTTCTTCCACCTTCTTACACTTTGAGTCCCAACAGATATTGGGGAAGTTGAAGTCCCTCATGGCTACTATTTCTCTCCTTTTTGAATGTTTGGTAATCTTCTCTAGTAAGGCACCATCTGAGTCTTCAGTCTGGCTTGGCAGACTATAGCAGACACCCACAGTAAGATCACTGTCGTTTCTCTCTCCTACAGTTTTACCCATATACTCTCAATCTGCTTTTCATGCTCCACTTCATAGATTTCATCACAAGTGTACACATCCTTTATGTACGATGCTACTCCTCCTCCCTTCCTGTTTGGTCTATTCCTTTTGAACAGGCTGAGGTTCAAAGAAGAACCAGAGAACTAAAAAACACCTGGTGGATAAGAAAAAGCTCAAGAGATCCAGCACTTAGCCGACACTCATGATGCACAGAGTTTCTTTGAAGCCACAAAGACCATCTATGGGCCAATAAATCATGGCATATGCCCTCTACACTCAGCAGACGGTAGCACACTTCTAAAAGATAAAGAAGCTACTGCACTGCGCTGGAAAGAACATTACCAACATCTCCTTAACTGCAACTTCCCCGTAGCTGCTGAGGGCCTCTCACAAATTCTGCAAAAACAAATTAGAGATGAGCTTGCAGTATCTCCAAACCTGGGAGAGTTGTGTACAGCTATTAACCAAATGAAAAACAACAAAGCCAGTGGACCTGATGGGATACCTCCCGAACTCTTCAAAGTGGGCGGAATTGAACTTACAGAACAACTTCACAAGCTCATTGAAAAAATATGGGAAAGAGAAGAAATCCCAGCAGACTTTAGAGATGCCAAAATTATCAATCTCTTTAAAAAAAGGTGACAGAACTAATTGTGGAAACTACCAAGACATCTCTCTATTAGCTGCGGCTGGCAAAATTATTGCAAGGATCTTAGCAAACCGTCTCATAACAATATCCAAGGTGGCCCTTCTTGAATCCCAAAATGGTTTTCGGCCTTCTAGGGGGACAGTGGACATGATTTTCACCGCTCAACAGCTTCAAGAAAAATGCAGAGAGCAAAACCAACCCCTGTATATGGAGTTTATTGACCTAACTTAAGGCTCTCAACACTGTAAATAGTAACACCCCGTGGACTGTCCTTCTGAAAATTGGCTGCCCAGATAAATTTGTAAACATCATTCGGCTCCTCCATGATAATATGACAGCAACAATCACAGACAACAATGGCCTTTTTTTTTTTAAAAGGGCTCTTTAATCCCTACAGTTATAGGAGCATCAACTGCAGCTACAGTAAGCCTGCCTGTCATATTGCATGACGCGGTCCGAGCCACAAAAGCCAAATTATGCTATCAGACCAGACTGACACTCAAACACATCCTCCTATGTCTGCAGAAGAATGAGACCATAGTGGCTTGGGGTGTGCACAGGTATTGTCCACAGAGCTAAACCGGCGTGGAACTGATACCTTCCTATATCTGCATTTGATGAGTGGGAGAGAACTGAGAGTAGGCACTACACTCAGAAGCTGGTTACCATCGCAGTGAACAGCGCCATCAAATATTGCATTGAAAGCTGGCTGTCAACAGAAAGGGATGAAAGATGTCCTAGCATGGCGCTCGCTGTGGGTGGGGGGAGTTTCTAAGACACTACCAATTCAAATGAACATTTTATCCATTCCCGGCCCTTAGCCGGGTCACTTCTGCACCTGGAGTTGAGTTCTGCATCTGGTGCCAAAGTGGTTAGGTATAATGGATGCATCTGAAGTACCAAAAGGTCAGGGGGTTACCTGTCAGGTGGCTGTTAGCTGATCTGCAAGGGATGCATTTTTGCCGGCAACTCTGGATCTCATGTGGATTCGTTTTCTCAGCAGGAACCTTGGAAGCTTAAAAGAGAGAGAGAGAGCAAGAGCTCTGCATCAGAGCAAGGCTGTCGTCCATTGCTGTCGTGCAGAGAGCTCTTCTTATGCATAGGTGTCTATGCATAGAATGTCAGTCTGCCTATCATCCAAAATATATCTTTATATTTAAGGTGGTGCACACAACAGAACTCTGAAGCACATTCAAAGCATGCACACCCAAAAAGGAAACCTGGGAGCTGTATAGCTTACCACCCGCAGAGAAACAATTCTGAAGCACCCTCAACAGACTACAATTTCCAGGATTCTTTGTGTTGGAGGGCTGTGCTGTGAATGTATGGTGCTGTGATTGCAGTGCTATTTTTCTAGAAAAAGAGGTGCTGGAACTCACCATGAACACCTCCCTTTGTTCTCTTATAAGGGGGATGGAGCCCACCTGAGAGGTGCCAGAATTGAGTTCCAGCGAGTTCTAGCTGAAAAAATGCCCTGTGTAAATGTATGGTGTGTATGGAACCCTGGTCATAGACCTACAGAGGAACATGGAGAGGATCGGCTAGGAAATAATAATAATAATAATAATAATAATAATAATGTATTACTTATACCCTGCTCATCTGGTCGGGCCTCCCCAGCCACTCTGGGTGGCTTCCAATATTAAAAACACAATAAAACATCAAACACCCCCCTTTGTTTTCCCTTATACAATGGTACCTCGGTTTACGAACAGTCCTGTTTAAGAACTATTCGGTTTATGAACTCTGCAAAACCGGAAGTAGTGTTTCAGTTTGCGAACTTTACCTTGGTCTACGAATGGAAGCCGAATGGTGGAAGGGCACCGGCAGCGGGAGGCCTCATTAGGGAAAGTGCACCTCAGTTAAAGAACGGATTTGGTTTAAGAATGGACTTCAGGAATGGATTAAGTTCATGAACCGAGGTTCCACTGTACACGGGTTCTGTTTCTCTTTTTTCTTTGTGACTCACCATGTTTGATGCACATATAGTTATGCTCTTTTCGAACTTCCAATTTTTTAAAAAAGAAAAGAACAGCCATGCCAAAGCAAAACAAAAACCTTAAAAACTTCCCTAAACAGGGCTGCCTTCAGTCTTCTTGTACATAGTAGGCTGGCGTTTGGGTTTTAGCCCTGGCTCCTATTTTTAGACTACATGATGAAACTGTACAATTACCAGACAAAATCATGAAGATCAAAATGCACTTCAGAGCGACGCTCGCTGCCAGCAAAACCCCAAAAACCATTCCAGGCCAGAAGAACATGGAAGAAGAAGGATCTGTGGAGAACCAAATGGTGTGAAACTCAACAATACAGAAAGTATACGTGAAACCTTTAGCGGCCAATTGAGAGCTTTCATGATCTAAGGGCACATGGTGGTGTAACTTGATCTGAAGTTGAAGTCGGTCCACATCTGGTTCATGACTGAGCGGAAATAAGCAGCCTACAGTCATAGTACATGGGGCCACTACAGACAGTGGCGCAGCTGCATGCTCCGCTACCGGGGGCGAAGAGCAGGCGGGGGCGTGGCTGGCCACCCGCGAGGGCGTGGCGTGTGTTTTGGGGGTGTGGCATGCTGCCTGTGGGGGCATGGCACCCGCCGCCTGGCGTGTGTCCAGGGGGGCCGCCGTGATGGCACCCTACCGGAATAGTGGTGCCGGGGGTGGTCCGCTCCCTCCGCACCCCCGTTCCTCCATCAGTGACCACAGACCCCACAGCCATCAGGATCCCCGGACGGTGAGCTTTCGTTTCTTAAAAAAAAAAGCATCTGAACCTCCTAAAAAGAACGTTACGAAAGCATGTATGAAGGTCGCCTTCCAAGAAATTTCTGTGAAATGAAACAGTTGCTCCCTTTTAGTGTTTTTAGTCAATGAGTCAGAGCTGTGACTAACACGTGTGTGCTTTGTACACCAGGCAACAGAAGTCCTAAAGAGGTCCCTTAAGAGCTGCTGTCCCTACCCACCAGCTGTGACCCTTTTGTGCATTTCTTCTGCATTTGTTTCATCTTCTAGTTCTTGGAATCTCTGTAATTTGCCCCCCCCCCCCCCCCCCGCCAGCAACCAGGATGCATCTTTCCTCCGGTGGCCCGGGGGCCAGATCCAGCCCAATCACCTTCTCAATCCGGCCCACGGACGGTCCGGGAATCAGCATGCTTTTACATGAGTAGAATGTGTGCTTTTATTTAAAGTGCATCCCTGGGTTATTTGTGAGGCATAGGAATTCATTCTTTTTTCTTTATTTTTCAAAATATAGTCTGGCCACCCCCCACAAGGTCTGAGGGACAATGGACTGACCCCTGATGAAAAAGTTTGCTGACCCCTGCTATAGTTAGCTACATCTGGGACAAGTAACTTTCTCTATGCTCACCTCAGCTGAAAATAAACAACAGCCATAACCCTTCTCCTCCTCATTTGACCTTCAGCTTCTCACTTGTCTGTCAAGTACTTGCCCTGTGCCTTATGTTTGTTTTTCTGTTAATGTATTTGCAAAATATTTGTTCTGAAACTTAAAAGAAAGGCTGGCTAGCTACATCGGTTGAAAACCAAAAGCAATATTTAGAATATTTTGATCCGTACCTTTGGCCTGAGCACGAGGTGGTAGTGCAGGCAACTCTCCTCTCTCTGGTCCAGTTGTCCTTTGCTTTTCATTCGCCATGTTCATCAACTATTTGATCTGACTTATTCGCTTAAAGAGCACCACCCTCCAGAAAAGGAACTAATGATTCCTCAAAGCTCTGAAAACCTGATAAATATCAGGAAAGAACCCACACAGGAAGTGGTAATGCAACTTTTAGATTTAACTCTTTTCGGGATGAGCCAACCTCTGACATTTCTCACTGAAATTGCTCTGTTATACAAAATTTAAAGGAATATCATATTACTTTAAACATAGGTCTCAAGCTGTTTTTGCACTACAACTCCCATCATCCCTAGCTAGCAGGACCAGTAGTCAGGGAGGTGGGAACTGTAATCCAAAAACAGCTGGAGACCCACATTTGGGAAACCCTACTTTAAACAGTCATGGTTTCCTCCAAAGAATCCTGGGATGTGTAGTTTGTTAAGGTTGCTGAGAGTTGTTAAGAGACCCCTATTCCCTGCACAAAGCTACTATTCCCAGAATGATTTAACAATCAATCCCTCTTCCCAGAGAACAGGGCTGGCCCTACCATTAGATGGAGTGAGGCAGCTGCCTTAGGCAAGAGTCTTGAGTATCATGAAACTGCATCAATTTTCAATTTTAATTTAATTGTTTTTAATTTTTCACTCCCAGAAAGACACGCTTGTGGGATTTGCTGCCTTATGTGCCAAAATAACTTGCTATTTTGCACTTTGACTTTAAGAGCAGAGTGGGAGGGGTGACATTTTTGTTCTTCCTCAGGTGGCAAAAGGGCTTGGGCAGCCATGTCACCAGAGGTCCTTTTCTGGGTGTTTCCTTCCTTGGAAGTCAACTGATTGGCTACAGTGAGAAAGTGGCACCTTCTCTCCATTCAGTTGGTACCTGCTATTTTGGCAGTTTAAATGGAATTTTTCCCCATTCACCCAGGTTTTTCCTTTGTGGTACGTAGAGAGGCTGAGTTATTTTCACATGCTATTTTTATCTAGCTGTTTCTGGTTTCCAGTTCTGCTATTCATTTAATCATTTGTTTGGTGTTATTTATCTATTCACAGCAGGTGGCACTATGGTCTAAACCACTGAGCCTCTTGGTGGTTCAAATACGCACAACAGGTTGAGCTCCTATTGCTCTGTCCCAGCTCCTGCCAACCTAGCAGTTTGAAAGCATATTAAAGTGCAAGTAGATAAATAGGTACCGCTCTGGCGAGAAGGCACAACTTCATTATCATGGCCAGCATCCATTGATGGAACAGACTTGCTCCACTCCATTACACATGCTGGACTGGCAGCTGAATTTTGCTTCATTGTTTAGAAAAGCATTGTTTAATGTTTGGATAAGATACAAGGATTTGTTAGAAAATAAAACCCCAAGATGGTTGTCACCAATGGAAGCAAAGGCACAGAAAAAACTCAATATGGAGGCCAAATGGCTGAAGTATTGGGAAATCCTGGAACAAGAGGGAGACAGATTAAAATTGCAGAGTTTTGAAAAACTAAAAAATAGAGTACGAGATTGGCTCCACTATTATCAAATAATGGAGGCATATAATTCGGACAAAAAATTAGGCTTCCAGGTAGAAAAATCAAAATTGGAAACAGAATTGTTAGACCCTAAAGTTAAGAATTTGTCAAGGATGTATAACTTGCTGTTGAAATGGAATACTCAGGATGAAACGGTGAAATCTGCTATGATCAAATGGGCACAAGATGTTGGACATAAGATTATGATGGCTGACTGGGAACAGTTATGGACCACAGGTATGAAGTTTACGGCATGTAATGCCTTAAGAGAGAATATTATGAAAATGATATACAGGTGGTACATGACCCCAGTCAAGCTTGCAAAAATCTACCATTTGCCCGATAATAAATGTTGGAAATGTAAAGAAACTGAAGGTACTTTCTTTCACCTTTGGTGGACGTGCCCAAGGATTAAGGCTTTCTGGGAGATGATATATAATGAATTGAAAAAGGTATTTAAATATACCTTCTTGAAGAAACCAGAGGCCTTTCTCCTAGGCATAGTCGGCCAATTGGTGCCAAAGAAGGACAGAACTTTTTTTATGTATGCCACAACAGCAGCAAGAATACTCATTGCAAAGTATTGGAAGACACAAGATCTACCCACTCTGGAAGAATGGCAGATGAAGGTGATGGACTATATGGAACTGGCGGAAATGACTGGCAGAATCCGAGACCAGGGGAAAGAGTCGGTGGAAGAAGATTGGAAGAAATTTAAAGACTATCTACAGAAATATTGTAAAATTGATGAATGTTAGAATGATGTTGAATAGAAATTAAGCGGTTTTCAGCTGTAATATTATAAGGGAATATGAAAAATGGATTATTAATAGGTAAAAATTTAATGTCATAATATTTTAAAATTAAAGACTAGGATAAACAAAGAGGGTAGGGATTTGCTGAACCAACAAACCGAACTGGAATACAAAAAAGGGAGGCGTGAAGAGGTCCAGGAAGCAAGCTAATGAAAAATAAGTAATGGAAAGATTGAGTTGTTTTTAACCATTTTTATTTTGTATTTTCTTCTTTTTTTCATTTCTATTTTGTAATATTTTGAAAATCTTAATAAATATCTTATAAAAAAGAATAGAATACAAAAAGGGAGGTGTGAGGAAGTCGATGAAACAAGTAAATGAAAGGTAAAGATATGGAATACTGGATGTGTTTTTAAATGCTTTTGTTTTTAAATGTTTTTGCTTTTTTGCTCTTATTGTTATGCTGTACTGTTCTTTTTTATTCTGTTTTTTATTTTCTTTTGATGTATTGTAACTTTTTACTGTCTTTTTCTCTTTTCTTTTTTTCCTCTTTTTCTGTAATTGTTAAACTCTTAATAAATATCATTAAAAAAAGAAAAAAAGAATTTTGCCTCATTGTTTGTTGTGGGACAGCATCTTTCCCCACACCAGAGGGCAGAAGAGTAGCCTAGAGCACTGTAGAACACATAGCTCTTTCCTCCATCGCCTTGACACCACCCTGTACTTGTTAGCACCCAGTGAATGGGGCGACTGTCTCATTTTGCCCAATAGTAGAGCTGGCACTGTCAGAGCACTTCCCCCAGAGTGTTACAAGTTTAGGTGGACTCTAGTCTACAAAATCTTAGGTAGCAATTTATTTGCTAATGTTCAAGATGCTGTAAAGTGGTTCTTCTAATCTTACATGCAGAACTTACGACACAGTATTTTCACCCCTATATTGCAAATTAGAGGCTGTGAGACAGTGATTTGAATGAGACCACTGACAGAGTTTGTTGTTAACTTTCTTATTATTGTTAATTTTTCTGATTAATTTATGAATCACCTTCTAGAGCCATGTTTCCCAACCTTGGGTCTCCAGCTGCTTTTGGACTACAACTCCCATTATCCCTGACCGCTGGTCCTGCTAGCTAGGGATGATGGGAGTTGTAGTCCAAAAACAGCTGGAGTCCCAAGGTTGGGAAACACTGTTCAAGAGAATCATCTCAAGGCGATGTGCAATTAAAGCAGCCAATGCATTTAAAACAAAGCTAAAACAATACAGACTCATGGCAAAGACCAATTTGTTATCTGGGAAAGCCTGTCAGAACCAAAATGTCTTCAGTTGCTTCCAGAAAATGCAGAGCTTGACAGGAACGCCATCCAACAAGGACAGCCACATTCAAAGTCCTGCTCCAGAGCAGGTTTCTGACATCTTTGAAACTCACAGGAGAAACTTTCTCACAGATTGCAAGGAGCTCATGGATCAATAAGGGATAAAAGGATGATTGTTATCTGGAGAGGATTCGGTTCACAGGGTCCACACTTAGCTACTACATTTCACCAGCTTGTAAAATGTGAATACATTCCCCACCTTATTAAACCAGTTGGGCCACACGATGGTCTCCTCATGAATAGTCAGCTTTGGGCCTGAGGAGGCTTGGGTCTCCAGCTTCCCCACTTTCACTCTTATGGCGGTTTCGTTAGGAAACGTGACCAAATTCACAATACCATAGTCAGGTACCAGCTCCCTATCTTCATCAGAATACACTTCGTCCATGGTCGTACTGTTGAAGCGGGTGCTTCTCAGAAAAGGGTGAAGCTAGAGGAGCAGTAATTTCAAGATGGGTAATTAAACTGTTTTATTTATTTCTTTTCATTTATGAATCACTTGCCATGAAGCATCCCAGTGCAATTAACTATTTGGAAGTCCAAACTCTGTAGGAAACATTGGATGAGGGGATTTTCTGAGGCATGTGTAATTCAAAACATGGGTCTTGTTCTTTCATGTGGTAGTTCATGTCCAACTACCATGACTATCTGCCTCAATGCACAGTTAATGTGCCAAGATAAACCAAACAAATACATAGCGAGAGGTTTGAATGCTCCGACCCAAACTACTAATCTACAAAGGTGGTTTCCTACTGTCTCTTCCCTGTTTTGTCCTTGCCTCTTTCCTGCCAGCCTCCACTGGGAGCAGGTCATTTGGCCAAATCTCCCTGTAGGTAGGGTTGCCATATTCCCCAAACTGAAAATCTGGACAAAGTTGTTGAGCGTTTTTTGAGAGCATCTCCACCCAAAATTAAAAATTATTGGGAAATTATTTATAATAAATTGAAAAAAGATGTTCAGGATAACTTTTGATAAAAAGCCAAATGCATTTTTGTTAAGTATTATAGGACAGGAACTGCCAAAAGAACCAAAGAAGTTATTTATGTATGCTACAACGGCGGCTAGGATTCTACTAGCCCCAAAATGGAAAGATGACAAGATACCAATAAAAGAAGAATGGCAAGTTAAATTTATGGAATATGCAGAAATGGCGAAACTTATGGGAAGACTTAGAGACAATGATAATAGAGACCTTTTAAAAAAATTGAGAACCATTCATGCTGTATTTACAGAAATATTGTAAAGAAATTGACTCACTAGCAGGGTTTGAGTAAACATTTACAATTTAGAAAACAAATGTAAAGGTTAAAAAACAATAATCTGTAAATTAATTAAATGGATGTTCTAACTTGAAAGAAGGTGTGCTATAAAAATGATAAGAATATAAGAGCATTTAGTTAAAAGATTACAAAAATAAGGAAAAATAAATTAAGCAGAAGCAGCAAATATTTAAAAAACCAGAAGGGGAAGTGGAGGGGAGTCATGGGGGGGGGGGATTTTGATTCTTTTATTATTTTTCTTTTATATGATGAATGTGTTGAATATTAATGTGTAAAATTAATAAAATTTGCTTTAAAAAAACCACATGCAGTAGTGACGTGGGTGACTAGGGAGGAAGTGGTGGGACCCTTAATTGGTAGCACCGTCATTCCTAGGAAATGGATTGTTTGTTCTCTCGCTGTGATCATTAAAGTTTCTAACTGGTAAGAAGACTCCTTTCCCTTTGTTCTTCTTATCTACTGCCAAAGGGGGGAGGAAGCCGATTCCCTGAAGCCTGACACCTGCCTATTGGATTTGAACCCAATAGATCAAAGAGTCTTGTGCCATAGATCAGAGTGTTTGCCCAGGTAGCTCAAGAGTGGGCAGGATGTGACCGACTTCCCGGGAGCTACATGCCAATGGTAGGCAGGTCCATAATAAAAGTGAGTGAGTGGGAAGGTAGAGTCCCGCCACACTCTCTCGCACCACTCACAGTCAGATACTCAACATGCACATTCACACATATGGATGTATATACACAACACACATACTGAACACACCTACAATTTCTAGTCCAATATTGCTGGTTCTAAGTGGCAGTGGATCGTCAAAATCTCTTTCCCATCACATCCTTGTCTGAATCCTTTTTAAGAGGTGATGCCAAAGCTTCAGCTTGTCGCCTTCTGCATGCAAAACATGTGCCCTTCCAGTACAATGCACCCCCTCAGTAGTGGGACAGTGAGCACATCCCGCTGCTTAAAGTGTTCCCAGAACCCAAGCAGAAGAAAATGGTGCATGACAACAACAAACACGGGCTATCCATTTCAGCTGTCATTTCAATGGCTCTCACTCTTTCTCACCTGCCATGCCTCTACGTTCAGAAGATCCAGTCTGTCTTCTTCTGTGGTCATCATGCGGCTAGACACAGATGTGATCAGAGCATGGAAAGCATGTGCCGCAGTGTACACAGCATTGTACACATTGTAGCTCTCAGCAGACATACCATTCCCAAGCCAAGATGTTGGAATGCTTTCGAGCTTTCCTCTCCCCAGGCATCTTTTCCAGGTTTTCCGTGACCATCTCTGGTTGGAATCAGAGCAGTCAAACGTCTCGGACCAAATACGATCCAGGAAATGCCCATCTTGAGTCAAGAAAAGGCCCTGGGATTTTGTCCGCTGGTTTGTTTGGATGACAAAAGACAAAGCTCCATGGAAGAATTTGACATCCCAGTATTGAAAAGATGTGCTTAAGGTGAAGCCCTACAGAGCGGTGGAGATCCAAACTTTCCCTATAAGAGTACTGAATTTTATTTCAGTTTTGCTTAGGACATGAGGCAACAGAAACATTGAGTCAGAATCACCGTAATAAATGATCACATTGGCTTTCCTCTGCATAATGTGTGCTCGTAAATCGTTGAGTGCTCTTCTTAGAATACGAACGTTAACAGAATATACTATTGGAAACTTGTATGTGAAGGCTACACAGATGCCATTCTCAATGAATGCTACCTTCATGGTTCTCACAAAGTGATCTCCACCATCATTATCTGGAGCAAATAGACCGACCCATATCCACCTGAAATGCAGGAGCAACTGAACTATCCCCATGTATTGTGAAGTTTCCTTGGGGCTCATCCAATAGGAAGAGGAGAGCTGGGTGTTATCACTCAGAATATGGTTGACAAAACCATAAGTGAGCTAGAAGGAAAGCAATAAATACTTAACATTCAATATAATGTGGACATTTGTTAGCCGAAAAATGGTTTCCACTCAAGAATGCAATGTTCCAAACATCTACTCACTCTAAGTTCTGGGGAATTTGATTGGAATTACTCCCAGGTAAGTGAGAAATTTAGTTATGAAATTTAGTTGAGTAATACATTTGACACAACAATCTTTCAGAATGTATTGGAAAAATAATATAGAAAGGTTTATTGTTTTGTGTACATTCGATTGTAAGATAAAACATATGTGAAGGGACTTGACATGAAGTCAAAATTGAAGAAAAGATTTTGTAAGATAAAAGGGGGAAAATATTTACTTTCCTTATTATCAAATTTTTTGGGGGGTGTCTGTACATATGTGTGTTTGGAAGGAAATAAGATGGTAAATAACAAATAACAAACTAAATATTGATGTATGTAATTTTTATTTCTCAATTATATTTAGTGGTTGTATGGTTGTAATTTTTTTGTAACATAAAATCATTCAATAATTTTATTTTTTTAATAAAAAAACACAACCTTAATCTTTCCTTCTCATCATTAAGTGTGCCTTTGTATTCAAATCAGGCCTGAGGACAATGATGTAGCATTTGGGAAGGAAGATGCAGCCCAGTAACCCAGCACTGGAAGCCAAGATGGAGAAGATCTGCACAGCCACCATGTATTTCCCCTTGGTGCTAAGGTAAGTTGGCACAAAGGAGACCCAAACACTGCAAAACACCAGCATGCTGAAGGTGATAAACTTGGCTTCGTTGAAACCGCCAGGGAGCTTCCTGGCGAGGAAAGCAACTGTAAAAGAGATGGCAGCCAGAAGAGCCATGTAGCCAAGGGCAGAATAAAACATAGTGACGGACCCTTCATTGCACTGGAGAATGATCTGTCTGACCTGGGAATCCATGTCCAGTTCTGGGAAGGGGGGATACCTTCCAATCCAGGCAATACAGATGCCAAACTGAAAGACAGACCCAAAGAAGACAATGCCATTTGCCAGACTCTTTCCCACCCACTTGCTAATTCTGTTCCCTGGTTTTGTGGCCATGAATGCCAAAAACACAGTTATAGTTTTTGCCAGCACAGAAGAGACGGCAACCGAGAAGATGATGCTGAAGATGGTTTGGCGGAGAAGGCAGGTAACCTTTTGAGGCTGGCCGATGAAAAGAAAGGAGGACAAAAAGGAAAGTAGGAGAGAAACGAGGAGGGTATAGGTGAGGTTTCGATTGTTGGCTTTAACAAGTGGAGTGTCTTGGTATTTAATGAAGATTCCCAAAATAGTGCTTGTGATTAGGCACAAGAATAGGGCAAAGAAAACCAAGGTAACCCCCAGGGGTTCTTCATAGGAGAGAAAGACTATAGTCTTGGGAAAACATTGATCCCTCTCATTGTTTGAGTATTGATCTTCTGGACACTGATGACATTGATCTGCATCTGAAAGAAAACATTATTTTTGTACATCAAACCCCAGAAATTTCTGTATCATCAATATATTCCCTACCTAAATGGAACATCTTTTTTTCTTTTTAGTAATTTTATTCAATATTCTGAATTGTACTGCAGTTCATAAGCACAGTGAGTTTATGAGGTTTAAGGTTTCTTTACAGCTGGGTTCGGTTTTCTGTGTCTGTCTCATCATTTAATCTTGTGTTTGTGTTTGGGTATGTCTGCATTGTGAGTATATTCTACACCGTCCAGCAGACACCAAATTTAGCAAACTAATCCCCTCTGCAGGGGCTGCTGTGGATCAAAATTTCATGTCTCTGTTTTTTAAAAAGAAGAAATCGATGGCCATTTTGGTTTTGCAGTGCAGTCAATTGGCTTTTCAGGAGATTTGTATTTACTGGATCACAATCTGGATTTGAATCCAGTGCAGGTCAGATCAGGTCTGGAATGAATCAGGTCTGATCCAGATTTACAAGTCATGACTGCAAATCAAATTGGGGTGAAGTCTATGCACAGCTTTTCTGCCATTGCAATTTTGTGATTAGCAGTGTAGCACCACTGAAACAACTCATGACAAGTCTTGAGATTTCTTTCCAAATGTCTCTTTTTAGACCTAGCATGACTACTTTCACAGTGAACCTGCTCTTCATCCCTCAGAGCCTGCTGTTCCTTCAAAGCTGTTTTACCTGTGTGACTAGAAATGGCTCCTTCCAGGCATGGGCTGCATTTATAGCAGCAAATTTGCTGTCCTTCTGGCACCACTTTGCTGGATCCAGGCTGGCAGCTTTCTGAACATGTGGAATGGGGCCTTGTCTAAAGGGCATCAAGAAAACAAACAGTATTTTAGGAGCTCTTGCATTCTCTGTAGATACTATACCATTCTGCTCTGATGGGTCTGTGTCTTAGAAAACCGAATAATGATGATGATGATGATGATGATGATAATTTTTATTTATACCCTGCCCTCCCTGGCTAGAGCCGGGCTCAGGGCAGCTAACACCAGTAAAATTACAGTAAAATCATACTAGGGTAAAAAACCAATTTAAAATACAGGTTAGAATGCAATTTAAAATGCAGCCTCATTTTATAAATAGCTCATATATCAAAACCATAAGGGGAGGGAAAACATAAGGGTCAGACTGAGTCCAAACCACTGGATCAGGTTCCTCATTCTTGCCTTAAAAAAATGATCTATATCTACATCCAATGCTTTTTTTCTTTTTTAAAAAATGCTTAGGGGTACTCTCATTTTCCTACTCACATTGAAATACTGCTTCTCAATGAGACCAAACTTAGATTCACAAAATGTTTAGGGGTATGTGTACCCCTGCGTACCCCCAGTAACCATACAGTATTATTATATTTAAATAACAAATGTGAGGTTGCAGCTGAGACCAGCTTTTACATTCACTTTTAGCACAAAACACAAATACACTCCCCACCTGGTTGAACCATTTGGGCCACACAGTGGCCTCTTCGTCGATAGTCATCTCTAGACCTGAGGACTCCTGGGTCTCCAACTTCCCCACTTTCACTCTTATGGCAGTTTGGTTTGGAAATGTGACCAAATTCACAATATCGTAGTCAGCCACTAGCTCCCTATCCTCATCAAAATGCACCTCGTCCTCCATTGTACTGTTGAAACGGACGCTTCTCAGAAAAGGGGCGAGCTAGTAAGAAAGAGAGAGTGTATCAACATCTGTAAATGAATTAGATTCATCTCTTCTTCCATCCCAATCTTCATTTTTAAAAATTTATTTGAAAGAAACGGAGGTAGTGCTTGAATGTGGGAACAAGTGTGGAAAAAGTGAAAACAAGTACAGTGGTACCTCGGGTTAAGTACTTAATTTTTTTCGGAGGTCTGTTCTTAACCTGAAACTGTTCTTAACCTGAAGCACCGCTTTAACTAATGGGGCCTCCTGCTGCCACCGTGCCGCTGGAGCACGATTTCTGTTCTCATCCTGAAGCAAAGTTCTTAACCTGAAGCACTATTTCTGGGTGAGCGGAGTCTGTAACCTGAAGCGTCTGTAACCTGAAGCGTATGTAACCCGAGGTACCACTGTATTGGATCTTTGATGGGGGGGGGGGGGATTCATGAAAACAATTGTTTTGCTCAGTTCCACAGCTACACACACTTCATTAGAAAAGTGATTCGTAGAAGAAAATTTTTAATTAAACATTAAATAGAAAAATGTTCTTATGATATGAACACCTTTTCAGTGTGAAAATGGTGGGGAACCTGTTATTTTTCTCCTGACTGGTCCCAGAAAAGTTATAATGTAACTGTGAGTTCAGTGGTAGTCTTCCAAGAGGAATTAGACTTACAGATCCTTTTTTTAAAAAAGATTTCAGTTATGGCAGTTAACAGTAGGCTCTTGCTTTTACATGGCACAAGAGAATTGAAATGGGTCAAATCGTGATAGGTCCTTTAATGGTCATTCGAAATCATTAGTCCTTAGCTAATACAGATTTCTAGGCAGAACTTGAAGACTGGTCAGAGAGGGCTTTAGTAAACAGATTAGCAATTTAGTTGAATCTAGCCTAAATGGTTAGCAACAGGAGGCACACTCTATTTAAGCTGTGTAATTATAAATAATTGGTGGGGTTTGTAACCCCCAGTTTACACAGGCCGGGTTCTTGACAAGGGGTGACTCTGTTGCACTGGCAGGAGTGAGCAGATGAATCGATCAATCAGTCAGTCAATCAATCAATCAATCAATCAGTCAATCACAACCAATGAAGAATTGCGACAGAATGACACATGGAGGGGCAGAGGCCAAAAGCAGAACAGAAAACAGGAAGGGACACAGTGAGGAATCACTTCTGTGGGTTGCATTATTCAATTACCCTTTTTCATCTGGCATACCAACAGCCATTTTATGCCCCAGATCACCAGCTCAGAATTATTGACTTAGGCAGATAGTATCGTAAATTGGAGCTGGCTTAGAAACACAGGAAACAGCTTTATGCTAAGCCTGGCTACTTCTCTATCTAGACACATTTTTAAAAACCTCTGATTAGCGTTGCCTCTTTAGGAACTCGGGCAGAGGCACTTCTTCACCTGCTTATTTGAATCCTTTGAACTGGAAAGGCTAGAAATTAACCTCAGAAGTCCTGCATGAAGAGCAGATGTTCTACCTCTGTGCTACAGACCCTCACTAGTGGTGTAGGAAAAAAATGCAAGTGGCCAGAGTTTAAGGGGTCATCCAGACTTGCACTTGTCCTGCACCTAGAAAACATGCGTCCTAGTGGTTTTCTGATTGTCCCACACTTTCTAGGTATAGGTCCAAGCAGTTTTGCACTTGTCCCACTGCTTTCTTCTGGAAAAATCCACTCTTTAGTGATGAATTGGAGCAAACATCAATCCAGAGAAAACCCAGTTGGTGTTTCGTCTGGGGAAAGCAGTCTGAATGAGTGTTATGGCTTGGTCTCTCCCACAAATGTGAGATGACTCTGGCTGTTAATTATTTCAGATTTATTGCTAAAACAACAAGCTAGGATGGAGCTCCTCTACTCATCGTCCTCCCCAGAAGATGGAGTTGCCCGGACTGAGCTCCTCCCCCTTCCCCAGCACTGAAGCCCCCACTTTCTCTTCCAGTATCTTTCACATCTCGGCCACTTTTGAGATCCTACGAGATTTGGGAGAGAATGTTTCCCGCATTCCAACATCTGCCTTCCGCTGCTAACTGTTCTCTCCCTATGCCTGCTTCTTCTCCTCCTGTCAGCATCTGAGCTTCGCTGACAATGAGCCCTACATGAAAGAAAATACTACATGAACACAAAACCTTACAGTCAACCCATAATACTGACATATAAAATTTGATAATTTGATAAAAATTTCACCTACAATGGATCTCTTTCCCTCTCCTTCTTACCTGCCATGGGCTTATGCTCAGAAAATCCACTCTTCTGTCTTCTGCAGGCATCACGTGGCTAGATACAGATGTGAGGAGCTCATGGAAGGCATGTGCCACAACATAGACTGCATTATAAACATTGTAGCTCTCAGCAGACATTCTTTTCTCAAGCCAATGTGTGGGGAAATCGTCAAGCTTTCTCTTCCCCATACATCTTTTCCAGGTTTTTCTTGACCATCTATGGTTGGAATCAGAGCAATCAAATGCTTCTGACCAAAACTGATCGAGGAAATATTCATCTTGAATCAATAGGTGGTCTTGGAATTTTGACCTCTTGTTTGTTTGGACGGTAAAGGACAATGCACCGTGGAAGGATTTGACATCCCAGAATGCAAAAGATGTGCTTAAGGTGAAACCCCACAGAGCTGTGGAGACCCAGACTTTCCCTACAGGGGTCCGTTTTCCTTCTTCAATCCTGTTCAGTATGACAGGCAACAGACACATGGAGTCAGGATCCCCAAAGTAAATGATCACGTTAGCTTTTCTCTGTGTAAGGTGCGCTTCCAAATAGGAAGGTTTTCTGTGTAAACCATGAACGCCAGCAGCAATTAGTTGTTGAATCCTATCTGTGAAGGCTACACAAATGCCGTTCACAAAGAATATTGTCTTCATGGTTCTCAAAAACCAATCTCCACCATCATGCTTCGGAGCAATGAGACCGACCCACATCCACCTGAAATGGAGGAGCATTTTCACCATTCCCATGTACTGGTGAGTTTCCTTTGGGCTCATCCAGTAGGAAGAGGGAAACTGGGATTTATCATTCAGAATATTGTTGACAAAGCCGTAAGTGAGCTAGTAAGAAAAGGAATCAATGTTTAGTGTGGGAAATAATGCTCAGACATTGCCAGCCTAAAACCTGCTTAGCTGCACATCCTTACACATGTCGCACTGAGTTCAGTTGAACTTACTCCCAGCTAAGTGGATACCAAATTACTGACATATCTTTCCAGTCACCCTATGCTTGACTACCTTTGCGGAGCTGTTTCTGGAGTACAGCCTTGCATCTGTGCTCTGGACAAACTTTCCCAAACCGAACTCGTTTGGCTCCATTTTTCTTGCTGACACACCGAACAATCAAATTCTTACAGATGCAGGCCAGGTATTATGTGGCACCTGTAAAAATAAAGTTCAATTCTGCCAATCAAAGGGGTTCAGTGGGGACGCATGGGGTGCGGCAGTCTTGTAGGAAAACTGGTCCCGAGTTTTTGAGGAAACAACATGCAGAAGCAAATAACAATAAGAATTCTCCCATTTCACTTTGTTAGATGCTACATGGGGAGGGCATGTCGATGTGTCACTTGCAATGCAGCCTGCCTCTGTGTTCAGGGTTCCAGCCAGTCAGACACAACCTTTTTCCATGGATGCTAACACACACACACACACACACACACACACCACAGGTTTTCTAACCCCACACCCACTCTTGAACAATCAGCTGGCATTCCAAAGCCCCATAGCAGGTTCAGACCTCCTTTAGCAGTTTCTGTATTTGTGTGGCCAGGCATCCCCCACCCCCAAAAAATATATCATCTAGCACCGTGAAAAAATGAGACATGACCACTTGCATTTGGGTCAAATCAGACCAAAACTTTATTGATTACAGGTGGAAGAGGCATTGTAGGCATTGTTGGAAACTAAAATGGCAGCTTCCACTTAAATGCCCTGGAACATTACAAGCTTAGGGGCATTTCAGAGTATAGCAAGAAATGTAAATGGCAGCTCCAGTCTACCCTGGGGCTCACAGCAGTGCTGCTGCTGCCATCCACTGCTGCCCAGTGCCAGAACCTATGTGGTTTTGCTATGATGAGAGATCTCTCTCATGCTGACCCTGAGGAGAAAACCATCCTTCAATATCTGTGCATGCCTGTTATGTCCATACCTGAGGGACCTTGTAAACATCTAGCATGGTTGCCATCTGGAAAAAGGTTTCAAAGCCCCCTCCTTGAATAACAGCCAGGAGCTTTCCTTGCCTCCCACACTTGAAATTAGGGACCATCCAATGTCCGGATGAGAACAGGTCCATGGTTGCTTCATAAGTATTCCTGACACTGAAGCAGTTTTCATAGATGCTGTAGCCAAGGGTGATATTGGGTAAGAGCTCAGGGTTTTCATTGATCTCATTAATGGCAAAAATGATAGCCAGGGCATGCTGGTAGTTCCTTTCCAACAGTCTGGAATGAAAAACAATTGGAATGTTTCATATAATCATAAATCTCAGCTCCTGTGGTATTTCATAATACCAGGAGAGGAAGGAGAAATCTTGTTCTATAGTTCTCCATGACTTAGTTATATGTCTGATTAAAGTCTCAACCAACAAGCAAGTAATATGCAACCATCTATATATACAAGAAAAAGACAGATATCTATATATTGGTAGTGTGGCTAATTGGAGCTATATCAGTTTCCCCAAAACGTTAAGATACTTCTCCACTTCTTCAAATACTAAAAAAAAATGCTGTATTTGGAACATTTATAAAAAGAACAGTCCTTTAGAGAATCCTTCCCTCTGCCTTCCCTGCAAAACATGGCAAGCCAGGAGTTAATTAACTATTAATAAACTATTAATAAATTGATACCTACAAACATCTATCAAATTCAATCTATATATAATTTCACACTAAGGTATTTAAAGGGATTTATAGATAAGTTGGAAAATATGGGAATTTCTGAATTGTATGATTAATATCTAGCAATTTATAGGTGATTTTGTGCTCATTTTATACCTGGATTTTTCTCCCAATATTTATCTCTATAAATCAGTACAACTGATTATGTCCTACTGAACACAAAGGAACTTACTTCCAAGTAAACAGTCACAATGAGGTTTACTTCCAAGCACAGATGGGAGAGAAATTGTATTAAACAGAGGGGGAAATGTGGAGAAGCAAACTTAAAAATGGAAAAAGGAGAAACCAAAATTGCCAGGTTCACTCAACCCTATTTCCAAGAACACTGTAATCAAGTAACTCTCTGTGACTTCTTTTGAAATGTGTTGCTGTGTAGAGTCCTTCTGATCAGGATTGTAGCCAGCCAGTCATGCCCCTTTCCTGGATATGCCAGTCGATCCCTCCAACAGTTTTACTAACAGCACTCTGCCTGCATTCTGTGTCCACTAAGCTTTCCTTTTTTAAAAAATAAAATAAAACGTGTTTTTCCAAATGTCGGGATTCACCCAAGCCAAATGAAACCTTCCATTATGTCTAAATGATGTTGTTCTTTTCTATATAAGAATCTAAACTCAGAGAATGAGTTCCCTATTAGCACAGACCTCACAGCAGTTTACAGGGACAGGCAGTTGCACGGAAGATCAGAATTGGCTGAGGACAATTAAAAGCTAAGAGCAAACAACACTTACGGGAAGAAGTCCCGGACAGGGTTAGACCTGAAAGC